CGCTGAGGCCGGGCTGTGTCCCGAGGCCTGCAGCCTGAGCCGCTGCTGCGGGCCGGCCCCTGGCCTCCACAGAACTCAGCTGATTGACCAATTTTACTACAAATGGACTTTGGTTTGGTGCTGCTGGGTCATGGGGCAACAAATCTAATCTTGCACAGGCTACAAGGTGCCGGGTGGAGAAGGGGACCTTGTCACCTCCCTTTTCTTTTTGCTTTTGACAATTAGGAGATTTTGCAAGAGCTGCAATAACAGTACAATGAATGCCCATATGCCCTCCCTTTGGATTCACCAGTGGTTAAAGTTTGCCAGATTTACTTCCGCCCTCTCTCTCTATCACACACACACATTTTTTTCTGAGCCACTTGAGAGTGACACTGGTCACGACCCTTCACCCTCAGCTGTTTTGACACAGGTCTCCTGAGCAACCAACTTCTTACACAAGCACAGCACAGCTGCCACATGGAGACCCGGGGACAGTGATGCAACACTCGCCCCAAGGCAAGGGCGCGGCCGCCTTCCGGGCCCTGGCTGACCGCGAACCCGAACTCGACATGCTCCTTCTGGCTTGTCAGGTCTTTTCTGCCTTCTTTTATCTGGAACCATCCTCGGCCTTTCTTTGTTGTTCAAGACCTGGACTTTTGCTACTGGCCAGGCGTTTTGTAGAATGTCCTTCACCCACCTCCCACTATCTCCTCCCCAACCCATGAAAATGTCAAATATGTCCACGACAAAAAAATTGGACAATATGAAAATGAGTGTAACGTTTGCCTCAGCTCCTAGGATGCCGGGAGAGCCCTGTGGACTTGTCTGCAATCAAAGGCAGCTGACTTTGCTGTTCTGGCGCCCAGTCCAACCACCCACGGAATCCCGAGGTGGGTGTGTCTTGCCCCCCCCCCACCCTTGGCAGCTGGGCCACTGACCTTGGGTCTTACTAGACAGCACAGTCACTTGCCTCTGAACCTGACCGGCATGTGCTGGCTGCTGCAAGGGCCCTGCATGGGGCTGAGAGCGCGTGTGTCACCGTGTCACCCTCTGCCCTGTTGATAGGTGGGGCTGGAAGATCTCTGGTGAGTGGGGGGTGATGAGCAGCATCCCTGACTCTACCCACTAAATGCCAACAGCACCCCAAGTTGCACCCACAACCTTGTCTTCAGATATGGTTGATGTCCCCAGGGGAGCAAATCGCCTCCCATTGAGAACCCGTGTGCGTGGTGTGTGCGTGGTGTGGCGTGTGTGATGTGTGTGTTGTAGTATATGGGGTGTGTGTGTGTGCATGTGTGTGTGTGCAGCCAGGTCACGTTGTCTTCAGTGCTGCCAACTGCACTCACATCCAGGGCCCCTGACTCCACGCCCACTTTGTTTCCCTCTGTCTCCTCTGCGCCGGAGGAAGGGCTGCCAGGTGTTGGCCCCTGAATATCTCAGAAGACAAACCTGTCACGCTCGGCGTCCTCCGTAGCCACAAGTGGCCACAACCTCAGTGGCTTAGCTCACCAGACAGAGGCTCAGGGGTCCGGCTGGGATGCTGAAATCAGGTGCTGGGGTGGGGCTCTGGGCAGGGGGTGCCGGCCTGGTCCCTCTCACTGGTAGGCAGGGTTGGTGGAATCCAGGTCCTCGAGGCCGTGGGGCTGCAGTCCTGTTTCCACACTGGCAGTCAGCAGGGGTCCTCTGCTCCCAGAGGCCACCATGTTCCCTCCCACTCAGCCCCTTCACCTTCAAGCCATCAAGGGCCCATGGATCCTTCTCGTGCTTTGAGTCTCCACCTTCCTTCCTCCGCACTCAGCTGGAGAGAACTCTCTGCTTTTTTTTTTTTTTTTTAAAGATTTATTTTATTTATATAAGAGCCGGGGTACAGGCCAGAGGTGTGGGGGGTGAGAGGATTCACCAGAGACAGAGTGGGGAACAGAACAGGCAGACTGACTGAAACACACTGCTGAGGGGAGCAGCAGGCAAGACAGGAGAGGGCTGCTCACCATGTAGGTTGCTCCGAGGCCAGCAGGGATCGAACCGGCACTGCAGAGGCTGTGGACAGCTTCACAGCGCTGCGCTCAACTGCCTGTGCCACCAGGGAGGCCCCCCAGAACTCTCTGGTTTTAAAGAGCTTGTGTCATCTCAGACCACTCAGATTACCAATGTGAAGCCAAGACACCCCGAACTCCACCTGCCCCAGGGGTGAGCCACCTACTCCTGCCCTGCACTTGCCTGTGTGCACCCCAGGGGGGGTCTGGGACATCTGCCTGCAAGGATTACAGAAGGGGGCAGGGCTTAGAGCCTCAGGCGGGGTGAGCGGGACACAGGCTGGGCCACTGCCTCTGAGCATCCGTAGCACTCCCAACACCAGAGAGGCCCCAGTGCATCCTTCCGGGAGGGAGCCTGGGTGGGGGTGGGCCTCTCATCTTTCCGGCTTCCAGTCCCTTTTCCGATGATCCATGCTCTGGCCTGAGCTTCAGGTCAGCAATGTTCCAGCAAAAGGGAAGTGAGAGACTGAGGGTAGGCAGAGGAGGTGAGCAGGGCAGCTGTGCAATCAGCCAGCTCAAAGCCACCTGTGTGGAGACTGATGGTGGGGGGGGGGAGAGAAGGGAGGTGTTAGGTCAGTAGAGGGGGCTGGGGGAGCCCTCAGGCATAAGGTCTGACCCCTGCTGGGGGATGGGAGTGAGGGGCTGGGCTCTGTGCCCTGGTGGTTGAGGGTGGCAGGCCCGGGAACAGAAGCCCGTTCCAGGCCCCAGCCTGCGAGGCCCATGGTGAGGCTGAGGGCAGGCCCCAGCCATGGGCACCAGGGAGGAGGCTGAGCCAAGGGAGAGGCGGCTGGAGTAGAAGAACATGTGTAGAGGGACGAGAGGAGGGATCAGCTGGGACTGTGGTCACTTGGGCAGCCACCTCCCCATCCCCATGTGTGCTCTTGGGCTGCTGAGACAGCAGGGACATCAGGGTTATACCCACACGAGACAAGGCAGAAGTCTCGCGTGCCAAGTGATAAACCACCTTCCCCAGGCCCCGGGGGCCCTGGGGCCACAGTCAGGCCTGGTAGGGAGGGGCAGGAAGAGCCTGCACTCCCGGGGAAGTTGGGGCGTACACACCACACCCTGGACTCAGCCGCCCCGAGAGATGGGGCCTGCGGCCACAGGGACAGATGTGGGGACACAGAGCCTAGCCTAGCGCCGGGTCCACGCTGGGCCTCTAAAAGAGAGCCCCCTTGGCCTCCCTGGTGGCCTAGGGGTTGTCTCCGCGCTATCACCACTGTGACCGGAGTTCAGTCCCCAGCCAGGGAGCTGACTTGCATGGCGCAGCAGGCCTCTCCTGTCTCCCCACTGCTCCCCTCAGCCGTTTATTTCAGTGGATCTGCCTGCTCTGCTCCCCACTCTGTCTCTGGTGAATCCTCTCATCCCCCTAACCTCTGGCCTGTACCCCAGTTCCATGCATAAATAAACAAATCTTTTTTAAAAAAATAGAGTCCTCCCTCTTCTTGAGTGGTTTTGGCAAAACTGACCCGTTGGCCAGATCTACTCTCCGAGAGGGCGAGATCAGCCAAGTGTGCTCCTATGCAAACTCTCTCTGGAGAAAGGCGCCGTGGTCACCCCAGGGACAAACCTATGTGTTTTTGCATTTTCCCAGCCTGTTTCTTCTGCCATATTTGGAGAAAAAACCCTCCATTTTTCTTTCCATTTATTTAAATTGACTTTTACTTGAGAAGTAGACACTTCTCAGGACCATGACGGGACCGAGCAGATGGCTTTGAGGGACAGCAGCTGACCCCTCTGTCCTGGCTGACAGCAGCCTCCAAGAAGAAATCACTGGGCATCGCTTTGGAAATAGAAGCGTTGAACCCGTCCTCAGCCATTCGCCAGGGGCCCAGCAAAGACAGAAAGTGAAAGAGGAGAAACCAAAAGTGAAAGGATCTGCTCCCATTTCACGCTACTTTCCCACCCAGCAGAAAACTCCCCAACCCCAAAAACAAAAACATAAGGCCGTTTTCGCAATCTGGGGCATTACTAGATAAGGAAGCTGCCCAGGCCCTGGGTGCCAATTCCGTGAAACTGGGGAAATGAATTCCTGCCGCTTGAGCCTCAGGAAGGCGCGCTCCCGTCTCCCCATCCTTGGAGCTCCTCACAGAAAGCGGCGGCCCTCCACAACAACCCGGCTGCTCAGCTTATAAATAACCCAGGAACATTTTGTTCTTTTCAACTTTATAGGGCTGGGTTTCCCAGCACCCGGGGCTCCAGGGAGACATGAAACCACTGCGGGTCAGTGTTGGGGAGCTGAGCATGGCCCAGCTTTATTCAGGCCACGGAACAAACACCTCTTTCAGGATCTCCAGCCCCCGGCCCTTCCCGGCAACAGTCTAGAAATTACATGTCCGGGGTGGACCCCTCGAAGCACAGTAGAGCAGGGAGTCCTTTAGCCTCTAAGGTTGGCCCAGGAAGTCTGCACTGGGCCCGCCCGAGGCTCGGGGTCACCAGCTGGCACGCAGTTGCTGGGGGCTGCCCTGCCCAGGACTCTCAATATCCTCTTTTGAGGAAAATGCCAGAAAGTCTCATGGCTTGATGAAAAGGATGCTGATGACATCATGTACAAGCAGTAAGTCTCGGACCTAAGACTGCAGGGCTGGGTGCGTTGTCTGCTCTCCCACAGAGGAAGGCAATGTAATGTGATTTATTCCCCCAGAAGGCACCGAGGTTTGGTCCTACAGGGGTGGGCGATCAAACCTCCCCTCTGGCCCTCTCCACTGGACTCAACTCCTTAGTCCGCTGGTTCAGACTGGTGCTCTCCCCTGTCCCCTGGGCCGTCAGCCTGCTTCCTGCCCTCAGAGGGCCCCCGCCCTCCAGGTTCCCACTTCACCCAGAATCAGAAAGTTGAGTGTGGGCCCCCCAAGTTCCCAGGTGTGTATTGGATCTGGCCAGGAGCCCCCACCCCAGGGGACCAGCCTCCCACATTTTGGTGTCCTGCACCTGGTTACATAACAATCACATTTCCCCCAGCTCTGACATCACCCCCTGAAGATTCTCATCAGCCTGGACAGCCCAGGGGGCCTGTGTGTGGCCAGAGATGATGGCGGGGGAAGGCGCTTAATGAACAGCCGGGAACTGGTAAGGGAAGGGGCACAGCGGTCAGAGTAAGAGGGGGTGCCTGAGAGGAAAGCGGAAGCATTTGGGTTTTTAATTCCCTCTAGCTTCCCACAAGACTTCTCTGTTGCCCCACATTTTCCGTCCACCCCACGGAGGGAATTTCCGATTTCACTTCCCTTTCTCGAGACGTAAGTGGCCAGAGGCCGCCACTGCCTCTGCACCCCTTCCTTCTCGAGGAAGGTGCCCCCTCTTCGCGCGCCCCAGTTCCCCGCTGCTCCGGCCGGAGGGGAGCGCGCCCTCGTCTCCCTCCACGGTCACCGCCGGCCTCGACGTCTGCTTCCTCAGCTTCCCGCCACCCCTTCCCCAGCGCAGAGCGAGGATGAGGGGTGAGAGGCAGCGCCGGGGAGGGCGCGCGACAGGGGGCGGCAAGTTAGGGCCAGAGGCGCCCCCCGTTCCCCCCGCTTCCGGGGGCCCGCGTCGCGGGACGGGGAGGCCCGATCATGGCGCGGGGGGGGGGGCGCCGGGAGGGCTAACCGGGCCCCTCGCGGGCGCAGGAGGCGCGGGCCCGGCGGCTCCTCGCACCCGGCGCCCGCTCCCGCCCTCCAACCGCAGCACTTCCGCGAGCCGCCCCGGGGGCGGGGCCAGCAGGTGCGGTTGCCCCGGCGCCGGGCCAGGGCCCGAGCAGCGGAGCTCGCGAGATTTGGAGACGGCCAATGGGAGGCGGGGGAGGGGGGGACGTGGCACGGGGCTCGCGGGCGGGGCCCCGCCCCCCTCCAGGGCCCCGCCCCCCGCGCGGCGGCGGCGCGCGCCCCCCACGCGGCCCGGCTATAAAGGGCGCCGCGCCGCCCGCGCGCCACTCCGCCGAGGGCCTCCGCCGGCCGCGCCGTGCGCCTGCGCAGTGCGGGCCGCTCCCGCCCCCCGCCCGCCGCCGCCGCCCGCCGCGCGCGCCCCTCGCCGGCCGGCCGGGCCCCCTCGGCTCGCGCGCCGCCTCAGCCGCCGCTCCCCGCAGCGGCCAGCCCGGGCCCCGGCAGCATGTTCAGCTGGGTCAGCAAGGATGCGCGGCGCAAGAAGGAGCCGGAGCTCTTCCAGACGGTGGCCGACGGGCTGCGGCAGCTGTACGCGCAGAAGCTGCTGCCGCTCGAGGAGCACTACCGCTTCCACGACTTCCACTCGCCCGCGCTGGAGGACGCCGACTTCGACAACAAGCCCATGGTGCTGCTCGTCGGCCAGTACAGCACGGGCAAGACCACCTTCATCCGCCACCTGATCGAGCAGGACTTCCCGGGCATGCGCATCGGGCCCGAGCCCACCACCGACTCCTTCATCGCGGTCATGCACGGCCCGGCCGAGGGCGTGGTGCCCGGCAACGCGCTCGTCGTGGACCCGCGGCGCCCCTTCCGCAAGCTCAACGCCTTCGGCAACGCCTTCCTCAACAGGTACGCGCCCCCGGCCCCCCCCCCCCGCCCGGCCCCCCCGGCCCCCGCCCCCGGCCGCCGCCCTTTGTCTCCGCGCCCCGGCGAGACCCCGCGGACGGGGAGGGGGCGTCGCGGGCTCCGCCGGCTTCTGTCGCCCCCAGAGTCTTCCAGCTTATCACTTTAACGCCCACACGCACCCTCGGATCCCGGGGCCCGCGCCGGGAGGATGAGGGGCCCGCCCACCCCTTCCCGGCCACCCCCCCACGTCGGCCTTTGCCCCTGGACGGGACACGCTCGGTTCATCCAGAGCAGCCCCCGCCCCTCCTTTCCCGCCGGGAACTGTTGCCTGAGTGTCCTGGACAACACGGGGAAACTTCTCGCCGCCCCCTGCCCCGGTGGAGGCTGTGCCTCCCTCGGGGCCCAGTGGTTCTCGTGGGCGGGGTGGGCGGGGAGGGGTGGCCTGCAGGGTGGGGTGATGAACACTTGCCCCCCCCTCCAGCTCCGCAGGGTCTGGATGCATCAGGGGTGCCAGGAAGCCGCGCAGGCAGCGGCAGGGGCGCCCCCAGTGAGATTCAGACCCCAGGTCCCTTTGTAGACTAATGAGGTTCCTTAACCTACTCGGGTCTTGGTTTCCCCAGTTAAATGGTGACTCCTGCTGCATCCTGATGAGGGTAACCCTCCAGATTGGCATTCCCGGGATGCTGTGAATGAAACCAGTGCCTCCTCCCTAAAGAATGCAACTCGCTTTTCCCTTAAGGAACTCAGAGGGCTGGTCTCTGCTTCTGAAGTCCCCACCCCAGTCAAGGAGACTCGCGGAGCACCTCCACATCTGTTCTCTGTGCACCCCATTCCCTGAGTAGCTCCCTGTGCCTTTTGAAGTCTGGGTCTGGGGGAGGGCCCAGGGCAAGTCCTTGCCTCTTGCTGTCTAGGTCTCCACCCTGTGTGGTCACATTCCTCCCAGACACTGTCCAGCCAACCCCACAGGGCAGACCAGCCTGCCCTGATCCAGGCGTGTGGCCAGGCCCACCTCCAGGCGCAGAGCTGACCTTTAACACAGAAGACCGGCAGTGGCACTCTCTTTGCCCCCCGGGCAGCATTTGAGCCTGCTGTCCTGTTTTACTACAGTCGGCTGACAGTGCTGCAAAGTCCTTGGGCTCAGCCTCCAGAAGGGGCGTAGCCCTCTGCCTGGAGCCTTCCTGGGAGTTACTTGTGTTTTAGAAATTTTGTGTATGTAGATGGGCCCTTGGCCCAGACCGTGCGCTGGTGGGAACCATCCCATCTCTGGAAAGTTAGCCTGCTGTGCTGGGAATTCCAAGCATTAGAGGCCCCTCCTTCCGCGCGGAGCTCCGGGAAACTAGAAGGAAGGGCAGCGGTCCCCACCTCGGCTGTCCTTAGGGCTCCGCTTTTGGTGGTGAGAGCGGTACTTTCGTGGAAAGGAGAAACAGGCGTGTGACCTGCTTTCTGACGGGGGAGCCGGCCAGTCTCAGAGCTGGAAAGGATCTTAGCCTCTGGAAGGGCAGCCTCCACCTAGTTGGCTCAGGAACGCACGGCTCGGAGCGCCCAGTGTGTCACGTTGACATGGCGCTGACAGGCCTTTGCACAGCTGGTGAGCTGCAGTGCTTCTGGGACCGCCTTGAAAGGGCACTATGGAAAAGCGGGCTCCAAGACAGCCCCGTGTCAGTGCCTTGGACCCCAAGACACACGCTTTCCTTTCCTTGGCAGCGCCTAGTCTCCAGAGGGTCCCCAGATGCTTATGGCCTTGTCTAAAGGGGCCTTATCACTGAGGGTGGGGGGCGTGGGTTTGTGCGTTCCCGCCTGCTGTGTCAGCCCGTGTGATACAGGGGTCAGTGCCACCGGTGAGGGCGCACAAAGGGGGCCCTTCTCTGGCTGACACGGCCTCTCCCGGAGCCTGGGGTACACTTAAAGAGACCCTTTGAGTCATGCATGAACTTGACTTTCCGGCCTCTCTCCTAAGTGGCTGCTCTAAGGCTAAAATCAGATGGAGAAGATCAAGATTGGGGCTCGGTCAGGGCGTCCTCAGCGAGTCCTGCAGAGCTCCTGCTGGGTGGGCCCCTCAGCGAGATGAAATCTGCCTCCTTGCTGGTGAGGGGATGAGCTGCCTGCTGGCTTTCTCTGTCCCACTGAGCAGGCTGTGCAGAGTGGACAGATGTTATCTGCCTGCGAGAGGCCTCCTACAAGGCACTTGTCGATGTGTTACTTCTCAGAGTCAGTTCTGCTTCAGATCCTGTCCCAGGTCCCCTCTCCAGTGACTCCCGTCCCTGGCAGGAACCCCGGGTGTGACACGCCCACTCTGCCACCGGCGCTGGTGAGCTGAGGTCCAGGGTCAGTTACCCTGCCGGTCGGTGGATTTTGCTCCATTGCACTTACAGGCAGCACCTTTCACCCTGGCCAGCTGCCCACTGCCTCTGGACCACTGGTCACTTGGGGCGGGTGGGGGCACAAGGGAGGCCAACGGCGCCGACCCTCCCCCTGTGGGAAAGGCAGCCTGTGTCCTACAGACAATGGGTCAGTATTTTCTTTGCTCACAATACCTTTTTCAGAGTTTTTAAAGAATTCCTTTTTCTTTCAAATAAAGAAGCTCTGCTCTCAGCTGGGACAGCCCCCTTGCTGTTCTGGGCTGTTCTCAGCTCAGCAGGGACTTGGGCCCACAGCTAGGCCCTCACCCATGGGCTGCCAGTCCCTCCAAGGCTTTGTGCTTCTCTGGCCTGCTTGGACTGCCAGAAAATGGTGTCTGTCCCCTGGGGTTTTCACCGCCACCCAGTCCAGTCCTGGGCCCACAGCAGCAGGGGGAAGGACCAGGCCCAGAAGGACCACCTCCTGGGTGTGTGGAAATTGACCCATGTGGTTGACTGAATGTGAAATTCAAGGTCCCAGTGTCGCCCTCCCGTTTCCCTCCTGGAGGTGAAATGGTGACCTGGATACGTGCAGCTTTTACACCAAGTCAGCAACTTGAAAGTTGACCTCTTAAAGTTGACCTCTGGAGGAAAAGCTAGGCGAAGGAAGTGCTGATGTGGGTCAGTTTGCTCTGCTGGTTGGATTCCGGGTTAAGAAAATAGGCGCAGGGGCCTCCCTGGTGGCACAGGGGCTAAAGACAGTGCTGTCAAGAGATCAGCAGCCACTGCAGCACGAGTTCAATCCCCGGCCAGGGAGCTACCCACATGGCGCAGCAGACCTCTCCTGTCTCGCCCGCTGCTCCCCTCAGCGGTGTATTTCAGTCAGTCTGCCTGTTCTGTTTCCCACTCTGTCTCCTGTGGATCTTCTCACTCCCCCTCCCCCCGCACCCTGGCTCACACCCCAGTTCTTGTATGCACAAATAAATAAATCTTAAAAAAAAAAAAAAGAAGAAGAAAACAGGGCCTCCCCGGTGGCGTAGCGGTTGAGCGCTGGGTTGTGAAGCTGCCCGCGGCCTCTGTGGCGCCGGTTCGATCCCCGGCTGTTCCCCGGCCACCGGAGGAGGGTCCCCCATGGCGCGCAGACCTCTCCTGCCGCCCGCTGCTCCCCTCAGCAGTGTACTTCGGTCCTTCTGCCTGCTCTGCTCCCCGCTATGGCTCTGGTGAATTCTCTCACCCTCCCGCGCTTCTGACTGTACCCAGTGCTTGTATAAACAAACAAACAAACAAATAAATAAATAAATAAAAACATGCCTCTATAAATAAAAAAAAAAAAAAAGAAGAAGAAAACAGTTGGCTGGACTGTGCCACCCTGGAAACAGACGGCAGCAAACCTCCCGTGGGTTCCCGGGAAGCCAGAGGCAGTGAGGGTGACAACGGCACCCCTGTCACGTGGAGGGCAGCTGTAACTGAGTCTCAACCTCTGCCCTGGCCCTCATCTCGTGCAGGTTCATGTGTGCCCAGCTGCCCAACCCGGTCCTGGATAGCATCAGCATCATCGACACTCCCGGCATCCTGTCTGGGGAGAAACAGCGCATCAGCCGAGGTAAACAGGCCAGGGCGTGGCTGGGCCCCCGGGTGGAGGACCTTGTCCCCTGATGACCAGTGCCATCACTTTGCTGGGGCCCGCAGGCGCACTCGGGTCTCCCCCAGGCCAAGGGAGAACCCTTCTTGCACCAGCCCTGCCTCCACGGTGCGCCAAGCCCTGGAGGCTTCCCTAGCTGAGGTTCCCAGTGGCGGGTGGATCTTGGCCAATCTCAGGCGGATCTTGGCCAATCTTGGCCAATCTCACGTGGCTTGCGTGCTTCCCAGCCCCTGGGGCATGCTGGAAAGGAGGCCGGGCCGGGGTGGGGCCTTGGGCAGCTGCGAGGTCACCTGCAGGGCATCTGGGCTCCAGTTTCTTCAGTCCTGAAGACCGGGCTGACTCCTTGGGCCTGGGTGCCCCTGGGACTCACTCACCTGAGCTGGTGTTTAGAAGTTGCCTCCCAAAGCCCGTGCCTCCTGGTGCGTCCCCACAGCAGGGCTGGAGAGAACCATTTTGACTTGAACCGATCAGGCAAAAAGGAGAGGCCCGCAGACACTTGCCAGACGCTTCGCGCCTGGTGGAAACGGGGTTGAAGTTGCCCAATTGTTAGTCCTCGGCAGCATCCGGGCGCGTGCCTGGCGCCACCTGTCAGTGCCCAGCCAGGCCCAGTGGCACAAACGGCCGTGTCTCTCTGACGACTGGCTCAGGATGAGCCCGAACTGGGTTATTTTTCTGTTTTTTGCAGAAGGGAGTGGAGCCTTGGGGCACAAATGCTTTCTGGGAGGGGTGGGGCTACGCTGGCCGGCAGGCATCCGCCCTTGGCTGCGTTTCCAGGTGAAGTGGAGTGAGGTCACGCTCGGGGCCTGAGGAGTGATGGGGCCTGTGACCTTTCGCTACACGTCTTCCCTGTGCCCGCCCCTCTGGGCCGCGCTCTGGCCTTGAAGCCAGCAGCCTGAGGTTTGGGAGCTCTGTGTCCGGCCCTGGCCATGGTGGGGGCCTGTTCTTGGTGCTGAGGAGCCTTGCATCTCCCTTCCCGGCTACAACCCCTCCCCCCCCCCAAAGTGGTGGCACAGCCCTTCGCCCTTTGCTCCCTGTCAAGTTTAAGCCCTTAGGTTCTCCAGGAGACGCCTTCTGCCGAGGTCAGGGCCAGTTTTTTCTTCATTGTTGCTCTTATTATTCCAATTTGGTTTTAAGAAAGTGCCTGATAAACACAAAGCCTTGTCTTTTGCCAAAGCAAGATCCAAAAATCCAAATAAATTACGCTTAGACACATGAGGGACTTTTTTTTATCAGTCACCCTCCAGGGCTGAGCTGTTCTGAAGGGACTTTCTTTGAAGCTCTCTGGAATTATCTTCCCAAATGCCTGAGCTGCAGGCGTGGGCCCAGGACCTTGTGACTGGGGGTCCTCAGAGACAGAGACCTGAGCCCCCTGCTCCCAGCCAGAGGTCACCTGTGAACACACTTCCCCATAAGGGACAATAGTCACCAGAAGAGGCTTATCTTCCCAGAGGGCTGCATTCATCATGGCCTTCAGAGTTGGGCGTGAAGGTGTTTGAGGAAGGGCGCTTCTGCTCTGGGGGCCATCCTTGTCTCCCAGAGGAGGCTCACAGGCAGCTCTTCTCCACCAGGCAGTGGATGAACTTCCCTGCTGTGCTGTCTCGGCCCTTGGCCTGTGTGCTCAAGGCTTAGCAGGCTGAGGAGTTGGGCATGAGGGGGGCCTCCTGCTAGGAGGCCCCACCCACCACCACACCCAGGTCTCCTGTCCAGCAGAGGAAGGGGAGTCGGGGCAGTGTGTTCCAGGCTTGCCAGTCACTTCCCTGCTCCCTTTGTGAGGGCGTGGAAAGCAGGTGTTTCCCTCCCAGAGAGATAGGGCCAACCACGGCCATGGGTCCCGGCAGGCGGCCGTGCTCTAAGGTCGGCGGAGCTCTGTCCTGGGGGCTGCGTGTCCAGTCCAGTCGCTAATTGCACTTGCTCCATCCCCCCCCGTCTACCCACCTCCGTGCTCCTTTCCCTGCCCCCGTGGTCCCTGTGTGCGCGGGGAGGACTGCAGAGATGAGAGGAGACTGTGCAGGCCGCAGCACTTGCAGACCCAGCCCTGGCTTGGTGAGGAACCCCTGACCACGGTCCCAGAGAAGCCAAGGGGACTCGGGGGGTCTCAGGCTGCGCTGCCCCTCTGTGCTAATCTCCTGAGTGACAGAAAATAACGTTCTCTGTGTCAGCAGAGAAGGGGGGGCCTGTGGGGACAGCGTTCACTCCCGAGCCCGCCCATGTGACTGATAAGGGGCATTCCAAAGGGCACCGGGGCCAGCAGGGCTGCCCTTGCCTCCCAGCGGCCAGTCTCCTGCATAGTCGCGGTGGGGCCTTGGTGGGAGTGGCGGGTGGCACGCTCTGGCAGACACCCCAGTCCAGAGGCCAGGCCTGACTAGGGCAGGGCTACCCTGTCACGACGTGACTGTGAGCTGAGCTGCACCTTTTGTGCCTTGGTTTTCCCCATGGGAGTTGCAGCAGCAGGAAGGTGTTTGAGCTTGGGGAGCAGAGCCCAGCCCTGGCCGGCGGCTGACCACTGCTGAGGAGGGAGCTGATGCTTCCAGGGGAGAGAATGGAGACTAGAGAGTGGGGTAACTTGCCCAGGGGAGCGAGCTGGCATGTGCTGGCTCGAGAGCTCGGAGTTGGCGGGCCGGGCCCCCCTGTGGGGTGCTGAGAGGTGTGCTCGGTCTCGGGTCCCGCGGGTCTCTGTCAGGTCTGCACTAGACTCCCAGCTCTCCTGAAGTCCACAGGGGCCACCTGCTTCTCTCCCTGCCCAAGGTCCTGCAGGGCGGGCTGGTCCCCTGAGTTCTCATTGCCAGGGTGCCATCCTGCTCCTTAGGACTTGAATGGGCCCTTCTGGTCCAGACCTGCAGCTCCTGGCCCAGAAATGCCCCCTCCTGCAGCCCCTCGCATTAGCTGCCTCCTGAGATGCCCTCTGGGCCGGGTTCCCACTGGCTCTCAGCAGCTCTGGCTACCCACGAGGCTGCCCAGCAGCCTGGGTGCAGTACCCAAGGCACAGACGGCACAGGAGGCTGCGCCAGGGAGCCCAGCACCAGCGCGGTGGCGCCCGGCCGTGTGCACATTGGCCAGGCTCGGGCTGGTGCACCAAGTTCAACCAGTGTCAGCTGGTTACCAACACAGACCCTGAAAAGTCCAGGGATTCCCAGACCCGGACGAGGAAGGCCTTTTTCTGAGAAACATCCCCAGGAGGCTGCAGACTGGGAAGCTCTGACTCAGCCGGGCTTTCCCTTCAGGTTCCAAGACCTCCCTGGGCGCCCCCGCCCAGTGCAGCGGCCCCTCAGCCTTCCCGCCTTCCCCCCGACTCTCCCAGCCTGACGGGCTTGGGCTGGAGCCCTTGACCCGGAATGCCGCAGGCTGTGCCAGGGCCGTGGGCGGCCGTGCCGCGGGAGGAGCGGTACCAGCCCGCGCTGCACTCGCCTCTGTTCCCAGGCTGCGCGCCTGGCGGCCGGCTGGGGAGCAGCTGGCCCGAGTGCCGGCAAATGTTCCGTTTCTATTTGGGGGTATGAGGCATTGTTCACGCCTCAGGAGCGATAGATGCCCACACACCCATCAGAAGTGGGGCCTCTTGAGCTCGCAAGACAATCTTAGTAAATATTAGCAAACATTTATGAGGTGCTTGTGGTTGCCCGCCGGCGCCCACTGCCTGCTCGCGGCAGGGCAAGGTGGGGCCCCGTCTCCGCGTCCTTGCTGGAGGAGCACCCTGCGGGGAAGCCGCCTGCTAGGGCCCCACTGCTTGCTGGGAAGAGTTCAGGATGCAAACGTGGGCCTGATGCCAGAGCCTTCTGTCTGTCCCTCCCTCCACCGTCCCTTGCTGCTTGCTTTTAGGTTGGATTTACTGAGGTCTTGATACGTTACAGATTTACCCACTTCAGGGTCCCCACAGCCAAGACAGTTTTTCCACGACCCCAGGAGTGCCCTGTGCCCCTTTGTGGCCTCTTCCAGCCCAGACAACACACTGGCCTGGCATTTGCTCCTCAAGTGTTGCCTTTTCCAGAACGTTGCCGCTGCAGCCCACCCGCGTGAGCCGGCGCGCCTGCCCCCAGTGCTCTCCGGGCAAGGTGATGGGAGCGCGTCAGCCCCGCCGTTCTGCTGCCCGGGCCCTTCCTGGGGCGTGCTCTCGTCTGTGCTCCCTTCTCCCCCCGGGCACTGGGTTTCCAGTTTGAAGCAGTTTTGAGTAAAACCGCCATTGGCCTTGGTGCAGATTTTAATTTCTCAGTTTCCGTTGGTGAATATGCAGGTGCAAGGACGCCGGTTCCGACGGTGGAGCCGCCCCAGGCGGGCACGCCATCTCGGGGTCCAGCCCGAGGAGGGCAGGGGAGGCTCTGGTGGGGACTCCCAGCTCCACAGTTTTGCTCCCCGCCCAGCCCCTCGCTCCTGGCCCAGCACGATTTGGAAATGTGTGTGATGGAGAGCTGGGGCCCACGCAGCTTGAATAGCAGGAAGCAAAAGTTGATTGGAGACAAACCCTCTATTGTTCGTGTTCTAGAAGCATTTGGAATGTATGAGTAGCTTTTCCCCCATCTGCTGGAACTACCTGTGTCTGGAGGGCCGAGGGCAGGGCACGGAGGCATCACCCCGCGGCCGTCTCTGTCAGCACTGGGGGCGGAAGCAGGACCCACGATAGGCCCCTGGCCACACAGCCCGAAACTGGCTGTCCCCAGGCGACCCAGCGTGGCACCCACAGCCGCTCCTCTCTCGCCCCGTGCCCCCCCAGGACTGACTCCATGGGGAAAGCACAGCATAGGATGCACCGTCTTACCCGCTAAGCTTACAGCTCAGTGGCGCTAAGTCCACGCTGTGCAGCCCTCGCTGCCACCGTCCATCTCAGCGGAAGCTTCCCGAGTGTTGGTCCTCCTTGAACAACCGCTACCTCCCCGGGCCACCCCCCTTCTCTGTGAACTTGACGCTGGCTGTCTTGTAGACATGGCACCATGTCCTCCTGTGACGACTTATTTATTAGTTGGGGGTCCCAGAGCCGGCACTGGCTGGCTTAGCCCTGCAGGGCCGGCCTTTCCTATCCCACCCACCCCCTCGGGCCCTATGTCTGTGTCTTCGTGGGGATGCTGGGTATCAACCCCCCACCCCTCCCCTCCGGGCTTGGGGCCCATGAAGCCCCATTCTGTGTCCCCACCTCCATGTTTGTCCCTTGCCCGGCGCCCCCCCTTGGCAGCTGTGACCCTGTCGCTGAGCCGGGCCTCCGAGTATCCCGGAGCCTGGGGCTCACACCCTGGGGCCTGTGCACTGGCCAGCCCACCCCACACTCTCACTTGCCTTCAGGCCCCAGGGCCGGCAGCAGCGGTGGGGACTGCCTTGCCCGTTGTGAGGATTTAGTGGGTGCCCTGGCACTGAGGTGCGGCCGGGGTGCTGTTGCTGGCTGAGGGGTGCTGGTGGCCAGGTGGCAGCAGTGGCCGGGGCCCAGGGGCTGCGTGGTCACGCACCTGCCATGACGCCACACAAGTCTAGGTGCTGTGACCTTGTGCATGACCTGCGGGTGTACTTGGCTGACCACAGTGTCTCCCTCGCCCAAGCGCAAGCACTTTCCACAATAAACAGGAAATTTCATTCACCTGCAAAAATCTGGACTTAGCTGTTGGCTCCAGTGTGAGGTGCTGGCAAGAAACTGGGTTTGCGGGCGTGGTGGCGGGAGTGCCCTACTCGGTCGGGGCTCCGGGGGCCCCCTCCATCAGTGGCAGGGAGCAGTGAGGCCACATCGGGTGGAGTCTGGGGGTGACCTCAGCTTCCCCGTGTCCTGTCCCGGCTAACATGGCCAAAGCTAACATGGGCTCACGCCCGCCTGTCAGGGCGCCCCTGTTCCCGGTCACTTGGCTTTGGCATCACCGCCTCCCAGCTGTGTGAATCTGCGGCCAGGTCAGCTCGGGGTGGTCTGAGGACACAGAGACAAGGGGGAAGCTGGGCCTCGTGTTGCTGCCCTCCCGGGTTAGTCCTGAGTCGGGGCATTGCCACAGCTGTCCTGTGTCCCCAGAGCTGGTCATAAAAGGCTGGGGTAGCCCCGTGCAGCCCTGTACCTCGGCCTCCCCTGGCCAGTTTTCTGCTGACGGCTTGGCTCTCGGGGTGACCCTCTGCCCGTAGATCACGGCGCCAGCTGCTCATTGTCCAGGGGCGCCTTGCACTTTGGAGTAGAAGCCTAAGGTGGTGGCTGCCTGGCAGGCGCAGCCTGCACTCCCCATGCCTCCTGTTCTGCGAGCATGTGGACTGTGGGTGCCCAGCCTCTCCCGACCCTGTGGGTGATTGCTGCCCTGCCCAGGCTGAGGTCACATTCAGAGGGACTTTGCCACTGCCACCCCCTTGGAACCTCTGGCCAGTTGAGGGGCTATTTCTGTGTGCTGCACCCCGTTTCCCAGCATGCTGGGCAAGGAAGGGCTACTGCCCTAGCCGGGCAACCCTGCTCAGTCGGCAGAAGCAGTGGACTTGGGGTTTTCCTCACGTCTCTGTGTCTTGCCACAGGGAAGAGAGGTGGCCTGGGGCCTCAGAGCCGGGCCAGAGTTTGTGGTGTCTGGTTCCTGGCCAGTGATGAGGCCAGTCCTTGGCCCTCACCAGGGCCTGCGCTGTGCACATCCACCCTGGTCAGGGGCCGGGGTGTGGGACAGGCTCTGTGAGCGGGGAGGTGGGCTTGGCTGGGTTTCTAGGCAGCGTTCCAGGTGCTTCTCTGTAGGAGTGGCTTCTCTGGCGGCTTCTCAGGATTTTTGCTCTGTGGAGTACTTGGTAGTTTTTAGAAACCGGCCTACGTTTGGGGGGTCCTGTGGGCAGTGGGTGAAGAACAAGGACACTGAGCCCTGGGACAAGGACACTTGCCCATAATGACCCAGAGAGGACACGGCAGCTCGGGCTGGGGACCCAGGCTTCTCAGGGACTCAAGAGCCATTATTTCCACGGGGCCTTTCTCCTTAGTATTCCTGAAGGGGAGGAGCAGGATTTTCTAGCAGCAGAAGAAGTGGAAGGACTGTAAAGTAGAATACCAAGTAAGCTCCTGTTACAGACACCCACAAGTGCATAGACTTGAATCAGGTAGATCAGATAGTTCACGGGAAAAATAAAAGCTCCAGGCCATCCAGAAGGTGCATCTTTTATCTCTGAGCCCAAGGTGCTTGCTCCAGCTCCTCCCATCACATCTGCATTCCCGGTTCTTGTTCATTTCTGCTGTCAGAGAGGCCAGGAAATGCAGTCTTACCCGGGGGTGTGAACCAGACAACGGAGTTGTAAAGGGAGAGTTGCAGTTAGCTGTCTCGCCGCCCCCCTCCCCATTGCTAGAGGACCGCTGGGAAACCACGCAGAGCAGAGGTGGCAGAGCAGAGGTGGCTGCTGAGGACCATCTGGTCCCACCACTGCCCCTTTACAACCTGGAGTGGGGAAGCGGTTTGTAGCACGTCACGGGCTGCAGAGCCAGGGTCAGCAGACGCTTTCTGTGAGGGACAGAGCGCTCACATTTTTGGATTTGCAGCCTCATGGTCTCTGTCGCAACAACTGTACTGTGTGCCCGTAGACAAAAGCAGCCATGGACCCTAAAGACCGGAGTGTGGAAAGCGGGGGCGGGGGGCCAGGTCCGGCCCGAGCTGTCCTGCCTGTCCCAGTTGTAGAGAATATATGAGACTGGGCCTCCCCGGTGGCACAACAGTTGAGCGCCGGGCTGCAAAGCTGCCCGCAGCCTCTGCAGCGTGGGTTCGATCCCCAGCCGTTGGCGAGGGTCCCACATGGCGTGACATACCTCTCCTGCCATGCCCGCTGCTCCCCTCAGCAGTGTATTTCATCACTCTGCCTGTTCTGTTCTCCTCTCTGGCTCTGGTGAATTCTCTCACCCCTTTCCCCCCCCCCCCCCCGTGCTTCTGACTGTACCCAGTGCTGGTATAAATGAATAAATAAATCTTTAAAAAAAAGAGAGAGAATAGACGAGATTCCTGCAGAGTCCTGGCCTGCAGCTCAGCACGCGGAGGGGCTGCGGGGCTGGGGTGTCCTCTCAGGTGGCCGCTGCCTGCGCTCCCAGGCGGCAGTCTCCTCGATGCTGTGTGGCTTGCTGGCCCCTGACACCCCTGTGCTTTGGCTCGCCCACTTAGAGCTTGGACTTTGTGACGTCCTCTGTGTTGCTTTGTTGGTTCACTGCCTCTGCCTGCCAGGTACTGGATGGCGAGGGTGCTCCCACGGGAACACGGAAATAGCAATCGGCCCTTGGAGTGTCCTGCTGCCACCTGAGTATACATTCTGGAACTCAGGGTGCCCCCGGCTGAGAAGCACCCGCACCCTCACTGGCCTCCTCTGCCCACAGGCTATGACTTCGCCGCCGTCCTGGAGTGGTTTGCTGAGCGCGTGGACCGCATCATCCTGCTGTTCGACGCCCACAAGCTGGACATCTCGGACGAGTTCTCGGAGGTCATCAAGGGCCTCAAGAACCACGAGGATAAGATCCGCGTGGTCCTCAACAAGGCTGACCAGATCGAGACGCAGCAGCTGATGCGGGTCTACGGGGCCCTCATGTGGTCCCTGGGGAAGATCATCAACACCCCTGAGGTGGTGCGGGTGTATATCGGCTCCTTTTGGTCGCACCCGCTGCTCATTCCCGACAACCGCAAGCTCTTTGAGGCGGAGGAGCAGGACCTCTTCAAAGACATCCAGTCCCTGCCGCGGAATGCCGCCCTCAGGAAGCTCAACGACCTGATCAAGCGGGCGCGGCTGGCCAAGGTACAGCGGGCGCCCGGGGCTCCGGGCCAGCACCTGCCTCCTGAGGCAACCCGCTGGCCCTCAGCCACACGCAAGTTGTGCTGTCGGGTCTGGGCGCAGCCTTTTCTTATCAGATTCTTCGCAGGGGAAAGACCTCAAATAGGAAGGAGCCCTGCACCCAGGACAGCCCGGAGGCGGGGGAGGGGCAGCCGGGGCCTCACCGCTTCCCCTTCCGGGGAGACTCAAGTGCCTTTGGCACGTGCTGGGGGCCTTGCCTGGGTGTGGCCAGGTCCCTGCCCTGTAGCTTGTCTTCCGCTCAGTCCCGGGGAAAGCAGATCACAGGTCATGTAGAGAAAAATAAGTTGTGATTTACGTGTATTGTCGCAGGGTAAGCACAGGGCCCAGGGCTGCAGAAACAGATGACTGGCGGCTGGGCTGGGCTGGGCTGGGAGGCCTCAGGGGAGCTGGGGCCTGAGTCGGGTCAGGAGAGAGTAGTGGGGAGCTGGGGCCCGCTGGCGGCAGCTGAATTACTCAAGAGTTTGGAATCTCAGTCTCTGGCCAAGCACATCATGGAGACCCCAGGGCGAGTGGGGCGGGGAAACAAAGGTCAGTGTCACCAGCAGACCCTCCAAACAGAACGCATCTTCCTGGGACGCCCAGTTCTGAGTAGTGCAGCTTCACGAGCCTGCCCAAGAAGCCCAAGTCCAGGTCAGACCCTCAGGCCCAAGCCCCGCTGTCAGCCAGGCTGGTCAGTGGCTGCTGCAGCAGCGCGCGTCTCAGAGCTGCAGAGGCCTGCCTGGGGCGTGTGGCAGGGCAGGGAGGCCTTCTGTGGGTACTTGGGCCCCCAGGCTCCTGAGTGTAACAGGACCGGGATGTAGTCCCTTCCTGTCCTGGGCGAGCCCAGCCCTCCAGCCAGACTCCTGCCTCCTGGACACCCAGTGCCTGTAGGACCAGCCCTGGACCCAACAGCCACGTCGCTGGGGGCCCAGAGTCAGGGAACCTTTAGGTTCCCCTGTCCTGAGGAATGAGAACCGACCCTTCATCCTCCACGCTTGCCGAGGCTCCTTCCTAGTCACCCCGTGTTCTTGGGCCTCACCTTCCCACCCTACCTGCCTAGAGCCAGAATCTGCATCTGAACCCACCCCTCACCCCCACCCCCGGTGGCCTGTATGCACAGTGAAGGTGAGGAAACCTGCTCCAGAGGTTCAGGGCTGCACATCCTTCCTCAAGGGCCCAAGGGCCGTCCCAAGCTGAGTGGAAAGGAGACCCAGCTCCCATGCTCTGGCTCAGCCTCTGTCCAGTGAGAATGCAGGCGGGCTTCCTCCGGCCCTGCCTGCTCACCCGCAGACGCTGAGTCACCCGGCAGCCCTGAGGCCCAAACCTGTCCCACACCTGCTGCTGCCAGGCTGCTTCCTTTTCCTGGAGCGCTCTTGGCACTGACTTGTGATGGACAGTGGAGACAGTGGCCCTTGGTGACACACCTTAGCCAGCCGGCTGTCAGGGAAGTGGGCGAGCCTGGCTGCAGCACACTGACGGCTGGATGGCAGGCCCAGGCAGAGGGATTTGAGGGCTGGAGCCCTCAAGTGTTGCAGGCATTTGGACCCCTCTGTGGGGAATCAAAGGGTGTGCCACCTTATTTGGCCATGTCCTGGCCAGGTAGGAAAGCCTGGATAAAGCTTGAAACATCTGGGAGAAGCCTTCAGGCTGCCCTGAGCCTTAGTCATCCTGAGGCTGCGAGGGCCAGCTCAACCTCAGCCCCCTCTGGCGAGGGGCTCGGAGCCTGCTCCGCCTGCCAACCCGCCAGGCTCAGCCGCCAAGTGTCCCGGAGGCAACTGACGCAGCCCCCACCCTGCCTTCCCAGGTCCACGCCTACATCATCAGCTCTCTCAAGAAGGAGATGCCCAATGTCTTCGGGAAAGAGAGCAAAAAGAAAGAGCTGGTGAACAACCTGGGAGAGATCTACCAGAAGATCGAGCGGGAGCACCAGATCTCCCCTGGTGACTTCCCCAGCCTGCGCAAGATGCAGGTACCGCCGGCCGCATGCCCTGGGCAAACTGGGGTGGGCAGCGGGTAGCGAGGCCGGGGTGGTGCTCTAGATGCTCCCTGGGATGGGGCCTCCCAAAATGGAAGCAGCTGGGTTAATCCCTAGCACCCCACCCGCGTCGGAGGGGTTGACCAAGCAGTGACTTCCAGAAGGGGAATGCGTGACTCACCCTCACGGTGGAGCAGGGTGGGGCCGGGCCAGGCACTCGCCTTCACCCCAGCCAGTCCCCGCAAGGAAGCTGCCTGTGTCACCCCCGCTTCCACACCGGGAGCCCAGGCCCTGGGCCCTTAGGGGTTGGGGCCATGGTGGGGCCAGGCCCTTCTGTCCTCACCCAGACCCTTGCCCTTTGACCCTTCCAGGAACTCCTACAGACCCAGGACTTCAGCAAATTCCAGGCCTTGAAGCCCAAACTGCTGGACACGGTGGACGACATGCTGGCCAACGACATCGCCCGCCTGATGGTGATGGTGCGCCAGGAGGAGTCCCAGATGCCCTCCCAGGCCGTGAAGGGCGGCGCCTTCGAGGGCACCATGAACGGGCCCTTTGGCCACGGCTATGGCGAGGGGGCCGGTGAGGGTATCGACGACGTCGAGTGGGTGGTGGGCAAGGACAAGCCCACGTACGACGAGATCTTCTACACGCTGTCCCCCGTCAACGGCAAGATCACGGGCGCCAACGCCAAGAAGGAGATGGTGAAGTCCAAGCTGCCCAACACGGTGCTGGGCAAGATCTGGAAGCTGGCCGACGTGGACAAGGACGGGCTGCTGGACGACGAGGAGTTCGCCCTGGCCAACCACCTCATCAAGGTCAAGCTGGAGGGCCACGAGCTGCCCGCTGACCTGCCCCCTCACCTGGTCCCACCCTCCAAGCGGCGGCACGAGTAACCTGGCGCGGGGGGGTGGGGGGCTGGGGGGCAGCGGTTCTCGAGGTCCATAAAGACTGAGCGGATGTTTCCTCGGCTCTTGCAACGGAAAACCACCATCTTTCTTTCCGGGCCGCTCGGGGCCCAGCGGGGGAGGTGGGGGTGATGCTCGTATGTGAATGATGGAATTTTGTGCACAAGAACTAAGGATATTTTTAATATATAACGTTAGAGGCAGCATTCTTTCTTGCCTCCTCTGTCTGACAGCCCCCCACACACGGTCCAGCTGCCCCCCAGCCTCACCCTCTGACTGCAGGGAGATGCCCCGCCCACCCCCAGCCAGCCCCTGCCTACTGGCAGCCTGGCAGCTCTGGGCCATGTGGACCGAAGGTCCCTGTTGCTGAGCTCGCTCGCCCTGCAGGCCTGTGGCTCCCTCGCACTGCAGGCCTGTGGCTCCCTCGCACTGCAGGCCTGTGGCTCCCTCGCAGGGGCCCTGCCTCCTCCCTGCACTCCCGATGAAGTTGGTTCTTGTGCCTTCCCCTTCCCAGCTGCCCCCACGGGCGGGCCCAGCTCTCCTCCAGAGCTCCTGTTCCACTGGCTTCGTGCCCCAGCTCAGCAGTCACAGAAGCAAGGCTCAGCTACCTTTTTGGGGGGTGACCCCGGGGGACAGGTGGGTATGAGAGAATGTCTTCCAGAAAACATATAAGCTAGTTTTTGTTCTGTAAAGTAACACCTTTCATACTTGACCGAATTTTCCAGTAATTTACCAACCACTTGTTTAGAAGCTGTGATTTGTCTCCTTCCTCACACTCTGACCAAGAGTAGCACCCTCGGGGAGCCATTAGGTGCGGGGTCTGTGTGGAGCACACCTTCCCCTCTCTCGGGGACCCAGCGTTTGCTTCTTGTCTCGCCCTCACATTCTGGAACATTCTGGTGCACCTCCGCCCCAACTCAGGTGGGTGGTGGGTCCTCATGAACCTGGTGTAGTTGGTGCTCCAGCCTGGGCCAGGTGTCCAGTCCACAGACCAGGGACAACCCAGTCCTTCCCCCCTTCATCTTGACAAGCCCTTCGACCTTGCTGACCTTCCTGCCGTTGAGCGCAGGTGGCCAGCGCCTGACCTTACGCTTAGGACGACCCTGAGCTGTGAGGGGCCAGTCTAGGCCACTGCTCTGGCACAGCCTTGGGGCCTGGGGGCACTCACTAGCCCCGTGTTGGCCCAGCTGCCAAGGCTGGAGGAGTGTCCCGGCAGACACTCCCCAGGGGTCTCAGGGACGTCTCTCTGGCCCTCCAATGCCCCCCTCAGTGTTGCGCAGCCTCTCCCGGGTCCCAGTCCCAGGCTGGCCTGGTTGCCTCCCGCCAGCCTTGGCCACATTCCATATGTATTAGGTGATGATGGAGGCACATGCTCCTGAGGAGTCCACTGTTGGGGTGCGGTGGCTCCTCCACACTGGCCTTTGGGAGGAGAAAGCAACTGAAGACAAGACTTTTCTTGCATTAAAAGTTTTATTGTGCTGAAGCTGGCTTTTTGGTGCTTGGTTCTTCCCAGGGCCTGCTCCCCACAGTGTGCTGGGGTGTGGGCAGAGCAGCAGAGTGGGGTGGGGTGCCAGCAGCCACAGATGGGAAGGCCGCCCAGTCACCTCCGCTCGCGCAGTGCCGCCTTTTGCCGCAGGGTGAGGCCTGTCCTTACGCCCGCAGGGAGCTGGGCAGCAGTGGTTTATTGGGGGGTGGAGGGGTGTGGAGTGAAATAGTTGGAACCTCTGACACTTGAGGACTAGGCCGCCCCCTCACTGTGCGGGGAGAGGGGGCCGCCTTCTCCGCCATCGCAGCACCTCAACCTGGCTCCACCCTGCCGGGACAGAGAGGCAGGCGCCTGGGGCCTGGCCCGGGGAGGGGGAGGGGTCCGGCAGATAATGGTCCAGGCTCCGTGCTGGCTCCGTGCTGGCCCCAGGTGGTCTAGACAGCGCAGCTGTCCTCTGAAGACAGGCCGAGCAGATACACCAGTGACAAAAATACAATTAGAAAGGGTGGGGCCAGCTCATGTGTCAGACAGGGGGCTGGGTGCCAGCACAGGGCAGGGCACACCGGGTGCTGCCGCCATGGGAAGGAGTCGGCCAGATGCAGTTGGGGGCAGATGCGCTGGGGGCGGGGCGGGGGGGCAGGGGCTGGCCAGCTCTCCCACGCCACTCATGAGCTCCTGACCCTGGAAGCTGGTGTTTCCCCCACTTTACAACTGAGGGCCCCAGTCTTCTCAGGAGAGGGCAGAGATTCACACCAGCCACAGAGCACCTGCCCCTTAAAGCAAAAACAAAATAGCCGCCACCCTCCCGAGCCCCAGTGTAGATCGGAGAGAACGGGGTCCTGAAGACCTGGGCAGCCCCTCGGTTCACTGGGGCTGCCAAGAGTGGTTGAGGGCTGGGGCCCGCTGTCTGAGCACAAAGGAACCCAGGCGCTTGTGGACCCCGTGTGAAACCTGCCCGGCCTGCCGTGGCCCCTCTGGGCCTCCCAGGGGTCCCCAGCAGGTCCCGCATGCTCAGCAGCCCCGGGCACTGGATGGCGGGGGTGGGGGGGTCCTTGAGACTGCCCCAGTATGTGACCCCTGATCTGAAACTTGAAAAAATATCTGCCCCAGAGCTTGCACCCCAGGCTTGGGTTTTATAAGTAGGTTGGGGGGTCTTACCTCAGTTGTGTGGGTCCAGGGAAGACAGTTGGGATGGACCAGGCATGGCCATCTGGGGCCCAGGCCTCACCCCTCCCCAACTTGACAGCTGAAAGGATCTACCTTCTGAGGGCGGTCTGGGGTGTGGAAGGGGTTCCCCCCACCCCTGCCCCCGGCTCCACCCCGAGTCCCAGACCTCTGGGAGCCACCTGCCGGGAGCCACCTGCCGACATGGCATCAAAGAGCTCAGGACCTAGAGGGCCCCCCCACTGCCTTCAACCCCCTCCCCAGCACCTCTTTGTACATTTTGCCAACCCGTGAGAGCTCACAGAACAGTCATTTCTGTGGCTCCTTAGGAAACAGGAATTGACCAGGGGCGTGTTCTTATCTCCAAAGCACTGGTCCGAAGACCTGCCTGAGGCCACCAGGCTGGTGACAACCCTGCCCCAGGCTGCCCAGCCCAACTCAGAGGCGCCAGGCAGGCAGGCGGAGACAGACGCAGGCTCAAATCCCAGCTCTGCCACTTGCTGGGATCCGAGAGGCAGGCCCTGGGGGTGTCCCTCGAATGGCCCCCCTTGCTGAGTCCCTAGGGTGGCTGGTCAGGGTGAGGGTCAGGGTCCGTTGCTGGGAGACAGGGCCCCACCCAACTCCCAGAACAAAGCAGGCTGGACCCACCCTTCCCTGCAGCAACCCCAGACTCGGAGGCGCCCCTGGGCCAGCGGGGTGGTGGCCGAGGGGCTGGGGCCTGGCTTCCTGTGGCCCAGAGGGATTGATAATTACAAAATCAGGTGGGGCGGCAGCCGCTGGGGAGTGAAGCGTGGGAGCCCAGTGGGCTGCACGGAGAGGTTTTTGGAAGAAACCCCGGATGATGAAATCACCATCTGTCCACCCATCTGGAGTTTTGGATTTTTTAAAGGCCATGCCCCTGGCGTGCTGGGGAGGGCGGGGCAGCGGGGGCAGGACCGCCCAGGGCTAGCTGGGGGCCTGGGTCCATCAGCACCCCCTCTTCTTCAGCCCCTCCCCCAAAGCTGCCCTAATAAACAATCATTTAAATAAAACCTGGTGCCTGATCCCCCACACAGTTTATACCCTCTGACCTCACACCTCCTGGGGTGACAGGTTCCAGCGGGCTTCGCTCCGGATGCCCTGCACACCTGAGCAGGCATTTTTCTCCAAAGTGCAAAGACAGGGGCTCCTGGAGAGGGGACCTCGCCGAGGCCACTCGCCTGGTCGGTGACGGGCGAGGCTGTGTGGCCCCCCAGCCGCTGTTATTCCCTGGCCTTGCGCTGCTCAGCCCGTGAGGCCAAGGGGGTCACCTGCCTATGCACTCAGGACCTTTTTGGGAGGTGCCGCCGCGGCAGAGCCGGAGAGCCTCCTCCTGGACCACGGACACTGAGTTCCGCTTAGTACAAGGGAGCCGCAAATGGGGCTCCGGAGGCCTGAGAGGTGCCTGTGGAGGCCTACGCTGGGGCCCCCCAAACCCAGGGGGCTGTGCTCTAGGGGCCAGGAAATCCAGTTTCCCCACCATTCAACGACCTTCCCCCTCTGTTTAGTTCCCCCTTATCTATGAGGCCTGAATTAACTGAGTTTCCTTTTTTCGCCACCCAAGGCCCCTTGCAGAAATCTGCACCCCTCCTGCCCGCACTCTGACCTCTCCTATTCTTGGCACCTGGGCACCACAAACTGCCCTCTGCAGCCAGGCACTGCCTGAGGCCTGGAAGCTGGGGAAGGGCTGGGCTGGCGCCACCCAGCACCCCAGCCTCAAGGTATTAATCTGTTAAGGGAGGGTAATGATTCCCTCTCTGGAAGGATCCTTGTGAAGATAACAGATCTGAAGTCACTTTGAAATGCTAAGAAGCACCCTAAGAATGCAAGGTGTTTCTTACCATGACTTGCTCCCTCCAGGGCTGGGTGAGAGCTAGTGCCAGCACCCCAATATCAAAGAGGCTTGGGATGGGGAGAGGTTGTGGGGGAGCAGGTGCCCCTGCACCAGGGTGGGCCTCCAGAAAGCAGTGACTGAGGAGTGTGAGAAGCTGGGAGGTTAAGGAAGTAGTGGGTTTCCTGCTCACACCCACTTATCCTCTGAGCACCCATGGTGGGGAGGGGAGCAGCCTTGCCAACTGCAGGGCTCCCTGGGGCGAGGCCTGGGGTGGTGGATGGAGCCAGCCAGGCGGGGACACAGGTTCAGTCTTGAGGCGCTGTCTGACCTGAACCACTGAGGAGGGGCAGGGAGCTCGGCCCCTTACACATTTGGAGAAGGATGTGACCCAAACTATTACAGCGTCCGCCTTGAACCGTGGTTTTGCGTTCCCGAAGGCAGTTACCCACAGCGAACCACACTCCGAACAAGCAGGCACAGGAAGGTGTTTGGAGGGAGAGACCATATTCACATAACTTGATTAGTTCTTGCCACTGTCCTTAATCTCTGTGCCTACTTTGTAAATTGAGCTGTATCAGAAGTGTGAGGAGCAGGAAGACACGCAGCATGGAGAGGGGGGTCCGCCGCGCAGGCCTCCACTGGGGGGCGAGGGACGACATCACCTCCAAGGGGCCACCCAGATAGAACCAATCGGGGTGAGGTAGGCGGTGGCTGGGGGAGGTAGTTCTGCCAGGTGCAGACCTGGGCAGGTGCCGCTGCGGCCTGGGAGCTGGTTGCTGCTGCTGCTGCACCAAGTGAGGATGGAGTCTGGGGGGCGGGGGGTGGGGGGTGCACTTGGGAGAATTCCGCAGGAGAGTGGCTGAGGCACCTGCCCCGCTCACACGGGGCCTGAGTCGGCTGCCAGCTGGCCCTTGACTGGCAAGCCCTGGAGACGGCGGTCGGGCGGCGGCAGGGGTAGGAAGGCCATTGCCCCCCAGGATCCTTTTCCTGCCTCCTTGTTCCCGGGAGGTGGGAAGCGGGACCGGCCCTGCGCGCCCGGCCCGCCTCTGGTCTCTGGCGCCCCCCTGTGGCCTCGGGGAGCAGGAACCGCCGTGTGGGTCCCGTCCCGCCCCGCCCACTTAGGGAGGACCCAGAGGGCCTCAGGTGAGGGCCGGTCTCACCTGTGCCAACCCTGCCCCCACCCCTCCCTGAGACACAGTGACCAGATCACCGGATTTAGATTTGAATCCGACTCCCCTTCCCGCGCCCACCACTTGGGGGGCACATCTCGTCTCTGTCCCCATTTTGCAGATCGCGGGCCCGGGAAGCCGCCGGGCCGGTGTCTGGGATCAAACCCGGGCGCGGCCAGCTCAGCTCCACAGACGTTCCCGACGCCTCCAGCACGCCGGGGCTCACTGCGGCCCCCTCGGGGAGGAAGGAAACCCCTAAGCGGATCTTTTGATGGAAAGCGTGTTGTCTACACCCGCTAAAATGCCCCTCCCTTTGATCTTGCGCCCGGAGCAGGCCACCCCACAGCCCCGGGGGGCGGCTCCCGCCCGGCGGCTCGGACGCCAGAAGCCCCGCCGGGCAGAGCCCCCCTCCGGCCCCGCCGGCCCCGCCCGCGCGGACCCCGCCTGGCCCTCGCGCTCCGGGCGCGCCCGCGCGGGGGGACCGGCCCGGCCGCCGCCCCGGCCCGCCCCGGTCCCCCCCGGCCCGCCCCGCCCCGGTCCCCCCGCCCCGCCCCGGCCCGGCCTCAGTTTGTCCACCTGCCGAATGGGCGGGGCCGCCCCCGCCCCCCGCCCCGGCCGGCGGGACCGACGAGTACGAGGACCTCGGGAACCGGCGAGTTTGGGGGCCCGCGGCGGGTCCCGGGGAGAGCGCGGACTACAACTCCCATCCGGCCGCGGGGCCCGGGGCGCCCCGGCCCCTCGCCCCGACCCGCGGCGGAGCGGCCGCCCCGGAGCCCCGGGGGCGGTGCCGGCGGCTCGCCTCGGCCAGGGCCCGCGGGGGCCGCAGGGCCGGGTCCGGGGCGCGGGGTCGAGAGGGACCCCCAGCCCCGGGGTCGCCCCCCGCCCCGCCCCGCCCGGGCGTTACTCTCTGGGGCCCGCCCCCCCACTTCCTGGCCGGAGTGACCCCGCCCCGCGCGCCTCCGCCCGCCCCCTCCCCCGCGTCCCCCATTGGCCGGCGCGCACCTGCCCGTCCGTTGGGGGCGGGGCGAGGGCGGGGCGCGCGCCCAGGTGAGGGCGCGCGGCGGCCGCCGAGGAAGGTGACAGCGGGGCGGGCGGAGGGCGGAGGCGGGGGGAGGACGCGCGGACGGACAGGCGGACCGACCGACGGGCGGGCATGCGGGCCGCCCGGCTCTAGCCCGGGCGCGGGGCCCCGGCCGCGGCCATGGAGCGGCGGCTGCGGGAGCTGGAGCGGCTGGCGCGGGGCGAGGCCGGCGGCGGCCCGGGGCTCGACGGCCTCCTGGACCTGCTGCTGGGGCTGCACCACGAGCTCAGCAGCGCCCCCTGCGGCGGGAGCGCAACGTGGCGCAGTTCCTGAACTGGGGTGAGTGCCCGGGCAGGGCGGGGCGGCCGGAGGGGGGACACCGCGCCGGACCCTCGCCCCCTCCCCCACGGGGAACCGCAGGCTCCCCCCACCCACACCCCGCAGACACCCCGCAGTCGCCTGACACATGCCACCGGACCCCAGGGCCTCAGTCGAGTCACCCCTTACCCTCACTCGGATTCACACTCGCAGCACCTGGCACGTGCCCCCCCCACACACCCCACAAACTTGGTCCAGGGTGTAGATCCCAGATGTGCGTGCACAAAATGGGCTCCACAGGACTTCTCACTGACACGTCACCCCTCACTGCAGCCTGTCACCCCCAGACACACACAGGCCTCCTGGTCTCCCACACGTCACAGGGACGTGCTCAGACTCACAGTTCACGCACTCGCCTGCAGACCCTCCAGCCACGCCGGCTGTCACACGCGCTCCGGCTTCCACTCACAGGTTGCAGGTACTGCACACTTTCAGGCGTCCGCCAACACACGCTCTCCCACCTTCCTGCACACAAAACCCCAGAACCCACCTCAGTCCCTTTGTGCAAGCTGCTGGCCAGGCTGTTCCCCAGAGCCTGGGGCAGGGGGCCCAGCGGGAGGTGGGTCTGCACCCCTCCCTGGTTGATTGAGTCACTGGGAGTGGCTGGCCCAGGGTGACCCTGCACCCGGTGTGGGCACCGGCGCCAGCCCCAGGGCTCCCTGGTCACGCCCGGCCGGCCAAGGAGGGAGGGCACCGGGCCCGGCCTGCAGGCGGGGTGAGGCCGGTGTTTGCCCAGTGGGCAGCCAGCGTTCTTGGCACTCCTGAGCTCCGGGCAGCGCAAGGACCAGCCTGGCACGGCCGGGGGCCTGCGAGCTGGGCCACAAGTTGGCCCCCAGCCCCAGCCGTTTCCTCCTGGTGAGGCCAGCCAGGGGCCCTCCCCTGCTGCCTGCCAGCCTCCCTGGACTCAGGCAGCCCCTGGGTGTGTGTCCGACCATGTTGTCATCCCCCCTGTGATGCCCACACACGTGTGTGTGTTTGCACACATTCGTGCTCCTCCCTGCCTGCCTCTGGCGTCTCTGCTGGGACCCCAGCATGGGGGCCTGTCTGTTGACATCCCCAAGGTAACTCTCAGGGCAGTGACTCACTCCTCTCCTGCCCCAGCTTGTCCCTGCTCCCGCCCGGAGCCCCCGTCCCCGAGGCAAGGCCAGGGGACCCAGCAGCCAGTTCTGGGGGCTTGGACCCTCCTGGCTGTGGGCCCCAGGCCGTGCCCACTGCCTGGCTGATGGGGAGCCACCCCAGCCTCCGCTGCCCCTTGGAGGCCCGTGGCTGGGCCTCCCCCGCTACACACACAGACCTGGGAAAGAGACAATTAATTTCTGTAATGAGGTTTCCACACCACCCCTGCTGCGGGGGTTCTGCCTGATAAACCTGTGGAGCAGCTCTCCGTCCCACCCACAGGCCCGCCCAGCTGGCAGGGAGTTTCCCTCCTGGCAGGGGGAAACTGAGGCAGGGGCCTGCACTGCAGCTGCCCCCAGCCCCTACCGGTCATCCTTGCATCTCCCCGAGTGTACAGCCCCAGTTCCGAGCCGTGGCCCCTCCAGGCCTGGGAAGGGCCTGAAGCGGTTGGAGATGCCCCTCGCGGAGCAGGGACTATGAGGCAGGGGGAGGTTCTTGGCCAGGTGAAGGCTGCGTCCAGAGAGGGAAGCAGGGCTCGGAGTTGTAGGGCTGGGCAGGCCTGGAATCCCGAGAGCTCACACCCTCAGGTGCCAGCGTCAGGCGCCAGGGAAAGGTTTTCTGGCCTTGTTTTTTGAGTCTTGTGAGAACCTGGGCCAACCGTTCTCTGCCTCCAGACCGAGGAGCCCTGCAGGGGCCTGGCCTCCGAGAACCCTGCAGAGCCCCTGTCCTCTGTCCCCCAGGGCTGCCCAGGCCTCTGTGCCCACAGGGTCCCAGGACTGGGGCCCTCAGCTCCTCAGTGGCAGAGAAGCCTCTTGGAGGACAAGGAATGTTGCCCGTCCAGTTTTCCAAGACAGGTCCCGGCCTGGTCCTAGCAGGGGCCCAGAACTGAGCTGGGGGTGAGAATGGTGTCCCCATCACCCCCAGGGTGACCTGGCCAGTCAGGGTCAGGCCCCAGCCTGAGAAGGACCACAGGTTCCATCCATCTGAGGGATGGAGGCATCTGGTGTCTGGGGACAAGGGATCCGGGAGCCGTGGATTCAGGGAGGCTTGGGGGCCGAGTGGCCAGGACACCCCCTTCCACACTTCCTGATCATGGACAGGCCTGTGGCTTCTCAGTGCCGTGGCTAGAGGCTGTCCTGGGAAGGTTGTCTGTCTTGGGCCTGGCCCTCTGGGAGTGGCAGCTCCTGGCTTTCGCCCTCGAGGGGGAGCTGGGGCCTCCCTGCAGGTGCCCTGAGCCCCGTGCCCTGTCCCCTCAGCCAGCCCCTTCGTGAAGAAGGTGAAAGAGTTGCGGCTGCAAAGAGATGACTTTGAGATCCTGAAGGTCATCGGCCGAGGGGCCTTCGGGGAGGTGAGCACGGGCCGAGGGCGGGAGGAGCGGCCGCACGGGCCGGGCTGATCCCAGCGCTCTGTGGCCTCAGGTCGCCGTGGTGAGGCAGAGGGACAGCGGGCAGATTTTTGCCATGAAAATGCTGCACAAATGGGAGATGCTGAAGAGAGCAGAGGTCAGTGGGGTCTGCGGGACGTGGGCACCTGCAGCAGGGCGGGGGGCGGTGTGTGCTGCCCTCAAGGCCTGCAGGCATGGCCGCACCCCCGCCCCCGCCGCGTCCTCCCAGGGAGCCTCTCTTAGAAGCCCGCCGAGTCTCCCTTCCATAATGACCCGGGCGCGGAGCCTGGCAGCGCGGGCTGCTGGGGCTCCCACGGGCCACTCCATTTGAGCTTCCAGACTTAGGAATCTTCTCCTACCCCTGAGCTGGCAAGAGGGATTTCCTGGGTTCTGATCCCCCCCTTGCTCCCCAAACCTGCGGCAGACGGCCTGTTTCCGGGAGGAGCGGGACGTTCTGGTGAAGGGGGACAGCCGCTGGGTGACGGCTCTGCATTACGCCTTCCAAGACGAGGAGTACCTGGTGAGGACCCGGCGCGGCTGGATGGGCTGGCCTGGGGACCAAGGAGAGTGCCCCGAGGGGCCAGGGGTGCTCGGTCCCAGGAGAGAGACCCCCTCCTATGGGGATTCCAGGGTCCAGAGCCTCCTGCTTGAGAGCGGACTGGGAGGCACAGCCCTGCCTTCCCAGGGCCAGAAGGGACCCCCAGGGCCGGCGGGGGGTGGCCCCATCTGACTCTGCCCCCTGCCGCTCTCTGCCCTCTAGTACCTGGTGATGGACTACTATGCTGGGGGGGACCTCCTCACCCTGCTGAGTCGCTTCGAGGACCGCCTCCCGCCTGAGCTGGCCCAGTTCTACCTGGCCGAGATGGTGCTGGCCATCCACTCACTGCACCAGCTGGGCTATGTCCACAGGTGGGGACCCCAAAGCCCGTGGCTCCGTCCAGCCCCGACTGAGAGCTCTAGGGACATTGGCTCAGCCCTCACCGCCTGCCGGGCCCTGGGGTGGCTTCTGCGCAGGCGCTTCCTTTGAAGCCTCACACCCAAAACTTACATGATGGGGGCCACTGCCGTCCCCGTTTAACAGGTGAGCAAGTCAGAGCTGAGTGCGGGTGAGCACCCGGCCCCAGGTGACTCAGCTAGTGCACCGGGGGAGCTGGCCCCGCGTCCCTCACAGCCCGCTCTGCTGCCTCCACGGGTCATCGCCGGCCCTCTCTTCCTTGAGGGGCCCAGCGTACCCCACTCTCTTCCTTGTGTGGGCCAGGATGCCTGGCTGCCCGCCTCCCCTACTGTGTGCGTGCACACACTGTGCTCCCATGGGTGGGCAGGAGCACGCGAGTGCCTGCGCGCTCCGGAGTCTGCACGCGCCCATGGACACTCAGCGGGCATGTGGCGAGTGCGTCCACACGCAGGTCAAGCCCGCACCCTCCCGCCCTTCCCTAGGGACGTGAAGCCAGACAACGTCCTGCTCGACATGAACGGGCACGTCCGCCTGGCCGACTTCGGCTCCTGCCTGCGTCTCAACAACAGTGGCATGGTGAGGACCCGCCCGGGGCTGCCCAAGGCAGCGAGAGGCGCCGGGCCTTGCCAGGGGCGCCAGCTCCCGGAGGAAAAGGGCCAGGCCCAGGCGGGGAGCCAGGGCCCGGGAGCGGCAGGCCCACGAGCCTGGTGTCCACCCAACACTCCCAGGTGGACTCGTCGGTGGCAGTGGGGACGCCGGACTACATCTCCCCTGAGATCCTGCAGGCCATGGAGGAAGGCAAGGGCCACTACGGGCCGCAGTGCGACTGGTGGTCGCTGGGAGTCTGCGCCTACGAGCTGCTCTTCGGGGAGACGCCCTTCTACGCCGAGTCCCTGGTGGAAACCTACGGCAAGATCATGAACCACGAGGTCTGGCCGCAGGTCCCGGGGGCCTGGGAGGGCGGCGGGGCTCCCGGGCCCCTGGCGTTGGAGATGCCCGAGTGCGGGAAGGGGCTCCCAGTCACCACCTGCACCCCTTCCCTGCACGCGCAGGACCACCTGCAGTTCCCCCCCGACGTGCCAGAAGTGCCGGCCAGTGCCCAGGACCTGATCCGCCAGCTGCTGTGCCGCCAGGAGGACCGTCTGGGCCGCGGGGGGCTGGACGACTTCCGGAAGCACCCCTTCTTTGAAGGCGTGGACTGGGAGCGGCTGGCAACCAGCACTGCCCCCTACATCCCTGAGCTCCGTGGGCCCGTGGACACGTCCAACTTCGATGTGGACGAGGACACGCTCAACCATCCAGTGAGTGGCAGGTCCCGCCTTGCCCTCGCAGGCCACGGGAACTTCCCCCTCTGGCAGGTCCTCCCAGCTGTTGCTGGGCTGGGGGTGAGGCCTCTGGAGCCCAGAGGCTCATGGGATTTGTGGCTCACCTGGGTTGGTTCACCTGCCCTGAGGTGGGTGGTGACAAGGGAAGGCCTTTGACCTCTGGTGTCATTCTATTAACCTGAGGTCAGACAAGGAAAAAAAACTCCCAGAAGCACCTGGGAGACCATACCTCAAGGGGCCTGGGAGCCATCCTTTGAGGTGGAGGCCACGCTGCTCCCCGCAGTTCCCATCTGAGCAGGACGAGGGCGGCACACAGGTCCCAGGGACCTCCTGGGTCTCAGGCCTTAGCCTAGAGCGGTGCCCGGAGACTGACCTGCTCGCCCTCCTCCTGCAGGGGACCCTGCCTCCGCCATCCCATGGGCCCTTCTCAGGCCACCAACTGCCATTTGTGGGCTTCACCTACACATCAGGCAGGTGAGTCTAGGCCCTCCACCAGGAAGCTGGGCACTGCCTGACCCGAAGTGTCCCCTGTCAGGCCCCTAGGGAGGGAACTCAGGGTCCTCCTGGAATCTGCGAGGGACAGGAAGTAAAGGCTGAGCCCTTCGGGATGACCCTGTGCCCCAGGGTCCTACTGAAGCCATGCCCATGCCCCCTCATCCTGCTGCAGCACCTGGCCCTCACCTGTCTGGTCTGATCAGCTTTTCTTCCCAGCACAGAGCCCAGGGCTGGTACCAAGCCAGCCCCAGGGGCTGTTACTTGAAAGAATGAATAATTGGATGGAGGAGAGGGAAGCTTGGGGGGACATTTCTGCCAACTTCTGTGGCCATGTTCTCCCCAGTCCAGGCTCTGAGAGCAGCTCCAAGCAGGTAGCTGCCCTGGAGCAGAAGCTCCATCGTCTGGAGCAAGAGAAGGCAGAGCTGAGCAGGAGGCTACAAGGTAGGGGAGCCAGCTGGGCCCGGGCAGGTAGGTCTGACCCGGGAGGGGGCCACTGCTGCAGAATGAGCTGCTCACCTTTGGGTTGGGTACTCCCTCTGCAGACGCCCAGCAGACCCCCTCAGATCCTCGGGAGCTGGAACGGCTACGGAAGGAAGTGCAGACTCTACAGGACAAGCTGTCAGGTAGCCCCCCTCACACCCCCAGGCTGAACTGCCTCCCTAGCACACCCGAGTCCAGCCCCAGTTCCAGTCCTGCCCCTGCTCTGTCACATGCTATATGACCTCAGGGAAGTATCTTTTTTGCGTTTGTAGAAGAACTGGGGTGCAGGCCAGAGGTGGGGGGGCGGGTGAGCGGATTCACCAGAGACAGAGTAAAGAGCAGAACAGGTGGATCCACTGAGATCACTGCTGAGGGGAGCAGCGGGGAGACAGGAGGGGTCTGCTGCGCCCCGTGGGCCAGCTCCCTGGCCGGGGATGAACTCAGACCGCAGCGGTGATATCACTGAGACATAACCCCTGGGCCACCAAGAGGCCCCTCAGGGAAGTGTCTTAATCTCTCTGAGCCTGCGCCTGCGTGTAGAAAATGAGCCAAGGAAATCTACCTCCCAGGCTGTGCGAGGGTCCCCTGCTGGAGAGTGCGGGCTGACGCCGGGGCAGTCAGTGAGTGCGGGTCTCTGACAATTCCTGGCAGGGGCGCTGAGGGACGGCATCGCACCCTCGTCCCAGTCGGAGGGGACCCCTGCTGGCAGCCCAGGCCAGGACACTGACCTGCGGCAGGACAGAGACCGACTCTTCCAGGTGAGGGCCTGGTGAGTTGGGCCAGGGGCCAGGGTACCCTGCTAAGAAAGGCCACGCCTGACCTTGACCCTGACCCCCAGGAGCTGGCCGAGGCTCGGGCCGGGCTGCAGGCGCAGGAACAGGAGCTCTGCAAAGCCCGGGCGCACCAGAAGGAGCTGCTGCACAGGCTGCAGGAGGCCCAGGAGAGGGAGGCGGCCACAGTCGGCCAGACGCAGGCCCTGAGCTCCCAGTTGGAGGAAGCACAAGGTGCCCGGAGGGAGGTGAGTGACAGTGCGGGGCACAGCAGCAGGACCCGGCCCCCATGCCCCTCAGCTTGGTTGGAGGGAGCCCTGGCAGCTCTGTGCAAGGTGCTGGGAGCACCCCGTGCCTGGGCACCCCCACGTGACTGGCAGAGTTTGAGTGAGGGGAGGATGGTTAGGGCGGGGCAAGCTGGGATTCACCTCCTCCCGCACGCTGTGGCTGGCACAGGTCCAGAGCCTGTAGCGAGGTGGGCAGAGAGTTGGGGTGGGCAGGTCAGCACTGACCACCTCTGCACCCCATCACAGCTGCAAGCCCAGGTGGCCACCCTGAACCGGGAGTTGATGCGGCTCCAGAAACAGCGGGATCGAAACCTTCAGAGGGAGTCGGCCCCGGTCAAGGTAGGAAGGCCAGGCCTCTGCTGGGGGTAGGACAGCCTGGCTCCTCAGGCCCCTGCCTGACCCTTCTCCATGTCTCAAGACCGTCCATACCACCTCCGAGACGAATGGCGTGGGGTCGCCAGAGGCCGGGCCTCAGGAGGCGCAACTGAGGAAGGAGGTGGCCGCCCTGCGGGTGCAGCTGGAGCAGGCCCGCAGTCACGGGTGAGCCAGGCGTGAAGTGGGGGCAGGGGGTGGGCCTGAGCTGGGGGTCACCGAGTCACCCCCTCTTTCCTAGGTCCAGCGGGAAAGAGGAGGCTCTGAGCCGGCTACAGGAGGAGAACCGGAGGCTGAGCCAGGAGCAGGAGCGGGTGAGTGGGGAAGAGAGGGGCCGGGCTACACAGACGGACAGACAGTGGGTGCAGGTGGGGAGCCCGCAGGGCGGAGGTCAGCGTTGCTCGAATCCCGGGGAGCAGGCTGTCTCTAGCTCCACGGTGCCCGCGGCCCCCTGCGGGTGAGCGAGGGTGGACGCGGGAGGGGCGTCCGGGGAGGTGGGCCCCTGGGGACTGACCCTGCCTTCCCGCCACGCCTCAGCTGGTGGAGGAGCTGGAGCGGGAACAGCAGAGCAAGCAGCGGCTGGAGGGCGAGCGGCGGGAGACAGAGAGCAACTGGGAGGCCCAGATTGCTGACATCCTCAACTGGTGGGTGCTGGGGGCTGGGGCTGGGCCCAGGTGGGGCCGAGGGTCGCAGCCCCTAACCTTGGGGCCCCTTGCCATCAGGGTGAATGATGAGAAGGTCTCCAGAGGCTACCTGCAGGCCCTGGCCACCAAGATGGCTGAGGAGTTGGAGTCCCTGCGGAACGTAGGCACCCAGACGCTCCCTGCCCGGCCACTGGTGAGCCCCAGCGACCCCCTGGGGGAGGGTGCCGGCAGCCCCGCACCTCAGATGATGGGTCGCTGAGCTCACAGATCAGTGACTTGCCTGAGCTCACAGCGCATTGCTGGCAAAGCTGGAGTTGGGCCTGGTGTGGGCAGCAGTGTGCTCTGATGGGAGAGTCCTTGGAGGGTGCCAGGCCCGGGAGGCATCTCATGTGGGCACTCTGGCCATCAGGACCACCAGTGGAAGGCCCGGCGGCTGCAGAAGATGGAGGCCTCGGCCAGGCTGGAGCTGCAGTCGGCCCTGGAGGCCGAGATCCGGGCCAAGCAGGGCCTGCAGGAGAGGCTGACGCAGGTGCAGGAGGCCCAGCTGCAGGCCGAGAGGTGAGACTGGGGGTCAGCGCTGCCCAGGGGCCCTGGCCTCATGCAGAGGGCTGCAGGCGGGCATGGTCACCCGCCTCACCCTGTCTCCCCCAGCCGTCTTCAAGAGGCGGAGAAGCAGAACCAGGGCCTGAGGCAGGAGCTCGCGACACTGAAGGAGGAACTGCACGCGAGGGCGTCCGGGGGTGAGTGGCCATCTGCACTCTAGCCTCAGGGCTACCAAAGGGATCCCACAAGAGCGTTGCAGGACTATGGAGACAAGATTTGGCCCCAGACTCTACTATTTCCCCATTGCCTGTTCCTCAGCCCTTACTAAGGGCCTGCTGTACACTAGGGCCCCCCACAGCCTGTGATCATTTCCCCATTTTACTGAGGTAGAAACTGAGGCCCCTGGTTCCTCAGGGTTAGGCCGGAGCTGGGGAAGCCCCCCCAGTGCCCATACCCTCTGTTTGCAGACACCAAGCCCTCCAACTCCCTGATTACCTTCCTGTCCTTCCGGAGCTCAGAGGTAAGAGCCAGGTGCGGGGGACTAGCATCCTGGAGAGAGGTGCGGGGCCTTGACTTTGCCCCATCCCGATCCCCAGAAGGATTCCACCAAGGACCCTGGCGTCTCAGGAGAGGCCCTGAGGCCCGGGATGGAGCCAGAGCTGAGGCCGGAGGGCCGCCGTAGCCTGCGCCTGGGGGTGAGGACAGGTGGGAGGTGGGCAGGAAGTGGGGGGGCTGGGTCGTCCTTGCCCTTGCATTCTCACCTGTTGGCTGGCCCTCCCCTTCAGGCTGTGTTCCCCAGAGCACCTGCTGCTACCACAGCCCCGGCCGACGGGCCTCCTGCCAAGGTCAGCACCTCAGGGCAGAGCGGGGTGGGTGCCCAAACCTTTCTGCCAGGTTCCCATGGACCATGGGGACCCGCCACAGACCTCAGGGCTGGAGACCATGTTGGGGGAGGTGGCAGTAGTGACGAGCTACAGTGATACCAGGGACTCTTGGGGCACAGAGTGCCCCCTGCCACCTGGTTCAACCCCTGCTTCTGCCTGACTCCTCAGGGTGGCTTGGGGGGGTGAATCATGGGGCCCTTGGAGGCCGTGGTCAAGCACGGGTAATGGGCACATCCCCTTTCCCCAGCCTGGCTCACACATGCTGCGCCCCCGAAGCTTCCCATCCCCCACCAAGTGTCTCCGCTGTACCTCGATGATGCTGGGCCTGAGCCGCCAGGGCCTGGGCTGCGACGGTGAGACCCCGCCCCGCTCACACCTGCCTCCCTGTGCGGCCGCAGCCCTGGTGGGAACAGAGGTGGCCCCGCTGCCACTCGCGCCTCCTGGCCGACACCGCCCGCTGCTCCCTGCTCCCTGCTGTCCTCCCACGGCGGGGCAGTGGGTGACAGGGTGGCTCTGGGCGCCAGGAAGCTGGGCTGGGCATGGCCAGGGTCCTGCTTCCAGGCTGTCCCCGCCCAGCCTCACACTGTCCGCTTTCTCCCGCTTTCCCCACAGCCTGCGGCTACTTCTGTCACTCAACTTGTGCCCCCCAGGCCCCACCCTGCCCCGTACCCCCTGACCTCCTCCGCACAGGCCTGGGAGTGCACCCTGAAACGGGCACGGGCACAGCCTACGAGGGCTTCTTGTCGGTGAGCTGGGGCCGGGGGCGGTGCAGGCTGGGCGTGGTGAGGCTGAGGGCCCGGCCAGCCCTGCCACACCTGCCTCCCCACAGGTGCCACGGCCCTCGGGCGTCCGGCGGGGCTGGCAGCGAGTGTTCGCCGCTCTCAGCGACTCGCGCCTGCTGCTGTTCGATGCCCCCGAGCCTCGGCTCAGCCCAACCAGCGGGGCCCTCCTGCAGGCACTGGATCTGAGGTGGGTGCCGGGCAGCGGCAGGGGGCAAGGGTTGAGGGGTCAGGCACGGCCAAGGGTAGTATGATGTCTGACCTGCTCCATGGACCTCACAGGGACCCCCAGTTCTCAGCCACCCCGGTCCTGGCCTCTGATGTCATCCACGCCCAATCCAAGGACCTGCCCTGCATCTTCAGGGTGAGTGCCTGGTGGGGAGGCCCCTCCGGGTGACGCTTCTGTCCATCTCCATGGTGACCCCTTTCATCTACCCCCTCGCCCGCACAGCCCCCGCTGGCCCACGCACCTGTCCTCACCCCTCAGCCCAGTGAGCTTCCCGTACTCGATCGGGCTCTGTTCTGCCAAATGTTTAGGGCCCTTCTAAGGCTCCAGCGTCCTGATCGTGACCTTGAGGCCCCGCCTTCCTGGCCCTGCAGGTCTCCTCAGCCTCCTCCTCCTCAAGCCTCTCTCTGCTCTGACCCCACCTGTTTTCTCGGTTCCCTGGGCACCTTCGCATCCTGCCCAGAGCCGCCAGCCACTCTGCCCGCGCTGCTCCTGGCTGCCCCACTCCCCGCTGAGGCTCCTGGGGGCTCACCTTCGTGTTCTCAAAATGCCCGGGCCTCCCTGCTGCAACTCTGGTCCCAGGGCTCCAGACCTGCCTGTGTGCGTGGCCGCCAGGTCTGGCTTCTTAGCCGCGGGGCACCCGCACTGCTCCTGAGAGCCCCGGGGTGCTACCAGGCATCAGCTGATGGCGAGGGGAGGGAGGAAGGCCCCGTCTCCCCGCCCGTCGCCCCCAGCTTGGGTCCTGCCCCCAGGTGACAGCCTCCCAGCTGACGGTGCCCCCCACCACATGCACCGTGCTGCTGCTGGCGGAGAGCGAGGCGGCCCGGGACCGCTGGCTGCGGGTGCTGAGCGAGCTCCAGCAGCTGCTGCAGGACGCGCGGCCGAGGCCCCGGCCAGTGTACGCGCTCAAGGAGGCCTACGACAACGGGCTGCCGCTGCTGTCCAACACGCTCTGCGCGGCCATCATTGGTGAGCTGCTGGGGGCATGGCCCCGGCGGGCAGGGCGGGGGAGGAGTCCAGGGCCCAGGATGGCGCTGCCCCGGCCACAGTCCGAAGGGTCACTGTCACCGCCCCGTGCCTGCATCCCCACGCCGTGGACTCTGCCAGCACACCCCCTCCCCAAACCTCCCGGGCCCGGGGCGCGTCGTGAGCAGCGGCTGGGGGCGGGGTCCTGGCGCTGCCCCTTCATTTCCTTGAGCCTCACTTTCCGCGTTTTTCTAAAAGAATCTCAAGCAAGAGAACAGGGCAAAGACTAGTTGGAGACGGTGGGTGTTTTGGTTCCGGCTTACCAGCAACGGGGTGACCGAGGGGAGGCTCACACCGGCTCCCGTGGGAGCCCAGTGCTGGACGTCTCCCCGGAACCACCAGGGTGGGAGCCACAGCCAGGACGGCGGGTCCCCCAGGTCGGGAGCAGGGATTGCCGTGAACAGGGGGCTCTGCTTAACACTCGCCCGATTCACATGGTCTCTTCCCAGGGCCACAGCTGCTCTGTGGCAAAGGTGCCCTCATCATCCCCGCTTCACATGTGGGGAAACTGAGGCTCTGAGAAGTGACGTGACTTACCCCAAATCTTACAGCTCAGGCCGGCGGGTCTCACCCGGTGGGCCTTCCCCATTCTAGTTAGTTCAGACTCTGGGGGACAAGGGTCCAGTGACGCAGGCACAGTGGTTTGCTGTCAGGAGATGCTGATGCCCACACGGCCAGGGGGCTGCCCTCCCGCGGCCAGGTGGCCCCTCTGACCCTGACCCTTCCCTCTCCAGACCAGGAACGGCTTGCTCTGGGCACCGACGAGGGTCTGTTTGTGATCCACCTGCACAGCAACGGTACGTGCCTGCTGGGCCGGGGATCAGCCAAGGCGAGGGAGGACGGGCCGGGGGCTGCACTTCACCCACCTGCTGGTGACCCTCTTCCTCCCCAACCCCGCAGACATCTTCCAGGTGGGTGAGTGCCGGAAGGTGCAGCGGCTGGCGGTGAGCCCCACTGCGGGCCTCCTGGTTGTGCTGTGTGGCCGTGGCCCCAGTGTGCGCCTCTTCGCCCTGAGTGAGCTGGAGAGCGTGGAGGCAGCTGGCACCAAGATCCCCGAGTCTCGAGGCTGCCAGGCGCTGGCAGCCGGGCGCATCCTGCAGGCCCGCACCCCCGTGCTCTGCGTAGCCGTCAAGCGCCAGGTGCTCTGCTACCAGCTGGGCCCCAGGCCCGGGCCCTGGCAGCGCCGCATCCGCGAGCTGCAGGCCCCCGCACCTGTGCAGAGCCTGGGGCTGCTGGGCGACCGGCTGTGCGTGGGTGCGGCCGGTGCCTTCTCGCTGTACCCGCTGCTCAACGAGGCTGCGCCCGTGGCCCTGGGCGCTGGCCTGGTGCCCGAGGACCTGCCACCATCCCGTGGGGGCCTGGGGGAGGCGCTGGGAGCCGTAGAGCTCAGCCTGAGTGAGTTCCTGCTGCTCTTCACCACTGCCGGCGTCTACGTGGACAGCGCTGGACGCAAGTCTCGCATTCAAGAGCTGCTGTGGCCGACGGTGCCCACAGGCTGGGGTAAGGCCTGGGAAGGGAGCAGCGCGGGTGGAACCGGCACCTCCAGTGTGGCCCACACATGTGACAACAGGGTCCCGCCCAAGCTCCTGAGCTTGGCCTCGGAGGCCGGTGTGTTCCCTCCAGGCCGACCACATCCCGCTCTGCGCTCCAGGGTCCTTCTCTCCCGTGTCCTAGTCGTGTCCCCCGGCTGCACTGCTCCTCTTGTTGTATCCGGGCCCACTCTTACCCGAGCCCAGACAGCTACGTGTCCCCAGCCTAGAGTGGGCGGGCCCCCCTTAAATGGCACAGGAATTGCTGTCACTGTCCCTGGGTTATGTGTCGCTTAACAACATTGCCGTCAACCCTCAACCCCTTGCGGGCGGGTGGCCTGACAGGCTGTGGCAGGGAGGCCAGGCGTGCGGCCGGCCCCGCCACCTGGACTGGGGCAATTGCACAGCGTGGCCTTTACACAACATTGACTATAACGTGTCTCAGAATCCCTGCGTTAGGCGACGTGACTTTATTGCTCTCGTGCTCCCTGCCCGGCCCTCCCCCATCACTGGTCCTTTGCTTCCCCCTCCCCCTGCTTCAGACCTCTGCCCTGGCTCTTAGCACCTGCCTGTAATGACTGGTGTGCACTGGAGCGTGCACCCGGCACAGGCAAACACACCCAGGGGCTATGACTGTGGGAAGGAAGGAGGGAAAGCTTGATTGACTGAATAAATTCATGCACTAACTGGGCAGTGAGGGCCTCTGGCACGTCCACAGGGAGCCGATGTGGTGGGGTGGGCTGGGAGGGAGGGACAGAGCTCCTTGGGTGAGCAGTGGCTCTTTTGGGGTGGGGCCTGCGGCTTGGGTACAGCACAGATAAGCTTGGGCCCAGGTTGCCTGGGGCTGATTCCTGCCTCCCTGCCACTGGGCGACCTTGGCCACCACCTAGCCTGGGCTTCTCGGCCTCCGCCTGTAAGTTAGAGCTGAGAATGCTACTTGCCCAGAGCTGTTTGAGAAGTAAGAGAGAAAAAATATGCGAAGTGGCTGGAACTATGGCTGGCACGGCACCCAGGGAGGCTCCTGATGCTTATCGCTGGCTTGTTGCGGAGGCGGGTGGGGCAGCTGGGAGAGCCTTGGGCAGCAGCCGGGTGGGGTGTGGAAGCCGCTGTGTTGCATTGGGGCACAGGGTGTTCCGTGCTATAGGGTGTTCGGAGAGGTGCCTGGCTGGCCGGGGTGGCACAGCAAAGCCGGTTTTGCTCCGTGCAGGGTACACAGCCCCCTACCTGACAGTGTTCAGCGAGAACGCCATGGATGTGTTTGATGTGAGGAGAGCAGAATGGGTCCAGACGGTGCCCCTCAAGAAGGTGAGGGCCTGCGCAGACCATGGGGCCCGTGGGGTGGGGTGCCCGGGGTGACCTCTGTGCTTGCTGCCTCAGGTGCGACCCCTGAACCCAGAGGGCTCCCTGTTCCTCCATGGCACCGAGAAGGTCCGCCTGACCTACCTCAGGAACCGGCTGTCAGGTGAGGGGCCGTGTGCGCGCCTGGGTGTTCACCTGACCGTTCACCTGAGCACATGTGCGGGCGGGCGCCCCTGCGCCCCTGGCTGGGACCTCGGGGGCCGTGGGCACCGCCCAGCTCTCTGCTTCTCCCACAGAGAAGGACGAGTTCGACATCCCCGACCTCACGGACAACAGCCGGCGCCAGCTGTTTCGCAGCAAGAGCAAGCGCCGCTTCTTCTTCCGCGTGTCAGAGGAGCAGCGGCAGCAGCAGCGCAGGTGAGCGGCGGGGCCTCCCATTCTTGGGGTGGGTGAGCCACCAGGGCAGAGGTGGGGGGGGCGGTGGCTGGAGTCCTGGGGAGGAGCGTGGCAGAGGGGGCACCTCAGCTCCGCCCCACCCTTACACCCCCTCCGCCCGCAGGGAGATGCTGAAGGACCCTTTTGTTCGCTCCAAGCTCATCTCATCGCCCACCAACTTCAACCACCTGGTGCACATGGGCCCTGCTGACGGGAGGCCCAGCATCAGGGCCCTGTCCCCGGTGAGTAGCCCATGGCAAGCCTCCCTGGAGAGGCTGAGCCAATCACTGGCCCCTCACCGGCCTCTGCTTCCTTACCCACGGCCCAGAGCCCCAGCCCTTGGACCTCAGCGGTTCTTCAGGCCTGGCCCGGGGGCCGCGCTCCCTACCCTTCCGCACTGTGCCCCAACAGGCTCGCGAAGAGAATGGCCGAGGTGCCCGCGGCTCTGGCCCGCAGCGACCCCACAGCTTCTCCGAGGCCCCGCGGCGCCCAGCCTCCATGGGCAGCGAAGGGCTGGCTGCAGCCGCGGACCCCAGTAAGGATAACGCAACAGCCTCCAGTACCTCCATGTTCCCTCTCCCCTCCCCCAGACGCCACCCTCTTTGGAGACCTCACATCTGACCTTAGATTTTTGTCTCCCCAACCTGCTCCTGGAGCAGTGAAGCGGAAACCGTGGACATCTCTCTCCAGCGAGTCTGTGTCGAGTCCCCAGGGATCGCTGAGCCCTGCCGCCTCCCTGACACAGGTGAGCAGTGGGGACGTCCCCTGGCCCCCCATTCAACGGACTGGCGCTTCTGTGCTAAGCTCTGCCCTGGGACCCAAGCTGAACCTATCCCTGCCCTGGACCCTAAGAGATGCGGCTTTTTCTCCCCGACAGTGGCCCCCAGCAGGCGGGCCTAGGTAGAAGTCTGGCTCCAGCTGGCCCAGTCTGCTCAGGAGGTGCCCAGCCTCCCTGGGTTTGTCTTGACTGCAAATTAAAGTGATTATGGGGAGACCCGTCCTGAGGGGGTGTGACACCCCAGCAGTGCCTGGCCCATGGGGAGAAGGGCTGTACCAGAAGGGGAGCTCTTGGGACTCTTAACAGATGCCCTACCCTGGGGGTGGGGAGGGCCAGAGAAGAGCAGTCTGTTCTCCTGGGGACTGGGAAGACCCAGGAGCTGCTGGGAAGGCTCCCACTCTCCTGCAGCCACATCCCAACTGCTGCACCCTGCAGGCACAGCAGGCCACTCAGAGCCCTGGGGCTGGCCTTGCTCTTTTGCCCCTTCAGGCTCTTGCCCTGCTGGCCTCCAGACCCTCAGCTTTGAAGGCCTTTTCGTGTCCTCAAATCTGATTAAAAATCAGCCTACCCTCAGGCCCTGCACCTTTATGACCTTCACCCAAAACCGCGGGTGGTCATTGCCCCCTGGGACTGGAGCCACCTTTGGTCCCCTCCCTCCCCCCACTGCTTGTCCATCCTGCTGCCCTTGTTGCTCGGGGTCAAGTTTGTCCTTGGCCCCTGAGTAAAGCATGTTTGTTGATTGAATGAAGAATGGAATGAACAAACACAGGGACTTCGATTTGGGTTTCAAAGTAAAGTAGGAGTTCCCAGATTCTTTTCCTGTACTGTCCCCGTCTGGCCTCTTCCACGGGCCCTGCTGCAGCAGCCGAGGGGCTCTGCGGGGCCTCTGGGAGTCCTAACTTACTTGCTTCTCCTTCCCTCCAGGTCTCAGAACGGCCCCGGAGTCTCCCTCCAGCCCCTGAATCAGAGAGCTCCCCTTGACACGCTCCGGCAGGGCCCACCCTGATCCCAGGACAGAGAGACGTGAAGGAGCAAAGAGCCTGAGGAATGCTACGCTCCGGCTGGTCCGGGACATGTGAAAATTTGGACTCAGGGGGGCAGTGGCTGGGAGGTTTCCCTGGGCTCTTAGGGTTCTGGGGTTCTGACTTCCAGCCCTCATCCCACCTTTCCAGTCTGCCCTTAGCCCCAACCTGGGAAAGCCTCTGAAAGTAGAATGGCCCCCCTTTTGCCCGGGGCGCCCCTCTGTCCTGGGGTGATTGTGCCAAAGTTCTTATTTCCAGTGCCAAGTCCCAGGAGGCTTAAGAGTCAAGATGAGGGATGAAGAAGGGCTGGGTCCCTGGGGGACCATCTGGGTCTTGGCTCTGGACTGTTCAGCCCTAGGTGAGGCCACGTCTCTGCTCAGGGGCAGGTGGGAATGCAGGTGCTGATCCAGAGGAAGGGAGACTAGAGAAGCAGGGGGAGGGATGTCGGTGAAGGAGATGGGGAAGAGGCTGAGAGAGGAGAGGAAGTGGAGAAGCAGGTGAGACTGGTGGGAAGCAAGTGGAAGCAGCCAAAGGAGGAGAGGGAGGAGGGAGAGGGCAGAGGAAGAGCAGGAGAGGGGGCTGGGAAGAGAACTCTGGCAGGGTCCTCTCTGGGGAGGAGCTGGTGGGCTGGGCACGGAGGAATCCTTGAAGCAGCTGACTGTCATCGAGCTGCCCCGCCCTGCCCCGGGGAGGTGATTCCTAGACAGGGAGGGGATGGGAGGGTATTTATAAGGGCTACTTGGTGGGAGACAGGCACCGGTGGGGACCACTGGGGGGTCTCCAGGCACACTCTGGCCCTTCCCCCAAAAGGGGAAGGTCCTTTTTCTCAAAGCTTCAACCAGCTATGTATTAGGGGATGATAGGGGGGCATTTTATTATTGATCACAGTCATTATTGTTATTATATTACTATTTTTATTAAACTTCCCCCTACCGATGAGTAGAGGGCAAAATAAGTATTTATCTCCTCAAATGCCACATTCCCAGGAGGGAACTTGATGCTCTGTGAGGCAGAAAGAAACCAATAAAGATCACTTTGTAAACTGCCGACCTCTTTGCCTAATCTGTACTGGGGTTCAGAAATTGGGGATGATCTGTTGTTTAAGTCACCAGCTTTGTGGTACAATTGTGTCGTAAACGTTCTTCTTGGCATTCTGAAATAAGAGTATCCAATTTTTTTTTTTTTTTTTTTAATAGAGGCATGCTTTATTTATTTATTTTATTTGTTTGTTTGTTTTGTTTATACATGCACTGGGTACAGTCAGAAGCGCGGGAGGGTGAGAGAATTCACCAGAGCCAGAGCGGGGAGCAGAGCAGGCAGAAGGACGGAAGTACACTGCTGAGGGGAGCAGCGGGCGGCAGGAGAGGTCTGCGCGCCATGTGGGACCCTCCTCCGGTGGCCAGGAAGCAGCCGGGGATCGAACCGGCGCCACAGAGGCCGCGGGCAGCTTCGCAACCCAGCGCTCAACCGCTGCGCCACCGGGGAGGCCCAAGAGTATCCAATTTTGGATCACATGCTGCATTTGGTTATCTCTTTAGTCACCTTGAATCTGGGGTTTCCTGTCCCCCTTTTTTGGGTTGTCCTTCATGATATTAACATTTAGGAAGGGTCCAAGGCTGCACTTGGAACACCACCTGCCGTCTGCAAGTGTCTTGACTGTCTCCTCATTCAATTCAGATTTAATGGTTTTTGTCAATATTACATAGCTCATGGTATTGGAAATTAATTTTAATTACAATCATGCACAATTTTAGGGCCTCCCTGGTGGCTCAGGGGTTAAAGTCTCTGCACTATCAAGCTATCACCAGCCACTGCAGCATGAGTTCAATCCCTGGCCAGGGAACTGACCCACATGGTGCTGCAGACTTCTCCTGTCTCCCTGCTGCTCCCCTCAGCAGTGTACTTGTAGAGCCACCTGTTTTTTTTTTTTTTCTTAAAGATTCATTTTATTTATTTATGCATACAAGAGCTGGGGTGTAGGCCAGAGGTACAGGGCAGGTGAGAGAATTCACCAGAGACAGCGTGGGGCGCAGAACAGGCAAATCTACTGAAATACACTGCTGAGAGGAGCAGTGGGGAGACAGGAGAGGTCTGCTGTGCCATGTGGGTGAGCTCCCTGGCCAGGGAGCAAACTCACACCACAGTGGCTGGTGATAGTTTGATGATGCTGAGACTTTAACCCTTGTGCCACCAGGGAGGCCCCTGAGAGTCATGTATGATCGCTGTCTTCAATTTCTTCCCATTTTTCTTGAGCCCAATCCCTTGGGGCTTTTGCTCCCAAACTGCTCTTAATATGGTCACCAGGGGGCTTCCCCGGTGGTGCAGCGGGTTGAGCACTGCACTGTGAAGCTGCCTGTAGCCTCTGCAGAGTGGGTTTGATTCCCGACCAGCCAGGGAGAAACCCACATGGCGTGGCAGACCTCTCCTGCCTCGTCCGCTGCTCCCCTCAGCAGTGTCTTCAGCCTGTCTGCCTGTTCTGTTCCCTGCTCTGTCTCTGGTGAATTCTCTCACCGTCCCACACCTCTGGTCTGTACCCCACTTCTTGTATAAATAAATAAATCTTTAAAAAATATATAAGGTCACCAGGGATTCCCACTGAGCTAAATCTGGTCAGTCCTCGTTCCTCAGTTGCTGATCCATGAGTGGCACCTGACACCATCACTCAAACATCTGCCTGGGCTCCCAGTCCATTCTGCTTTAGGACACCCGGTGCTCCTCTGGCTCACTCCCAACTTCTGGCTGATCCCTCTCAGATTCTTTTGCTGGTTTCTTCTGGAAACTGGAACCCACCTCTCCAGAAATGGGAACCCACCCCAGGACCAGTCTATGTTGACCTCATTCAACTGCCTGCTTGCAATCCTCTCTGTATACTCATGAGCCCCAAATTTCTATCTCTTGCCCACATCCTTGTATCTAGCTGCTGATTCAGCATTACCACTCAAATGTCTAGAAGGCAATTCAAAGTGGACATGTCCAAACCCTCCCCTCCACCACGCTGGGCCCTTGAACTTCTATCTACCTGCCTCCTATTGAGCTGCACTCCCTGTCGAGGCTTTGCACTTGTTCCTGTATCTGTTTGGAATGTCCTTCCTCCGATAGCCACATTGCTTATTCCGCTTCCTTCCTCAGAGTTCGGCTCAAACTCCCTCTGCTCAGTGCAGCCTTTCCCAGCTCCCCCACTGAAAGTGCAGCCTCCTAAGGACTCCCAGCTCCCTTCTCTGATGGATCGATAGTTAACAAATCATTTTCTAACGTTTACACCCCACACTTATGATGTGCCTACATCCCCCTCCTGAGGGTCGAGTGTATGACTCTGTAGTTATTAGTATTGATTTGAAGTTTTAGAATATTAGCATAAATACTACCCTATCGTGCATGTCGTCCTGCAGCTTTTCTTCATCAGTACGCCCTGAAGATCCATCTCAAGATGCATAGGGCTACGTTTCCAACTTTTACCCTATTATAAATAACTACAGTGGTTCTTTAGTGGTGGCTTTTTTTCTCGTGTTAGATTTTCTCGTGGACAGAACTGGAGAACAGCTAGATATACAGTAAGCGCATTCCCACGCTAATGGATGCTCACAACTATCCACCTAAGGCGGCTGAATTCAAGGGCCGTCCGGCGGTGCTCGCCGCGCGGTTTCCCCAACACCTCGCTGACTCCGCACGGACAGCCTGGGCGCCGGACTACAGCTCCCAGAATGCACCACGGCGTATCGGCCTACCTGGTTGCGTAAAATGGAACGGCCAATCCTTGAGGCCCTCAGGGAGGCGGCGCTGCCTCGACTCCTCACCTACCTCTGGGCGCTCTCCCATCAGCCACCGCGGGCGCGCGGCGCAGGCCACCCTTTCCACTCGGCGGGGCAGGAGCGCGCCGGGACTCCACTTCCCGGCGGGCAGTGCGGCCCGAGGGGCGGGACTCCATTTCCCAGCAGGCTCGGGCGGCGGGCGCCGCGGTGCCTTGTGTGGGATGTAAGCGCGGAGGTGGGCGCGGGGGACGGAGGCCAGGACTCTCCTTGGGATTTGGGGGGCTTGGCCTGGGGGCGATTTCCGGACGGACTCCAGGGGGCCGGGGTTCCGGGCGAAGAGAGGGAGCGGGGCGGCCGCAGAGGGTCCTCAGCGGCGTCCTAGGGCCGCGCCCCCCATCGGGGCCGGAGCTCCTGGGGTTTGGGGGCCAAGAAGGCCCTGCAGCCTCGGCGGCGGGTCGCACCCGAGGAAGAGGGGGAGCAGATGGGGGGAGGCTGAGGGGGGCGGGGAAGCGAGGGATTGTGGGGGGGAACCCTAGCAGAGCCTGGGAGGGGGCTCCTCGGCTGCGCCCGCCCGACCCTCCCTCCCCCGGCTCGCCGCAGGCCGAGGCCCGCCGCCATGGGGCTGAAGGCCGCCCAGAAGACGCTGTTCCCGCTGCGCTCCATCGACGACGTGGTGCGCCTGTTCGCCGCCGAGCTGGGCCGGGAGGAGCCGGACCTGGTGCTCCTCTCCTTGGTCCTGGGCTTCGTGGAGCACTTCCTAGCTGTCAACCGCGTCATTCCCACCAACGTGCCCGAGCTCACCTTCCAGCCCAGCCCCGCGCCCGACCCTCCTGGCGGCCTCACCTACTTCCCCGTGGCCGACCTGTCCATCATCGCCGCGCTCTATGCCCGCTTCACCGCCCAGATTCGCGGCGCCGTCGACCTGTCTCTCTACCCGCGAGAGGGGGGCGTCTCCAGCCGCGAACTGGTAAAGAAGGTCTCCGATGTGATCTGGAACAGCCTCAGCCGCTCTTACTTCAAGGACCGAGCCCACATCCAGTCGCTCTTCAGCTTTATCACAGGTTGGAGCCCAACAGATGGCAAGGGGCGCGGTCCCATCCCACCCGAGAACCTTGACTCCCCTTCTTCACTGAACTGTATGGTGTCCTGACCTCTTTGGGAAACCTGGTAGCCTTGTTAGGTGGGGCCGGTGTTAGCCCCCCTTTTGTAGTTAGGGAAGTTGGAGCCCAGATAAGATAAACAATGGGTCAAAGTCAGAAGACAGCAGGCCTGGGACTGTATCCCGATCATTGGCAGCACCTCCGTCCCCACCGTTGAGCAGCTACAGAGATCCTGCAGCCCAGCAAGAGGCACAGAGAGCAGCAGCAGATTTAGGGGACAAGGAGCCCAAATTGGGGTGCTTTAGAAGTAATTAAATAATATTCTTTGAAAATGAAGAGGTTTGGCGCTGGACCTCAAAATGCTGAAGGCTCAGGGCTTACAAAGAGCTTTTTTCTTTGTACCAGGCCCCGCTGAGTGGCAGTCAGGCCACGGAGGCCATGTTGAGATAGAATCTGAGGCCGCTTCTGAACTTAGCAGGAAAAGCAAGCAGAGATAAATTCCAAGTATCTGCCAGTGGGCGTGTGAAAAGAGTTGGCCCGCATGCCCTGTTTTTGCCATCCCTGTCTAATGTGATAGGCGCAGTAGAATGGGGAGGTCCTCGAATGAACCGAAATCTGTAACTCAGTGGCAGAGAAGGAGAAAGGGCGACCAGGTGGAGCTCTGGAAGATCCCAGGTCTCTTGTTGAGGGACGATGGAAGGGAGAGACTTTCCTCCACACAGGAGGAAAGAGAGTGTGATGAACGGGAGGGTCTGAGTTTTTGGTCATGGGGAGGGGGCTGAGAGGGAGCATGGCCCATCACTCTGTGGCCCCTTTCCCCGAGACCAGACCCAGAGGGACCCTCCTTCTATTCTCCCTTCCACAGGCACCAAACTTGACAGCTCTGGTGTGGCCTTTGCTGTGGTGGGGGCCTGCCAGGCCCTGGGGCTCCGGGATGTCCACTTGGCCCTGTCTGAAGATCACGCCTGGGTAGTGTTTGGACCCAACGGGGAGCAGACAGCCGAGGTCACCTGGCATGGCAAGGGCAACGAGGACCGCAGGGGCCAGACTGTCAACGCGGGTGTAGCCGAGCGGGTATGGCCCTCCAGATTCTCCTGGCCCGAGCCGCCCAAGGGAACTTCTTTCTTGGACCATTCCCCCCTCTTCCCTTCACCATTAACATGCCAGGAAGGGAAAGCAAGAGGGCCCCTTTCCTGGCTGTCGTTTCCTGGAGCGGTCACAGGGAAGGCCATCCTGAGACAGCCTGGTCTTGTCCTCTCCCCAGAGCTGGCTGTACCTGAAAGGATCGTACATGCGCTGTGACCGCAAGATGGAGGTGGCATTTATGGTGTGTGCCATCAACCCTTCCATTGATCTGCACACCGATTCCCTGGAGCTGTTGCAGCTGCAGCAGGTGAGGGGTGCCCAGGGGGCCCTGGGAGGCGCTGTCACTCCCTGAGCTTCAGCCTCCCCTCTGTGTCATGGGTGTTGATTCCTGGCTGGTCTTTGCCAGGACTCAGGACAGTGCAGTGGAAACTTGGCAGGCTTGGACTCCAGTAAAGGGCTGCTTCCTGCCCACCTGGTGGGAGGCCCCTGCTGGGCTGGACCCCACCTCTGCCTGGTAGACTGAGCACCCCCACTTCCCTTCCCCCAGCTCATACTCCTCTCCTTTGGCCCGTAGAAGCTGCTCTGGCTGCTCTATGACCTGGGACATCTGGAAAGGTAAGTGGGGGGAGCTGCTGGACTGGGCTTTGGGGGCTAGGGAGCTGGGTGCAGCCTGGACTCATGACCCTTTCCCAGGTACCCCATGGCTCTGGGGAACCTGGCCGATCTGGAGGAGCTGGAGCCCACCCCTGGCCGACCAGACCCACTCACCCTCTACCACAAGGTGGGGATGTCTCTGGAGGGCCCAGAGGGAGGCCCCAGCAGTCACTGGGGTTCCCTTCTACCTGGGAACTGGGTGGGGTCAAGTAAGGAGAGAATTTGGTATGTTTTGGTGGGTAGTGCCTGTCCAGTCCCCACTTTATCCAGGTTTCCCTTGCTGTCCAAGGGTAAAACCTCCTATTTGGCATGATTTGTTCTTTTGGAGTCTGCGAATGCTCAGAACTTTTTTCATATAAATTAATGTTAATAATGGTCCCAGACCCTCAAAGTTATCTACCAGACCATGCCAACTAGGAAGGCTCTGATTTTGGGTGGCAGGCTGACTTTGTATTTACCAGGTATGTAAATCAGTGCAGTCAGGGTGTCTGAGGGTTGTTCTGGATTCCCCATCCTGGGAGGGGTAGGGCCTGGATTTTCCCTCTCTACCCTGCTTCTTCTGCAACCTCTCATTGTCCTTCTGGAGTTCAACAGGCCCAGGGTGGTGGGGGCATTGGTGGAGGTGGAGGGGCATTGGACTGGACGTGAGGGCTTTCATGTTGGTTCCATGCCCCTGTCATCTGGCCCAGACCTCAGAGAGTCTTGCAGACCTCGAGAGGAGCTCCTGGTGGAGAGGCCCGCAGCAGGTGGAGATGGAGGTGCCCCTCTGGATGTGACTCATGGGGTGGCCTCCCTGAAGCCCCTCTGCTCCCTCCCTAGGGCATTGCCTCAGCCAAGACCTACTACCGGGATGAGCACATCTACCCCTACATGTACCTGGCCGGCTACCACTGTCGCAACCGCAATGTGCGGGAAGCCCTGCAGGCCTGGGCGGACACTGCCACCGTCATCCAGGAGTGAGGACCCTCCACCCGGGCCTCCGCCCATCCTCCCCCACTCCCCGATTTCTAACCACTCTCACCCACGACTGAAACCTGGGTCCGGTCCTTTCCTCTTTGCAGCAAGGCCACCATCCCTCAGAGGCAGGAAGCCCTGATTAGGGCCTGATGCCTCTCTGCGCTGCCCCTTGCCTCCCAGTTTCCTGCATCCAGCAGTGCCCCCCCCCCACAAATCCCACGCCCCCCTCTTACTCTGTGCTGACACAGACACTGTTGTTTAGGAGTGAGCGCCCTAGCCAGGTGTGAGGTCCCTGGGGTAACCCAGGAAAAGAAACCTAGACTCCTTTCCCCCTCTGGGTCTGTGGGGGTACCCGCCATGGGCGAGACCCCATGTGGCCCTGCTGCTCTCACAGTTACAACTACTGCCGCGAAGACGAGGAGATCTACAAGGAGTTCTTTGAAGTAGCCAATGACGTCATCCCCAACCTGCTGAAGGAGGCAGCCAGCCTGCTGGAGGCCAGCGAGGAGAGGCCAGGAGAGCAGACCCAGGTGAATGGCTGAGGCGCCCGCCAGGGTGCACCCTCCTGCCAGAGCAGGGCTGCTGGCCATGGCATGTGGGGACTGCTGCACAGGCAGGGGTCAGGGGCCACAACGCAGACAGCTCCCTTCCCTTCTGGGGTAGCTAAGGTCCTGTGCCCAGGTTTGTTGGTGCTCAGGGTATTTTAGAGGTTTCTGTCTCGTGCTTTCAGGTAAATGGGGTGGAAACCCGTCTTTTTTGTAGCCAGGGCCCCTCATTCAGTTGAGGGGGCGGGATGGAGTGAGTGATGGCCTCTCCTACCCACCCGTCCTCGCCAGAGACTAGCTTTCTGCAGCGAGGGAGGTTCTAAGGCTCGGCTCAGCCTATGCTTACCTCTCCCAGGGCCAAGGAGGGTGGGAGGGCCAGGCCTGCACCTGCTGAGGAGCGAGTAAGGGGATCTGACTGTGCCTCTGTCCTCCTCTCCCAGGGCACCCAGAGCCAGGGCTCCGCCCTGCAGGACCCAGAGTGCTTTGCCCATTTGCTGCGCTTCTACGATGGCATCTGCAAATGGGAGGAGGGCAGCCCCACGCCCGTGCTGCACGTGGGCTGGGCCACCTTCCTTGTGCAGTCCCTAGGCCGCTTTGAGGGACAGGTGAGGGGCAGCGGCACTGGGGGGTGGGGGGACCGGGAACTGCTGCTACTGGAGACCCCTGAAGTCTGTTCATCCCCTTTGGGTGCGACTGTGCTGAAGCCACAGACAGGATGGCTGAGGCTGGGTCCTGCAGTTCTGGCCCCTGGCTGCCACCTTCCTCTCAGCTTGCCCTCCCCACCCGCCCAGGTGCGGCAGAAGGTCCGCATAGTGAGCCGCGAGGCGGAAGCTACGGAGGCTGAGGAGCCTTGGGGTGAGGAAGCCCGGGAAGGCCGGCGGCGAGGCCCAAGGCGCGAGTCCAAGCCTGAGGAGCCGCCACCACCCAAGAAGCCAGCGCTGGATAAGGTCCCCGTTGCCGGCCAGGGTGCCGTGCCAGGACCCCCGAGGAAGCCCCCTGGGACAGTCCCTGGCACTGCCCGGGGCCCTGAAGGCGGCAGTGTGGCTTCGGTGCCAGCGCCTGCCGCATCACCGCCACCAGAGGGTCCGGTGCTCACTTTCCAGAGCGAGAAGATGAAGGGCATGAAGGAACTGCTGGTGGCCACGAAGATCAACTCGAGCGCCATCAAGCTACAGCTCACAGCACAGTCACAGGTGCAGATGAAGAAGCAGAAGGTGTCCACACCCAGCGACTACACGCTTTCCTTTCTCAAGCGGCAGCGCAAGGGCCTCTGAACTACACTGGGTCTGGCTGATAGGACTACAGCTCGGCCGCCACCCCCCCCCACCCCCCAGGGAGCCTAGCCCAGCCTCCATGCCCCAGCTCTACCTGGACCAGGCTCTGGGTCCCTGCAGTATGAACAGACTTCAGCCCAGGGACTGGGACCCTGCCTGGCATTGGAGTTTGAAACCCACCCCCCAGAATCCTATCTGGCCAACGGAAACCTCACCCTAGGCCCCCATCTTCAGTCTGTGAAGGCCCAACCTCGGGAGAGTCAGGCTCCACCTCCGTGCGGGGTGCTAACCTAGGCCTGACCGGGGTTGCTCCCGGCCCCCCTGGCCAAGGTCCCATCCTTTACCCCAGCGTTACAGGGCCCACCGCCAGCCCGGGAACCCAGGGCCGGCTGAGCCCCGGGAGTTCTTTCCTGCACTTCAGAATTCCATCCCTTGGAAATCCAAGCTCCCTGCCCCAGAGGACGTAACGCCCCCTGAATTTGGAAATCCTGTCTTGGTCGCATCCTTACCCCAAAAGTCCTGGACCGACCCGGCCAGTGTGAGCCCTGAGCCCCGCCCCCTTCCTGACCAAACTGGCCCCAGGTCAGAGCCGACCTCTCTTCCCACCCCGCGGGAGCGCCCCCGAGGTCCAGCCCGTCTCGGGGGACCCCGAGGAAATCTGCAGGGGCTTGCGAGTGGAGAGGGAAGCCCGATCGCTTCCTGTTTTGTACATAGATTTATTTTTCAGTTCCAAGGAAGATAAATACATTTTGTAAAAAAGAAACGTCGTGTTTCATTCGGGAGGCCGCGGGGCGGGGGGGGGCCTCTCCCCCGCCTGCGGTCCCGGCCTCGGGCTCCACCCGCGGGCGCGGCTGACGGGTGGTTGGCGGAAGGGCCGCGCGCGGGGGCGCCGCCCGGCCCGGGGCTTCCCCGGCGGCCTCGGGCCCGTCCCGCGGGCGCCGCCTCCCGGCCGGGCGCCGGGGCATCCCCGGGCTCGCCCCGCCCCGCCCCGCCCCGCGGCCTCGCGCGCCCCGCCCCGGCCCGCCCCGCGCCGGCTCCGCAGCTGCGCCCGCCCGCCCGCCGGCCGCCCGGCCCGGGCCATGGCGCTGCTGCGGGACGTGTCGCTGCAGGACCCGCGGGACCGCTTCGAGCTGCTGCAGCGCGTGGGCGCCGGGACCTACGGCGACGTCTACAAGGTGCGGGGCGGCCGGGGGGCGCGGGGGCGCGGGCCGCGGGGCCGCCCCCGCGCCCCCCTCACCGCGCCCTGCCCGCCGCCCGCAGGCCCGCGACGCCGTCACGTCGGAGCTGGCCGCCGTCAAGATCGTCAAGCTGGACCCGGGTGAGGCCCGGCGGGCCTGCGCGCGGGCGGGAGGGCGGGCGCCGGGGCGGCGGGGCGGCGGGAGCGGGCGCCTCCCGGGCCCGGGCGGCGGCGGGAGGCCCCGTGCGGCGCCCGCCGGCCCGCGGGGCGGGCGCGCCCTGTGCCCATTCTGCAGATGGGGGCGCTGAGTCAGGGCGACCCCGGTGCGGCGCCTCATGATGCCCTGTGCGCCCCAGGGGACGACATCAGCTCCCTCCAGCAGGAAATCACCATTCTGCGCGAGTGCCGGCACCCCAATGTGGTGGCCTACATTGGCAGCTACCTCAGGTGAGGCTGCTGTGCCCCCTGCCCCTCTGGGCAGCCCCCGCGGCCCTGCCCTGCGCCCACCCGGCTCTGTGTCCCGCCCCCTCCCCCAGGAATGACCGCTTGTGGATCTGCATGGAGTTCTGTGGAGGGGGGTCTCTGCAGGAGATTTACCACGGTGAGGGCCCCCAGAGGGCCGCAGCCTGCTCCCCACCCTCACCCCCACCCCAGGGCCAGAGGGGAGCGCTGGGGCCCTGGACTGCTTCACTCCCTCTCCGCTCCTAATGGGCTGTGTGACCTTGAGAGAAACGCTGTCGTCTCTGGGCTCTGTGCTCCAGGGTGTGCCCCAGACGTGGCCAACACTCCTTCCACCTCGCAGTGCCTGCTCTCCCCCTCCCAGGGGGGTTTGGGAGGGTCAGCATATCCCCCAGACCCTGTGTCAATCCTCACCCCTTCCCTACAGCCACCGGGCCCCTGGAGGAACGGCAGATTGCCTATGTCTGCCGGGAGGCACTGAAGGTAGCTGGGCCCCTAAGGATGCTGACGCCCCGAGTCCCCAGAAGCTGGGGGCAGGAGTCCAGCCAGCTGGGGGGGGGGGGTGCGGGTGGAGTGCCTTGGGCAGGGCTGGTCTGAGGGGCTGTGGGTCCTGGGGGCAGGGGCCCCTGCTCTGCTGCCGGAAGCAGCCCATTTCCCTCTTGGCTCAGTCACTTCCTGTTTGGGGAGAGGGGAGGAGGAAGCGGCTTGGGTGGGGGGCCCCGGTCCTGGGAGGGGGTTCAGGAGAGGTAGGATAGTGCTGGGCTGCAGCCCTCAGGGCCTCCTTTTTGTCCCCAGGGGCTACATCACTTGCATTCTCAGGGGAAGATGCACCGAGACATCAAGGTAGGGGTTTGACCCGGGCACGGCGGGAGGGAGGAGGAGGCTCTGGGGCACCAGACGGGATTCTCTCTCCATTCCCACAGGGAGCCAACCTTCTCCTCACCCTCCAGGGAGATGTCAAGCTGGGTCAGTACCCGGGGTCACAATCAGGGCGAGGGTTTGTGGGCGCTCCTGAGGTCTTAGAGTCTGCTTCCAGGTGCCAGGTGGCCCTGGGCAAGTCACTTTGCTACTCGAGCCTTAGTTTTCCCTTGGGGGGAAGCAAGCTCTTTGCTGGTAGAAGCTGGCTGTGGTGGGGAATCCAACAGGCACTTGGTGAGGGATCAAAGGGGGTTGACCACTTCCAGGAGGGGGGCCTGGCCTTGTTTTGGGCCAGTGACAAATGAGGCTGAACCTGGGCCACCTGCTGTCAGCCCCGCCAAGTACATCCTGAGCCTGAGGCCTGGAGGTGGGCAGGGAGCCTTGGCCAGCGGCAGGTAAGAGTAGCTCTTTCTCCCTGCAGCTGACTTTGGGGTGTCGGGAGAACTGACGGCATCCGTGGCTAAGAGAAAGTCTTTCATTGGGACTCCGTACTGGTGAGGCTACACCTCAGCCTGAGGGGGCGAGGGCCACATGGGGCACCTGGCCATCCGACTGTGCCCCCACCTCTAGGATGGCCCCGGAGGTGGCTGCTGTGGAGCGCAAAGGTGGCTATAATGAGCTGTGTGACGTCTGGGCACTGGGCATCACCGCCATCGAGCTGGGCGAGCTGCAGCCCCCTCTCTTCCACCTGCACCCCATGAGGTCAGCTTAACAGGAGCCCCTGGCCTGACCCCAGGTCCCTGCTGACCCTTGACCCTTCATCTTGTCCTCTCCACAGGGCTTTGATGCTCATGTCAAAGAGCAGCTTCCAACCACCCAAGCTGAGGGACAAGACACGCTGGTGAGGGCCCAGGTCCCCCTGTTGAGGCCCCAAGGCGGGGAGGAGGCTTCTGCCACATCCAGGGCCAGCCTCTAGAGCCCTGCTCTCTCTGGGCTCCACAGACCATCCATGGGAGGAGCCTAGGCTCCACCTGGACTGACTGAGGACCAGTGGGGACAGGGAGGAGGGTGTGATGGAGTTGCTGTTATGCTGCAGTAGAGATGGCTCGGGCCTAGGTGGCTCCTCTGGCGGCAGGTGGTAGCTGACAGGATGCCCTGAACCGAGCGCTCACCTGGGTCTGGGGGTGGGGGACTCTTGTGCCCACTAGGACCCAGAATTTCCACCACTTCCTCAAGCTGGCCTTGACCAAGAACCCCAAGAAGAGACCAACAGCAGAGAAGCTTCTGCAGGTGGGAGGCAGAGGGGTGGGGCAGGGGTATCAATGCTGGAAAGCAGGGGCCGGCAAGCCAGGGGCCAACGTGTCCCCCTCCATCCTCTAGCACCCATTCACCACCCAGCAGCTCCCTCGGGCTCTGCTCACACAGCTGTTGGACAAAGTCAATGACCCCCACCTGGGAACCCCCTCCCCAGAAGACTGTGAACTGGAGGTAAGTGTGGGGAACTGGGGAGACACGGCTGGGCCTGGCCTGGCTATATGAAATGTGAAGGTGATTTGGTCAAGTTCTCTTTGTCTTGGACATTTCCACTCTGGGAGCTTCTCTGCAATTGTGTTCCCCGTCGGGGCTCTCCCCTGAGCTAGCATTCACTTCCCTGCCCCCCTCACAGCAGCTGCTCTTGGCCCAGGCTGGCCGTGGCCCTGGCTAGGCCGTCTTCTGCTGTCTGTGGGGCCTGTCACTTGCCTCCCTGGGCCGGCTCTCTCATCTGGGAAATGAGGGTGCCGTTTCCTCCCTTGTGGTCTCAGAGGGTTGTCGTGAAAATGAACATGTTGGTGTGTGTAGAGCGCCTGGGAGGGTAGCCGGGGTGAGGCCTGCTCTTGTTCTCCCTTAGACTTACGACATGTTTCCAGACACCATTCACTCCCGGGGGCAGCATGGCCCGGCCGAGAGGACCCCCTCGGAGATCCAGTGTGAGTCTCCTGGGCAGCTGTGTGTGGACTTGGGGGAAACTGTTTATGTGGATTTGGGGGGACTGTGCAGATTTGATGGGGTACTCTGTGTGGTGAGGACTTGGTAGGAAGGACTCTATTGGATGGGAGGGGGGGTGTGTATCAGGATTTGGTGTGAGCATGGGGGTCAGTCCCGACACTCCACCCCCTAACCTCTGTATGCTGCACCCCCCACCCCCAGTTCACCAGGTGAAATTTGGTGCCCCACGCAGGAAGGAAACAGACCCGCTAAATGAACCGGTGAGGGCTGGCTGCAGAGGGGCGGTCGCAGGTGGGGAGGGCAGCCTTGCTGGAGGTTGAGCAGGACGGGCCGGCCCATGGGCCTGGGCCGCTTTTCGAGTGAGGGTGACAGTGCCTTTCTGGCAGCGCCCCGCTCTGCAGTGCCTCGCTTGCCCTGCGCCGGCCTGGAGGATGACTCACTGCTCCCGCTTGCTCCCTGTCAGATCTCCTTCGCTCCCACCACCTCGGTCTCTCCGCCTGGCTCTCGCTGTCTGTCTCGTTCTCTCCTGCCGTTTGTCCATCTGTCTCTCTTTCACAATCTCTTCGCCTCATTGTCTCTGTCTTTCGTCACCGCCTGCCTGCTACCACTCACTTCCTTTCTGCCTGTCTGGTGTGTCTCCCACAACCTCCCGGCCCCCCTCACGTTGCCTCTCTGCCTCTCTCCCCGTTTTTCTGACTTGGTTCCCCCCAGTGGGAGGAGGAGTGGACGCTGCTGGGAAAGGAGGAGCTGAGCGGGTGAGTAGAGAGAGGGAGGCTTCGCGGGAGGGGGCACCAGAGGAGCCGACCTCTGACCCCCCTCCCCTGCACCGGCCAGGAGCCTGCTGCAGTCAGTCCAGGAGGCCCTAGAGGAAAGGTGAGGGGCCGGGGCAGAGGGTGCAGGCCGGAGGGTTTGGGCGGGCCCAGTCTCTTCTCATGCTTCACTTCCCTCTGCTATGTCCCCAGGAGCCTGACCATCCGGCCAGCCTTGCCGCTGCAGGTAGGGAGTGGTGGCATGCTGGCGAGGGCAGCGGGGAGTTTATAGCTCAGGGGACCTGCTGACAGCGGGGCGTGGCCTCCATTCTCCTGCCAGGAGCTGGACTCCCCAGATGACACCATAGGAACCATCAAGCGAGCCCCATTCGTGGGGCTGTCCCCTGCTGAACCTCCCACCGAGGACCCTCGAGCCAGCCCCCCACGTGAGCCCCCGGCCCTGGGGATATAGGCCCTGGGGGGGGCTTGGAGTAGGAGAGCTGGGGCTGGAATTCATAGGTCTGTGCCTGCAGGGACCCCACCTCCACCTCTCCCAGGGCCTGAAAGCCCCCCCCAGCTCCCCACCGCCTGGACCACCATGAAACACCGGGAGGATCCTGAGGTGAGGAGGTGCCACAGAGGGGCTGGGAAGTTGGGGGCCAGGGAATCCCTCGGCCCTGACTCCTTTTTTCCCCCAGAGATCATCCTGCCATGGGCTTCCCCCAACGCCCAAGGTGCACGTAAGTATTTTTGTTTCTTCAGCCCCACAGTTCTGTGGGGTCCCCCCTCCCTGCCCTCCTTGCCCCTCCAGTCTTGTGCCCCTCAGCCGCCTCTGCCTCTCCCCCGCAGATGGGCGCCTGCTTCTCCAAGGTCTTCAATGGCTGTCCCCTGCGGATCCACGCTGCGGTCACCTGGGTCCACCCTGTCACCCGTGGTAGGCCTGGGGCAGGGAGGGTGCCACGGCGTGGCAGTCCCCAGCGTGGCCCAGGGGGTGGGGATGACCCCTGACCCTATGTCCGAACCTGCAGACCAGTTCCTGGTGGTGGGGGCCGAGGAAGGCGTCTACACCCTCAACCTGCACGAGCTGCACGAGGACACCCTGGAGAAGGTGAGCCCGCAGAGTGGGGGGCCGGGCCAGGCCGGGTTACTGACCCTCCACCTCTGCTCTGGCCTCCAGCTCATCTCCCACCGCTGCATCTGGCTCTACTGTGTGAACAACGTGCTGCTCTCGCTCTCAGGTACAGGTGGGGGCAGATGGGCCCCGATTAGCCCCCCCATCCCCCCGCACCCTGACCCCCTCTCTCCCTGGCAGGGAAATCCACGCATATCTGGGCCCACGACCTCCCAGGCCTGTTTGAGCAGCGGCGACTCCAGCAACAGGTTCCCCTCTCCATCCCCACCAACCGCCTCACCCAGCGCATCATCCCCAGGTGGGGCAGGGAGGAGGCAGGGGAGGGGGCTGGGAGGAGGCAGTGGGGAGCAGAGGGGCTGGAAGGTGACCTAGCCTGTGACTGCATCTTTGTGACCCCAGCCTGGCGGCTTTGCCTCTGAGCCTGTCTCCTTGCCGGTCATTGCAGCTGATCCTCTGCTACCTACTGGGGACGAGAAAGAGCCAGTGGATGTGGAAGGGCTTGGCACGCTGGGGGCGCAGTGGCTGGTCGGGTGTGGGGCAACGTTTACTGAGCACTTACTATGCGCCGGGTCTTGTGCTGGGCTTAGGGATGCAGAATCAAAGAAGTTCTTGACAGACAGCCCCCTAGTCCTGAGATGAAGGGGGCCTTGGGCAGGGACCCAGCGAACCCTGATGAGCTCGTGGGGTGTGACAGTACCTGGAGATCTTCTGGGCAGATGGAGGGAATAGCCTTCGGGCAGAGGGAACAGCAAGTTAGAAGTGCATCTAGAGCACTGGGAGCTGTGAGGGGTTTGGCCTGAGGCAGGAGGTCAGGACAACCCCCGGGGAGGCTGCACAGGGGGCAGGGCCTCCCCTTTGATGCCAGGCCCAGGATGTGGGCTTTATTCAACTGGCAGCCTTCCCACGAGTGTTTTATTTATTTATTTACTCAAGAACTGGGGTACAGTCAGAGGCACAGGAGGGTGAGAGAATTCACCAGAAACAGGACAGGGAGTAGAACGGGCAGACAGACCAAGGACACTGCTGAGGGGAGCAGCGGGCGAGACAGGAGAGGTCTGCCACGCCATGTGGGTTTCTCTCTGGCCGGCTGGGAATCGAACCTCTGTGCAGAGGCCGTGGGCAGCGTGACAGCACGCGCTCAACCCGCTGCACCACCAGGGAGGCCCCCCACGAGTGTTTCAGAACTCTGTCAGTAAGGGTTTTTCTTGTTGCAGGTGACTCAACTCACTGGCTTAAGCACAAAAGAGAATGTATTGGTTCATTAATTGAAGTCTCGGTTAGCTTCAGGCTTGGCTGGATCTGGGCTTAAACAGCAACCTCAGGGATCTTTCTGCCTCTCTTGGCTCTGTGTTCCTCGTCGCCTTCATTCTCACATAAGCCTTGCTGGCAAGTGATGGCTGCCGCAGTTGTGGGCTGACTATCCCCTGGCGCAGCACCTGTGCAGCTAGACCTTGTTCCCAGATAACTTCCACAAACATCCCGGCCCGTGCTCAGCGGGCTAGCTTGGGTCTCTGCCTCCCCCAAGACAGCCACCTAGGCCAGGCAACGGGGAGCTGGGGGGCCAGGTCGGGGCACATGTCCTCTCCTGGGGCTGGCTGTGAGGAAAGGGAGAAGGGCTCATCTGGACAGATGACTAGAGGCATCAGCTGGCTGGCTGTGGGGGCAGTGAGGAGACTGACAAGAGGCCCCCGGAAAGGACGGGATTCGGCTACCGCATGGTGAGAACTGGGCCGACTCAGGAGATACTGAGGAGGTGGGAGTGAGGTAAGGGAGTGGGAGGGGTCGGGAGGCCTCCAGAGGTGCAGATTGTATCTGGTCTTAATTGAGGTGCCGAGGCAGCGTCCACGACAGAGTCCCTCACTCAGTCTTTGAATGCATACCTTCTCAGCGCCATGAATGTGCCAGCTGGGTGGGGGCTCGAGATACCGCTGTGCACCGAGAGACCCTTCCGTTCTCTAGAGGTTGTTGAGAGGGACAGGCCCACAGGAAGGGGAGTGTGTTCTGTGGCGATGCATGAAGTGCTACGTGAAGAAGAGCAGGGAGAAGAGGGTAGGGCGTGAATTGAAACGGGGTGGTCAGGACGGATCTTGTGGAGAGGGTGCTGTCTGAGCAAAGACTTGGAGGCGGTGAAGGAGCAAGTCTGCCACCATCCAGGGAAGGCCCCCCAAGGTGGGTGGGGACAGCCAGTGCAAAGACCCTGAGGCAGAGTGGCCCGACCTGACTGAGGAGCAGCAGGGAGGCTAGCATGGCCAGATGGATGGAGTGGAAGGGAGGTGACGGGGGGTAGGAAGTGTGGGGGGCCCATAGCCACAGCCAGGCCTTTGACTTTGTGCCAAGCAGCCTGAAGGCCGCTTCTGAAGAGTGACGGGGGTGGAAGTGTTGAGGTCACTGCAGCCTCTGTGCGGGGAATGGACTCGTGGGCAAGGGTGGAAGCGGGGGTGAGTCAGGAGGCCATTGCACTGTCAGGTGGGGCCCCTTTGGCTTGGGCCGGGGCAGCGGGGAAGTGGAAGTGGTGGGTTCTGGTTTGATTTTCAAAGTCAAATAACAGGATTTCCTGACGGTCGGTGGATGGAGAGAAATGGAGTAGGGATGCCTCCGAGGGCTTTGGCCCAGGCAACGGAAGGATGGAGCTGTCATCAGCTCTGGGCGGGGCGGAGGTCAGCGTCGTATTGACATGTGCAAGGGGGACCTCCATCAGTCCCGGGCGGGCGAGGCTGAGCTCCGAGGAAGGCGTGGGCTGGGGGCTAGACCTCGCCCTGACCAGGTGGGTGGTGGCAGCCGGTGGGCTGGGAGGGGAGGGCAGAGGAGGCCAGGCCAGTGCTACACCCACTGGGGAGATCGGGGTGGGGGGGGAATGGGGGTTTGGCCCGGCCCTTCCTGCCTGTTCTCTGGAGGGCGCACCTGGAGCCCGTGGCCTCGGGCTTTCTGAGCTCAGTCGCCAGCCGCTTCTCTGCTTCAGCCCAGGACCTGCAGGAAGCAGGCCTGTTAGAGCCCCTGCAGGTCACAGGCACTTGGGGCATGTGTGGGAAACAGCAGGCTCTTGGTGTCCACGTCAAATGTAAATTCAGGGCATCAGAATTGCTCAGAGAGAAAGACAAATGCAGAAATCTCTGCCTCTGTCTCATGCAAAGGCCTGCTGGGGAGGAAGTGGAAGGAACCAGGGAGAGAAGAGAGCACAGCTGGAGAGCGAGAGGGCAGGTGCAGCGCCTCAGCAGGCCGGCTCTGCTGACCTGTGGCCCTGATCCTGAGGAAGGAACAGGCTCAGGAAGTGCCTTAGGGGCTGGGGGGACGCCGGGCAGCCAAGGCGAGGACCCTGCTTCTCCCAGGCTCCAGGGTGAGCCACCTGTGTGGCAGCGTCAGCTGAGGCAGCGGCTGCTCATTTCCCTGCAGGCCCTGCTGGCCTGGGGCTGACGGCTCACCGGTGACATGCAGCCTGCGGATGGGGCTGTTCCCGTGTTCGCGCCGCCAGGCCCCCGCTGATGAGCTGCGGACCCTCCATGTTCTTACTTCTTCATTCATTTCCTCACTGACGCCCTGTCTTTTGCCTAAGAAGGACTTTGAGTGACTGGAAATAGGGTGTGGGGGCGTCGGCACGCAGGACATTGACCTGGGGGTGAGGTGCCCTACCGGCTGGCAGCCTCCCCAGTTCCAGCTCCGTTGCCCCTCGCTGCTAGCCCTGTCCTGCAGGTGGCGGCGTTGAGGTGCAGAGACCTTAGTGGCTGGTCCAGGGCTGCGCACTCAGCTGTGACCCTGAAGCAGAGCGGTTCTGGGCTTTGCTGGGGGGGCTGCACCTCGAGATGGCCTCAGTTCCTGCACCCTTCCCAGCTGGCTCACCCGGGTGCAGCCTCCCCAAGCCTCAGTCTCGCCCCTAGAAGGTTGGGGAGGTGATGAACTCCACTTCTTAGGGCTCTGCTGGGCGGCGCCCACCATGGCCCCCATGACATGGCCTGGTTTTCCCCCTGCAGGCGCTTTGCCCTGTCCACCAAGATTCCTGACACCAAAGGCTGCCTGCAGTGCCGCGTGGGTAAGAGCTGGCTGAATGGGCCGCGGTGGGGGGAGTGGAGAGGGTGGGCTCACGGGCCGGTGCCCACCACCTGCCTCTCCTGCAGTGCGGAACCCCTACACAGGCAGCACCTTCCTGCTCGCCGCCCTGCCTGCCAGCCTGCTCCTGCTGCAGTGGTACGAGCCGCTGCAGAAGTTCCTGCTGCTGAAGGTGCGGGGCGGGCGGGCAGGGCGCTGGGACCCTGGGCGGCGGGTGGCTGGGCCATGCTGGGAAAGGAGATCTGACCCCCCTGCTCCCCCCAGAACTTCTCCAGCCCCTTGCCTAGCCCAGCAGGGATGCTGGAGCCACTGGTGCTGGATGGGAAGGAGCTACCGCAGGTGTGCGTGGGGGCCGAGGGCCCTGAGGGCCCTGGCTGCCGTGTCCTGTTCCACATCCTGCCCCTGGAGGCTGGCCTGACGCCTGATGTCCTCATCCCACCTGGTGAGCTGGGTGCGCGTGTGTGCGCGTGCGCAATACAGCCAGGGCGCCACACACACCTTGGGGCGGGAGCCCTCGGCCTCCCTCCAGCTGGGCTCCCATAAAAGATTTCACTCTTAGACCAGAGGGCACAGCAAATAAGAAAAACCTGCACCATAGGGGCTGCTGGGACAAAGCCAAACGAGGCAAGGCTGTGCTGAGGCCTCCATGCTGAGCCAGGAGGGGGGCCCTGGGGGTGGGGCAGTGCCGGGGAGCAGAGTGAGTGCCAACAGGCAGAGGAGAAGGCATGGCACGCTGGACCAAGGCCCTGCTGCGTGCCAGCCCTTGCCAGGGTCCTACACACCATATTTCGTTCTTGAACACGGACGGGCCTACACGGAGGCACGGTCGAGCCTGTGTGACAGTCAGGAAACGGGCCCAGAAAACTGAGGTTGCACAGGTACTGAGCCGCCCGGTGTGGCTCACCTGGCTTCTCTGAGCTTCTGTTTCCAGCTGTTCGGCGAGAATGGCTTTCTTGGCCCCACCAGGCGGTGGTGAGGCTGAGGTGTGTTTGGCCGGCGGGAGCCTAACCCCCATGTCCATGTGGGGCCAGAGCGGGGCTGGTGGCTCAGCTGTTCTCCCTTCTCTGTCTGCAGAGGGGCTTCCAGGCTCAGCCCAGCAGGTGATCCAGGTGGACAGGGACACAGTCCTAGTCTGCTTTGACCGTGAGTGCCCCGGGTCAGGGCTGGGCATGGTGGAGGGTGGGGGTGAGGGAAGCCGGGGCGGGTCTCCCTTCCCGCCCACCTGCCCTTTCCCTGTGCAGGCTGCGTGAGGATCGTGGACCTGCTGGGCGAGCCCACGGCCACACTGGCACCCGAGCTGACCTTCGACTTCCCCATTGAGACTGTGGGTGAGTGAGCGACCGCAGCCGGGTGGGGGAGCAGTCTCCGGGGCCCCTCTCAAGAGCCATCCTGGCCCCCTGTGGTCCGGGAGGGCCTCAGCGGCCCCAACCTGGACTTGGAGCGTGGCTGGGGGAGCCAGCGTCCCCGAGGCAGACACAGGGCTGATGGCCACCTGGCCCCTCCTAGTGTGTCTGCAGGACAGTGTGCTGGCTTTCTGGAGCCACGGGATGCAGGGTCGCAGCCTGGACACCAATGAGGTAAAAGGGGCTTAGGAAGCGGGCTGCCCCCTACTGGGCTGTCCCCACCTTTTAGGAGAAGACTCACAGGGGTGGCCTCATGCCCCTCTCCTTCCCAGGTGACCCAGGAGATCACAGATGAGACCAGGATCTTTCGAGTGCTTGGGGCCCACAGGTAGGACGTGGCAGGGAGACATCCGTCAGACATCCTGGAGGCCAGAGGGACATGCCCGGGGCCTTCCCCACCTCACTCACCTCCGGCCCTCCCCCCCACAGGGACATCATCCTGGAGAGCACCCCCACCGACAACCCAGGGGCTCACAGCAACCTGTACATTCTCACGGGCCACCAGAGCAGCTACTAGCAGGCGCTGGCCAGCGGCACCCCGCTCCAGCCCGGCCTGAGTCTGAGTCCTCTTGGGGCAAGGGGCGGCTCCCAGACCAGAGGAGCTCAGGCCCTGCCCTGTCCTCAAAGAAGGGCAGAAATAATCCTGAGAACTGAGGGCTGGGAAGGGAAGGGATCCCACCCCACGCCTCTGCAATAACTGGACCAGAGGAAGCTGCTGTCCCCTCCCTCTCCCCTCACAGGCAGCCCAACCCTGGGGCCCCAAGGCAGGCAGACGCCCCGAGTAGGGCAGGGCCCCCAGGCCATCCATTCCATTTTGTGTCCATTTCCTCGCCTCTTTCTGCCAGGCCTGCCCCCGTGCCCTGTCCTGGGGAATCTAGTATTTAAGAGAGAGAACTATATTCCTATTAAAGCCGGTTTAATTTTAATCCACTGGTCCCTCTGCATGGGGGGATGGAGCCACTGCCCCCCTTCCCTGCTCCCTCCCTGCAGTTCCTGCACCAGGGAAGGGGCCACCTGCGCTCAGGTGACTCCCTCACAGGGGAGCAGGCAGAGGCGATGGAGGCCCATGGCCCCCCACAGGCAGCTCAGGTGCTGGGCCTCCCTGGGCTCCCTGCCGCTCTGCTTGGCAGCCTTAGGCCCCTTTTGCACTGAGCCCTCCATGGAATCATGCAGATGGGGGGACTCTCATCCATGGGGGCCTCCCCCAGATAGGATCTCACCAGGCACCCTGTGGAAGGACGCAGGAGAGGCCAAGAGCTACTGCGCAGACCCTGACTGCAGCCCCGCCCTGGCGCCTCCCTGCTGTCAGGTGCGGAACAGCTGAAATCAGGCTGATCGTCAGCCTGCACCCTGCTGAGATGAACCTGGGCCTGGCCCGCAGGTGTTCCCTGACGCACAGAGGGTCACCAGCACTGCCCACAGCCCTGCCTCTCTGCGTGTCCATCCACCCAGCTGACCTTGCGCTTTGCTCCTTTGTCCCTCTCACAGGCTCTGTGCTCCCAGCCAGGGCACAGAGCAGGCCACTGTCGACCTTTGGGCAGGTGAGGCCGAGGAAGCAGGGGCAGCAGCTGGAGCCGGCGGTGGGGAGTGGGAGGGCCCTGGTCTGGGGGAGCTTGGGCAAAGGCCTGTGGGTCGTCAGACCTTGTTCCGCCGGCTGCCCTCCCTCCTGACATCCAGGCGAGGGCTGGAGTAAGAGCTTCTCTACACCTGGCGGCCGTGGGTGGATGTTTAAGAAGCGAATGAAAAGATGAGTGGGAGGTGGTGGGCAGATGGCAGCTGATGAGAAGCCTGCAAGAGCCCTGGACGGGGTTGGGGGCGGCCAGCACCCCTGCTGCCCACTCCACAGAGCCTGACTGCTGTGACCCTACTGTCCTGGGGCTGAAATGGGGAGGGAGCCAGTCCGGGGACGTGGGTGCCGTGCCCGGTTTCCCCCCCCACACACACCCAGGAGGAGAGGCACCTTCCAGGTTCTGGAGGTTTGCCTGAGCCCAACTGAAAGGCATTTGATGGGCCAAATGTGGGGTGCAAGGAGTGCCTTCCGGAACTTGACCTGGCCAGGCTCCTAGAGGATTATGTCGAGGAGTGCAGGGGTGGAGGGAAGGTCCCCTTGGCGCAGGCCCTGACCCCCGGAGTACTGACTTGCCTCCTGCAGAGCCGGCAGCAAACAGCGCCACCTTGTGGCAGGCCGCCTCTGGGCTCGGAAAATGGAGGTCCCCCTGTAATGTGCCAAAGCGCAGGGGAGGGGAGGTGGAGGCCTCTGAAATATTTGCTGCTGGCAGAGGCTGGCTACAAGCCAAAGCAAGGCCAAAGCTGGGGAGTATGTGCTGAAAGATGAGAATTGTTATTTTTTTAATGTATTTTTAAATAGGCAGCCCTTGCCCCTGGCGTGGGAAATACCAAATGGATACAATGAAAAGGGCCACCCACCCTGTCATTTTCGAACCTCCTGGAAGTATTTATGCATAGTTTGGCAGCTCGGCTTCCTTAATGCATTATCCTTCCTCCCTTGTCTATGTTCCTGGTCACGGATTCCACTCAGCCTGCTCTGGGCCCCCCCTTGGTTCCTTTCCAGCTAAGTGGTTTTCCATTGTGTGGTCCCCCTTTCATGAATTGCCTGTATTGATGGGCGTTGGATTGTTTCTACTACTTTATATTACAAAGACGCTGCAATAAATATTCTCACGTGGATGCCACACTACCCTCAAGTGTCCGCGAGGATGACTCCCTGGAGGGGCACTGCCCAGCCGGGGTGGCCGTGTTTGCCTTTGTCGTGGCTGCTGTCCAGTTGCCCTCCTGGGTGGAGTCTCGGGGGGGTCAACATTTCTCATGAGCGAGTGGGAGAGGTGTGGGTGTCCCAGGAGGGTGGAGATGGTCAAAGGGAGGAGCCCACAGGGAAACAAACTTCTGGACCTGGGTGTTGGCTGGGATCCCTGGGGCGTACCCAACACCCGGTGCACTGTAAACCCTCACTCCCGCTTTCCCAGTGAAGGGATGGTGTCCTGTGGTAGCCTGTGGGCGGGGCCAGGGCCCTGGGAGCCCCCAGTATCCCCCACCCCCCCCACACACTAAGTCTGCCTTAAGGGCTGCTGGGAGGATTGGAAATACAGCATGCACATAATACCAGGGTACAGATGAATCTTACTGGAGATGTACTACAGAACTGAAACAGCAAACTGAGTAACACCTGCACACAGTATGACAGCAGAAGCAAGCAAATAGAACCATCTACTGATGGTTAGATGCGCACATGACAAAGCTAGATTGGTGGGGGGCGGGCAGCGAAAGGTTCAAGGTGCTGGGTGGGTGCGGGAGGAGGGCTCAGGGTTAGGAATTTGTAGAGGTATTGGGTTACTAGCCTCGTCCTTGGGTTGGGTGGGAGGTTTGGGGTGTCCAACTGGTGACTGGTTCCTCCTCGCCCACTGGTCCTTTCCGTGTTGTATGAAATACCAGGTGACGCGGTGCAAGTGTTTCAAGGTGGTCACTCAAAAACTGAAACCCAGTTAGGAAAATCCAAAACCTAAACTAAAAGCTAAGAGAATCCTTTCCTAGGTGAGGAAACCCAGAAGAGGTAACGCAAGGGACTGGGCTTCCCTTGCAGACCTATTGGCAGCCCCCCTCCCTTCACTTCCTTCTATTGTTTCTTTTCACAAGCAGCTTGCAGGGCAGGTAACTGGCACACGGTAAAGTGGGTATGTTGCATTTGAAGGCTTCCACAGGCGTATATACACACCCGCAATACCCCAAGTGAGATAGTGAGCGTCTCCCTCACCCCGGTTTCCTCTGCCCTTTTGTGACCTGCTCCTGCTGCTCCTCGGAGAAACCACTGATCTGCCTCCTGCCTCCGTCATGACAGATGAAATTTGCATTTTTCAGAATTCATGTAAGTCAAGTCACATGGTCTGGACTTCCTTTTTCCTCTGCTGCTTGCACTAAGCACCGCTGCTTTGCAGTCCGGCGCGTGGCTGCACGCAGGAGCGGCCTTCTCACTGCCGGGAGCATTTGTGGTCTGGGCCGGCCAGGGTTTGTTTAGCTGGTCACCCGTGGAGGTCGTGCCGGCTGGTTACAGCGTTGGCCGCTACATATAAAGCTGCTGTCGGCTTTCATGTACGTCTCTGTGGATACAGTACTTCCATTTCCCTGGGGTAAATGCTGGGAATGGAAAGTCGGGGTCACCTAGGAGGGGGGGAACGTTTTTAGGGAGCTGCCAGGCTTACACTCCCGGCAACAGTGCAGGGAGCTGGGGTCACTAACACTGGTTGGGGTTCAGCCGCTCACACAGGCGTGCGGTGTTAGCTCGCGGTGGCTCTCATTCACTCTCCTAGTGAGGGTCAGCATCTTTTTTGCTTATTTATCCTTTACACAGCTGCTTTGACAAAGCGTCTGTTCAAATCTTTCCTTTTGTTTGAAAAATAGCATTTGCTTGCTTCTCGCCGAGTCCTGAGTGCATGCAAGTCTTTTACCAGATGTGACTTGCGCCTGTTATGCTGTTGTTTCCAATTTGAACTTAAGTCACAAATTCCCCTACCCTTCTCCCCCAGTTCAAATTGCCTTTAATAGGAGGTTGTGGATAAACTGGTTTCCCAGGAACAACAAAATCATGTTAAGTACTTGGTGCATCTGGGGGCTCCTTCTGTGGCCTAGAAGTGATTATCCCTAATTTGGGCAGTGGAGTCACTGGCTCCCTGCAGGCTGGACGCCTCAGTCTCCGCTAGCTACACAATCTGATCCTCCCTCTCCAGCTCGCCAGGGCTTGGGCAGAGTCAAAAAATCCAAGGTGTTGGGGGCAGTCAGCAGGGAAAGGGCTGGAAATATCTCATCCTTCAGGTTCCAACCCCAATTCTTCCACAGTAACTGAATGTTCCACAGTGATTTTTTTTTTTTTTTTTTAAGATTTATGTGTGCCTCCCCTGGTGGTGCAGGCAGTTGAGCGCCGCGCTGCAAAGCTGTCTGCAGCCTCTGCAGCACCAGTTCGATCCCGGCCGGCGGGCGAGGGTCCCACATGGCGCAACAGACCTCTCCTGTCTCGCCCGCTGCTCCCTTCAGCAGTGGATTTCGTCAGTCTGCCTGTTCTGTTCCCCGCTCTGTCTCTGGTGAATCCTCTCACCCTCCCGCACATCTGGCCTGTACCCCAGCTCTTGTATAAATAAATAAAACTTTAAAAAAAAGATTTATTATGTATACAAGAACTAGGATGTAGTCCAGAGGTGCGGGGGGCAGGAGGGGAGAGGATTCACCCGAGAGAGTGGGGAGCAGAACAGGCAGATTTGCTGAAAATACACTGCTAAGGGGAGCAGTGGGCGAGACAGGAGAGGTCTGCTGTGCCATGTGGGTCAGCTCCCTGGCCAGGGGATCAAACTTATGCCACAGAGGCGATAGCTTGATAGTGCTGAGACTTTAACCCCTGTGCCACCGGGGAGGCTCCCACAGTGCAATTCTGACCTGAGCCACCTGATTTTGCAGACCCCAGTCGAAGAATTCAGTCACAAGCCCTTCAGGCTACCCACACCTCTGTCCAACCTGGCTACAAATTTGAGGGTTCCCACCACTCCTCTTCAGAGTCCACAACTTGCCAGAATGACATGTAGGACTCAGGAAAAGGGCTACATTTATTTTATTTTTTTTAAAGATTGATTTATTTATACAAGCACTGGGTACAGTCAGAAGCGCGGGAGGGTGAGAGAATTCACCAGAGCCAGAGCGGGGAGCAGAGCAGGCAGAAGGACTGAAGTACACTGCTGAGGGGAGCAGCGGGCGGCAGGAGAGGTCTGCGCGCCATGTGGGACCCTCCTCCGGTGGCCGGGGAGCAGCCGGGGATCGAACCGGCGCTGCAGAGGCTGCGGGCAGCTTCGCAACCCAGCGCTTAACCGCTGCGCCACCGGGGAGGCCCAAAAGGGCTACATTTATAATTACTGCTTTACTATAATGATGGAAAGTGAGATACAGAGAGAACAGCGATAATCAGGGTCACAGGGTACAAGAGTGGGGGGGGGGGGTTGAACCTCCTGCCACATCAATATGCTCGCCAACCCGGAAGCTTCCCAGTTTTTATTGGGGTTTTATTACACAGGCAAGGCTGATTACACAAGGCTGATTCCATGTGACAGAAGAGCCTCTCCAGCCCCAGAGGTGGGGGTTGGCGCTGAAGTTGGTTGGTGTTTCTAGAGACCTGTGACTGTCCTGAGGTATCTCAGGGTCCTCAGTGCTGGCAATAAGTCACCCCGTTTGCTTAAACTCAGCTTCTTAGGAACAATGAGACACTTCTACAACCCGGCAAGTCCTCCGTGCCAGGATCTGGGGGCAAAAGCCAAACAGATATTTACGAATTATACCACACCCCTGTGTGAACCAGGAGGCATCTGAATCGTATAGTTCTTGACCCTGCACCTCAAGAAATACCCCATTAAAACCAATTGTGCCTTATGATCTTATGGAATCAGCACAGTCCCCTGTAGGGTAGCTTCAATGTCCAAATTCTACAAAGAAACTCAAGGCTCAGAGAAGTCATGTGGCTTCTCTAGCTGCACTGGCGGATGGCTGGCCTGGATCTGGAGGTCCCATGTGGCCTCCTGGGAAAGGTTTCTCGGTCCTCAGCTAGAAAGCCATTCCTGATCTAGCCAAACAGGAGCTTTGGTCCAGCAAGCTATACAGGTGGTCTGTGTAGCCTGGACTTAGTTACTTAACCTGTGCGTGTCTTGTTTTTCTCATATCAGAGATAATACCTATCTCTAAAGATTGTTATGAGGAGCTAATACATGTGAAAGGACTCAGAACAGAGCCGGGAATAGCCAACATCCAAACTCTTTGTCTTTGGAACACTTAGAAAAATTGATTTTTTTGACCACAGAAAAAGAAATGGCATGTTTGGAAGGAGTAGAGATTTTTAAGGCTATGTTCTGCAGAATCTAACAAAAATAGAAATAACAAAAAAGACCAAAATATTTTAACTTGGCAGTTTAAAAATACTCATAAAAATCCTGGTTAAAAGAGGAAATTAAACTAGAACCACTAGAAAGCAGTGAGAAGGTCTGCCCCACAAGTCAGTGGCAGTCTTTAATCAAGGTTAGTGTTATGAGAACACTTATCTCTCTCCTTCGCTAGACTATGGTTTTCCGGAAGGCAGGATCCAAGTTTCATTCACTGGGCAACCTGTCACCCTGTTTTGTACCCAGAGTCTCCATAGCACTGAAGAACTCCTCTCCCTCTTCACGGAACTTGTCATTACTGCATAAAGGAATTACCCAACAGACGATTTTAAACCTTTTATATATTTTTTGGTCACAATACTGGTTTTATTTTTACTATCTAAATAAGTCACTCATTATAAAAAATTAAAAAATATAGGAGGGCCTCCCTGGTGGCACAGGGGTTAAAGTCTCAGCACTATCAAGCTATCACCAGCCACTGCAGAATGAGTTCAATCCCTGGCCAGGGACCTGAACCACATGGCACAGCAGACCTGCTGTCTCGCCCACGGCTCCCCTCTGCAGTGCATGTCAGTAGATCCGCCTGTTCTCTTTCCCACTCTATCTCTGGTGAATCCTCACCCTTTACACTTCTGGCCTGTACCCCAGTTCTGTATGCATAAATAAATCTTTAAAAAAAGTATTGGATAACTTCCGGGTACCTGTTTTCTCCTACAATATGGTACCTAATGACTGCCGTGTATCTGTCCATAGCTTTCTCTGTACTCACAGAATCATCATGCATACGGGTACATGTGAGGGTTGGTTAGTTTTATGAAAACAAGAGCCTGTAATATATATTTCTCTGCTGCTTTTTTCATTTAATAATAGAGCACAAAATATAGTACCTCAATAAACATAATTTTTTTTTAAAAAAGATTTATTTATTTATTTATTTATACAAGCACTGGGTATAGTCAGAAGTGCGGGAGGGTGAGAGAATTCACCAGAGTCAGAGCAGGATGCAGAACAGGCAGAAGGACAGAAGTACACTGCTGAGGGGAGCAGCGGGCGGCAGGAGAGGTCTAGCGCACCATGCAGGACCCTCCTCCGGTGGCCGGGGAGCAGCTGGGGATCGAACCGGCACTGCAGAGGCTGTGGGCAGCATCGCAACCCAGCGCTCAACTGCTGCACCACCGGGGAGGCCCAATAAACATAATTTTAGAAAAGAAAAAAAAATGACACTGCACAGAAGTCCCCCTAGGTCAGTTGATATGGGCTGCTTTTCAAAACTGCCTAATGATCCAGGTTATGACAATTTCAGTGATTCAACCATTCACATATTCACATATTGATGGGATTCAGTTTCCAGGCTTTGCCATCACAAACAATGCTACAGGAAATGCCGTAGAGGACTTTGAACATGTTATTTTATACGATCATGTGCCTTGCTGTAGGGCAGATTTCCTGGAGTGGGATTGCTGCATTGAAATGGTCTATTTTTCCTGAAAGGGGTACAATTTTAATAGACAACAGAATTCTTTCCAAAAAAGAAATTTACAGCAGTAGATGTTTGCACAATTTTTTTTTTTTTTTTTTTTGCTATTGTGATGGTTATATAGAGAGATTCCTCAGCACTTTAATGTGCATTTCTCAGCGGGGGTGGGGTGGATTTATTTCATCTTTTGGCTATTTGGATTAGCTCTTCCGAGACACATCTATGTATAGCTATTGCTCCTTTTCTATTGTTTTTGTCTTTTTTTCCATATTCACTAAGATTTCTTTGCGTATTAATTATTAGCTCTTTATCATATGTGGCAAGTATATTTTTCTATTATTGTCAATTGATTTTTATCATGCAGTATTAAGTTCTGCAATAGTCAAATATTTATTGATGACTTTCCTGGCTTCAAAAAGTTCATAAAACTGGGCCTCCCCTGGTGACGCAGCGGTTTCGCGCTGGGTTGAGAGGCTGCCCGCAGCCTCTGCATCGCCAGTTCGATCCCCGGCCACCGGCGAGGGTCCCACACACACACACAAAAATAATAATAATAAATAAAAAATAAAAATAAAAAAACCCAAAAAGTTCATAAAACTAGATTCCCCGGCCGGCCAGGGAGATACCCACATGGCACAGCAGACCTCTCCTGTCTCCCCGCTGCTCCCCTCAGCAGTGTGTTTCAGTGGATCTGCCTGTCCTGTTCCCCACTCTGTCTCTGGTGAATCCTCTCACCCTCCTGCACCTCTGGCCTGCACCCCAGGTCTTGTATGCATAAATAAACCTTTAAAAAACCACCGACTAGATTCCCTGGTATATCCCCCAAATTGTACTGTTTCCTTTCCGTTTTCTTTAGATTGAGGACTCTCTACCGTCGGCTCAGTCGCGGCCTCACCGCATTCCACCTGAACAGGGGGCTCCCTCCTGCTCCACGAATCTCCCCTACAACACCACGCCGTTCATCTGACTCCGTGACGTCACCGGGAGAGGCAGGCTCTTCCTCGCCTCGCTTCAAGCCTCATCACCAGCGTATTATACGCTACGCGATTTCGTCAAGCCCCTTCCTAGAGATTCAAATAGAAGCAGACGCCACGAGGGCCACTGCAGGGCGATGCCCGCGCGCTCCGCCCGAGCCGCTGGGCCCCCCGCCGGCCCCGTCCCCGCGTCGCCCTCCCAGCGAGAGCCCGCTCGCAGCCGTCCCGCCCACTTTCCATTCCCAAAGAAAACAGGAAGTCCCGTTCCACCTGCGGCGTCAACGGATCCGGGCCGCGAACGCGCGCCGGCCCCGCCCCCGCCTCCCGTTACCATAGGAACGGAGAATTGACGTCACTTAGGGCTTCCGCGCCCGACACTCGGGGCCGCGAGCGGCTAGGCCAGGTCTGCGCATGCGCGCCCCGGCCCCGCCCCGCCCCGCAATCTCGTTCCGAGAGGCATTTCCGTCGCGATCTCTCGCTCAGCCCCGGCGAAACGGCTGGGGGGGGCGCGTAAAAGAGTCGACCAAGCGACAGCCAATCAGACCACAGGACGACGCCACCGAGCCGGCCTGACTCAATCGGCCCCGGCCAATGGGAGGGCGCCGGGCCCCGGCGTCACAGAGTTCGCCCCGCCCCTCCCCCTTTCTGGACTGCGCTCGCCGTCCGCGCAGTAACAAATGAAGTGCGCGCTGCGACACCGCCCGGCTCCCCAGGCCCCGCCGCCATTTCCTCGCCCGGCCTAACGGTCCGGCCAATCCCAGCGCGCCTCAACCAGGGCCGCGGCTCCGCCAATCGGCGGCCGCCGCCGCCGACCCCGCGCCTCGGCCCGGCCCAATCCCGGGCCCGGCCCCGCCGCCCCCGGCCCGCCCCCGCGGCGCCCGCTCTCCTCCCTCTTTGTGCGTCTCGCGCCGCCGCCGCCCGCCCGCCGCGCGAGGACAGGCTCCGCGGCAGCGCCGTCGGGCCCCCCGGGAGGTTCGCGGAGGAGAAGGAGCCGCCGCCGACCAGGAGCAGCCGGCGCCGGCCCCGGAGCGCCATGGCGACCGGAGCGAACGCCACGCCGCTGGGTAAGCTGGGCCCCCCCGGCCTCCCCCCGCCGCCCGGGCCCAAGGGGGGCTTCGAGCCGGGCCCGCCGCCGGCGCCCGGGCCGCCGCCCCCGCCCGCGGGCGCGGTGGGGGCCCTGGCCGCGGCCTTCCCCTTCGCGGCGCTGCCGCCGCCGCCCCCGCCTCCCCAGCAGCCGCCGCCGCCGCCGCCGCCCTCCCCGGGCGCCTCGTTCCCGCCGCCGCCGCCCCCCCCGCCGCCGCTCTACCAGCGCGTGTCGCCGCCGCAGCCGCCGCCGCCACCCCAGCCGCCGCGTCAGGACCAGCAGCCGGGCCCGGCCGGCGGCGGAGGAGGTGAGTCGGGCCGGGAGAGCGCGAGAGGCGTCGCGCGGACCGGCCCGGCCGGCGGAGGGGCGCGCGGCGGCGGCGACGGCGGCTGCACGCGGCAGGGGCGCGCGCCCGGGGAGGCCCGGGCGGAGGCGCCACGGGGCGCGCGGCCTGGTGCTCGGGGCCTCGGTGCGCACGCGCGGTGGGCGGTGGGGGAAGGGCGGGAGGGGGGTGGCTGTGCGCAGGCGCAGTGTGGCGGCCGGGCTGGCCGCCCAGACCTACCGTGGGGGTGTCCCGGTTGCTTCTCCAGACCCCGGGTGTTGGGGAGCGGGCGGGAGGGTGTCGAGTGGGTGGAAGGGGTGCTGGGGACATGTCAGGAGGGCGTGATAGGGTCTGCAGATGACGTAGAGCGCTCCTTTGCCTTTAGAGCTCGGAGCAGGGAAGGGTGTCAGGATCCGTCTGTTCTACCGTACGCAGGGTCTTCACCCCCGAAAAATCTTCGGGGGCTGAACATTGCGGCTAGCTCTTTGGGAGGGAATTCTGGTGGTTCCTGCAATTACCGTAGAGACGTCTGATCGCTTCTACCTGGCTGACTTACAAGGCTTTCCCGCTGGGGCCGTGCCCTCTGGGAAGTGGAACGACTATTGCATACCCACTGTCTCGGGAGTTGTTGCCTGTGTGTTGGGAAAGGAGGAATTGACTCCTTTTGTATAGCTTGTTTTGTTTTGTTTTGTTTTTTTTTTAGAGCTTTTGACATCCATTGAAGAGTTCAGACTCTTAAGTGTCTAACTGACCGGCCATATTGAGTGATACACTTGGCCAAGCTTACGAAGAAAAAAGTGATCTTGTTGAAGAATGGGGTTTTTCACTTAGTAACATGTAACCGTGGGTTTGTGTTCTTGCCCGTTTAGAAGGGTGGGAATGAGAGGAGCCAGCAGCCCCTCAGTATTTACAGATCTACCTGAGATCACTAAGTTTACTCATCTGCCTTAGAATTTTTAATGGTTGACTTGTAGGAACTATCCTAATACTTTATTTCATTATCTGAAGCTTTATTCACCGAGAAGTTACCTTGTTTATATTACATACTTCACAGAGTTGCCCTGGCTAGCATTTGAAACAGGAAATGTTTAACTTTTCAGTCCCAAGTCCATGTGCCTTTGCAGTAGCCATGTGTTTTAATTTTAATCTCTGCCTTCTGAGGTTGGTTTTCCATTCTTGGCCATGTAAGTTTTACGTCAAGTTCAGTTTCACCATCTGCTGAGGTGGTGTGTATCATAAATATCCTGAACTGTCAATAATCATCACGCTGGCTTTATTTGCGTCTGATGGGTTTTGTCTGTTTTAGACTTCCCCAGTAAGAAGCGGAAGAGAAGCCGCTGGAACCAAGATACAATGGAACAGAAGACAGTGATTCCAGGGATGCCTACAGTTATTCCCCCCGGACTCACTCGGGAACAAGAGAGAGCATATATAGGTAAATACACGTTCTGCATCCAAATTATTTTCAGATTATTCTTATTTTGAGCAATGTCTGTATTTGTTGAAAACTTGAGGTTTTAAATTTTCTTCTTTGAGATAAGCTATGGTCAGGATTATTTTCATGACTTTGATGTAATTATCAATGTTTGCTCAGTGAGAGTCTTGCACCTGCAGCTCCTTATATTGGTCTGTTCTTAATAAGTGTTCTCCATGAGTGCCAGGAAGATAGAGGGACCCACTTTAAGAGTGAGAGTAGTCCCATGTCCCCCACTGCTCCCCCCTTTTCAGCTGCTGTTCATTGCCAGTTGATGAGGTGAGTGTCTCCTGGTTCTCTGGTCATGGCCCCAGTGGAGAACACGGCAGGTATTGTAAACCAAGTACCTTTTTCACAGCATGGCCTTTCACCATAATTTCATATTCTTCCCTCCCCCTAAAACGTGGTCTTTTACTTTTTATAGGTGCTTTCTGAAAGGGGGGAAGTTTAATCAAAAAGTGGTTCTAAAATTGTGTATACAGTTCACCCCTCTTTATTATTTTGTTGAATTTAACCTTCCCTTCAGCATCTTTTCTAGTCTGGTCTTTGGAGAGCTATCTTAAAGTGAGGGCTCTTGTATTCACTGCTTCACAGTTCTGCTGGGAAAGGGATACTGCTTGAATATGGAACAAGGGGATAGGAAAAACATCTTAACTGTTGGAAATTTCAAGAATTAAGAATGATTGTCCACGTGGGATTGACATTAACTCAAAAACAACCCCCCTTTTTAAGCATAAGGTATTTAATGCAAGTTTTACCTTTATGTATGTATATGTGCAACTTTCCCAGAAAGTCACTTGATAAACATTTCCTGTTAAATAATCCCCTTGGGACCAAATCAGAACAGGGGCCTCCTATGTCTGAGGCTATGGCCTTCACAAATAAAAAGCTTCAAGGCCAGCATGTTAATTTGTAAGGATCTTAATTTCCTGTTTTTTTAGACTGCTGAGAATTTTAAGGTGTTGGACTTATCTATCTCCTTTCAAGTTACTAATATTTCTTCTTTTACCCATTGCTCCTATCCTCACCATACCCTTACGTCTCATGTGGGACTGACAACTTTATGAAAATGTCCCTAGAGGAGTGAGACCCCAAGAACACAGGCAAATGTAGAAAATGGGGCTGGGAGGGGATCTCATTCTTTACTTCTCCAGTCTTCCTGTGGAGAGGGTTAACGTCCTGAGCCCTAAAGGGTTGTTTTTATAGATACAGTCAAAGCAGAGACTGGTGTAGACCTCTACTCCAAGGGAGAGACCAACCTTTGATCTAAAGTGCCAGGTATTTCCTCAGCTCAGACCCCACACGCCCATTTGAGGGAACTATCTGTGCCCCATGAAAGTGACTCTCACCTTGAGTCCATGAGCTTGATATTAATATTTGATAGGCAAGTCAGGGCTTTCCTGTCATCCTGAGGCTCAGGGAACCCATGTCTTCATTATCTGTCTTACAATACGCTGCCTGGTACAAAGTGCCCCAGTATCTTTTGACGTGGACATGGATTTTCATTTCTTTGGAGTTTGGGTGTGTGGAGTGTGTTTAAAAATAAAGTGTATCTCGGGTTATATGTACGTTAATCTACCTTGGGGCCAAGTCAGTTTTAACCCAGCCCAGTAAGATTTGCCCTATTAGAAGCCTGCACAAAACTCATTCTACAAAGGTAAGAAACAGGTGGTTCTTTAGCACCCTGAAGAAAGTGCTTTGGCTCTGCAGTCCCCGTTAACTTGAAAACCAGCTGTGTGACATTCCTCTGGAGTCACTGAACTTTTTTGAAACCTTCATTGTCTCTCTCTCATGTACAGCCTCATTTGTCAAGGTCTGAGGGTCACACACATTCTCCCTGACTCACACTTTCCATCTTTTACCACCCTTACTTTCACTCCCACATAAGGAGCAAGTCTGAAAACAGACTTCTTGCATCTTGTGTTTATTGACTATTAAGGTATATGGATTGTCATCTGAAATTCAAATAAAAGGTACAGGTACTGGGACAGCCTCACTAGTGGGTCTGGTTGTACAGAAAGTATGCACAAACTTGTGAGGTGTTGAATGGGTTATGAAATGTTTTGTTGAAGGAATTTTAAGCCTGGTATCAATGTAAAATCTTCATTCAACTGGTATTTTTCCTTGTCCCATGTTAATTGGGTCTCATTTTGGGCTATGCTTAATATTTAATGAAAAATAAACCTTGAAGAGTCTTGCCCTCAAGAAAGTAATTGGTGGGAATGGGGTGTTGGTGATACTATGTGGTTTTGGTTCTGGGTACCAATTGTATAGCAAACCTTGCTGGGGAGGGAGAGGTGAAACACCTCCTGATAATTGCTTTGATGTTAGCCTAGTGGACAGTCTTACTGCTAACTCCTTCCAACAAGTTGTTTGCTTCCTTAATGATGACCACTTTGAAGTGAAAGATACCTATAGATGTAAGTGGACTCCTGCCGCTAGCTGGTTGGGAGTCTTGCCTCAATGTGTTCACTGATCAGTCGTCCCTTTCAAAGTCTCCGAGTTCTTCATGCTTGTTGTTGAGATTTGAGATGTTTTTTGGTAACATTGTCTTTTTTCCATCCTTTTTTTTCTTTCCTAACCTGGTTTCTTCCAGTGCAACTGCAGATAGAAGACCTGACTCGTAAACTGCGCACAGGAGACCTGGGCATCCCCCCTAACCCTGAGGACAGGTTGGGAAACAGTTTTAACCAGCTGACAGTAACGCTTTTACCTTTTTCTCAATATGTTTTACTGGTGGCAACATATTGTGTCAGTTCAATAAAATCCTAGTAAGACGACTGGTGCTCTGACCATTCTGGGGACTAGGATAATTAGCAGTGTGTCTGGTCAGTCATCAGTTAGAATATTGGAATGAAACAATTAGCAGGATAAAAAGTTACAGGAAAATGGACAACTGGTTTCCAATTGGTAAGCATGTAAATTTTAACTTGATTTACCTGCTTATAGGGACAGTGAGATAGCCTGTTAACCAGCCTTTACAGTATCTGCTTTGGCTGAAAGCCCAGGATATAGAGTTTTTCTCACAGGTACACGGTACAGGGATTAAGAATATTTTTGAGCATCACTGAATTTGAGCAGGCCAGAAACTCATTCCGGTCAGCTCATGCCTGCAGTCTTCCTGCTCATGGTTTTGAGATGGTTTTAAAATAGACGAGATTTCTAACCAACTTCCTTCACTGCCAGTTAATTTTCAGCCTTGGCCATTGCCTGTGGGTGTTGGGAGGGGCCAGAATATTCTCACCTGTTTGGGAAGGCAAGCAACCCACCCTAAATTCCTTTTTCTTTTTTAAAGGGGAGTGTGGTGGTCCTCAAACAGCTGTGGTCATTTCATTAGCATTACAGTTTCTCTCATTTCTCACCGGTAAATTGCTCTGAGGGAAATGAGCTCTCAAACAGGAATTTTATTGATTGATTGATTGATCTTGGAACAGCTAAAATTTGGTCCTTTCACACAAGGACAATAAACCTCCCTCTCAGCGACATTTGTCTTAGTGCATGCAGCATGATTGAAAACACTTTGCTTTAAAAAAAAAGTAGTGTTTTTGGCTTTTATTTACCCACTTAATAGCTGGTTAAATCAGGAAGATGATGTAATGGTTTTAGAAGCCACTCACTTAAGCATCTTTCTGTTGTCCTTTGCCAGGAAACTAATGTATTTCTCCATACTGACTTTAAATTTACTTACTTAAATTTTTTTTCACCTGTAAATTTTGGTTGGAGGGTTGTGTTGTGCTTTATATTTCTTTTTGACATTGAAAAGTACACATTTTTTTGCATTGTAGGTTGTAGACCACAACTGTTTCATGCCTTTCTGGCCTTTTTCCCGTTAATAATATGTCTACAGGTTACCAGGCAATTCCTCAAAAGGTTAAATTTTTAACAAACCTTGCTTCCTAGAGAATTGGGATTAGAATTTATTTGAAGTATACAATGCCTATCCAAAGTGAAGAAGTTGGGCCAATCTAACCTAGAATATTAGCTTTTGCTTTTCCCATCCACAATTTGGAAAAGGGGTTAAACTGTTGTGAGGCCATTAAATGACCAATTTGGTACTGGTAAAACTTGTTTTGGTGACTAGCCAAAAATGCTTATTCTAGACAGCTGTGGGGTGGGAATTAGAAATGTTGAGCATGTTAGAAATAAAACCAGAGCAGAGTTTTTTCCTTCCTTGTATTCAGTTTGAAAGAGGCCCTAGTGCCTAATTGGTTTTTGCTTTTGAGCCCAGGTTGGAGGGAAATGCATGAGTTTCTTACCTTGATAAGATTATTTCTTAAGGTGTATTCTCAATATTAAGCCACTTTATGCCATTTTAATGTTGCTTAAGTTGCACAGTTAAAAATGTTTTAAACTTTTTTGTAGACTTAAATGTATAAGATAATAGACTAATGAGCTGGGGTATGTTTGCTTTTGTTCACTATTACTGGATTGTGCTAACAGTTGATAAAAATGCTAGAAACGGAGGTGTCACTAGCCGTCATTAGCCATGAACAAACCTGACCTTTTATTCCATCGTGTGTGTAACGTGGTGTGACATGGTTCCCTTTAGGCTGAAGACAGTGGGAGCAGCCGAGCTCAGTCCTTGCTCACCAACTAGGCAAGGTTCTCAACCAAGCCAAGGGTATAGGAGTCTTGACTACTTTCAGGATGTTTTTTTTAATAACCTGATCCACATGGTCTCTTCCCTTCTTGCAGCTGCTACTAAATTTTCATTCAGAATATCAAGCTATGGTCCTTTTTGTAATCTTAACTCAGAATTCTAGGAATGTAACTTCTCTTTTTTTATTACCGCAAAAATCCAGCTGTGGTAAACTGATCATTTTATCATTACTATTTTTTACTTATAGCAACAGCATTTTACTACTTAAAAAATTGAGAGAGAAAATCTGCTTTCTGGACTTGTAAACTCTGGTGGAGAATCATAGGTTTTCCCCTTGCCGTTTGCAGGTTCAGACCCTAGACAAGTACTTGACCAAATCTACATTTGCAGCCTCTCGAAGAAGCTGCTTTATTAGCACTTTAACGTTTTTCTCTACCCAGACTCCCCAACCTCGCACAGCCAGAAAACAGGTTGCCTCCTGGGCCTTGGACACAGCCAGCCAGGCCATTGAAGGAAAAGCAGAGACGGAAGCCTTGAACCATCTCTCTCCATTGTGGGGGCCAAGTAGCTGCAGTAGCCTTGAGTCCCAGTCGCATTGGGTTAGAGCTCAGACTTCCTACGTGGTAGGGTGCAGCCTCTTCCTGATAGGCTTGAGCTCTGCAAGCGTGAACCTTTTACCTAAATGTGGGGTTTCCATGATTCATGAGGTGGTGATACTGTAAACTTTTTTCAAATGAAGGAAAATCCACATTTGGCAAGAACGCTCCAGAAGACGATACTGTCCTTGCCACGTATAGTCCAAAGAATTTCCCCCAGGACGACAGACTTTTTCCCCCCCCCTCATCACTTTTAGAAGCAACACCATTTTTTTCCCCCTTTCTCACACACCCCAGTCCCCCTAACACAAAGCCAGCTTCCACATCCCCATTCCACACGATCTTGAGTAGCACACGTTACGGTCGGTTCCTCCGAAGAGTGTTGTGTTAGGGTCTGAGAGGCAGAGGGCTGGGGAAGACTTGTAGCCCATGTGGGGATGAGAGAGGGTGAAGGCAAAGCAGTAACAGTGATCTGTTTCCCACAGGTCCCCTTCCCCTGAGCCCATCTACAATAGTGAGGGGAAGCGGCTTAACACGCGCGAGTTCCGCACCCGCAAAAAGCTCGAGGAGGAGCGGCACAACCTCATCACGGAGATGGTTGCGCTCAACCCTGACTTCAAGCCACCCGCAGATTACAAGTAAGTGGGCGGCGGCAGGGGAGCAAGTTGGGGGGCCTGGGCCGCCCACGGCCGGCGCAGGCAGGTCTCTAGAGGCCTGGTGGTAGGACCGTGTCAGCGTGCTAACATCTCACCTCTGCCCCGGAGCACTGGCTCATGACTAGCACGCGGCACTCGGGTCAGGTCTGGAAGAGCTGTTGGCTCTGGTGTCTCATAAATGGGCCGTGTCTGAGTCTCTTCTCCCTTAGACCTCCAGCAACACGTGTGAGTGATAAAGTCATGATTCCGCAAGACGAGTATCCAGAGATCAACTTCGTGGGGCTGCTGATTGGGCCTAGGTGAGCAGCTGCCAGCTAGCCTATGGGACAGGAGTCCTCAGAACTGGGGAGGAGGGCTAGTGGGGGGGCCATCGGCTTTACTTCCCATTTGGTGGTAGGGCATTTACTTTGATTTTCTGAGTAGGTCTCTAAAACCATCCTCATTTTACTGCAGAGAAGTCCGTTCTTGAGGATTGCTGTGCCTGACCTTAACTTAGAGGTCACGGCACTTGTGGTGGGCAAATCTCATTCCCTGCACCCATGATGTCCTACCAGTGCCTGATCAGTGTGCCTCCTGTCCCTCTTGGTTGGTTTGAAGTGGCCTGTCAGGATAACAAGCCTGTCCTTTCTACCCGATAGAGGGAACACCTTGAAGAACATTGAGAAGGAGTGCAACGCCAAGATTATGATCCGGGGGAAGGGGTCTGTGAAAGAAGGGAAAGTTGGGCGCAAAGATGGCCAGATGTTGCCAGGGGAAGACGAGCCACTTCATGCCCTGGTCACCGCCAACACTATGGAGAATGTGAAGAAAGCAGTCGAGCAGGTGAGGGGGCCAGAAAGGAAACTTCTTGCAAGCAATCTCGGTGGTGATCCCAGCACTCGCTGAACCTCGTCCGTTCTGTCTCTGCTAGATAAGAAACATCCTGAAGCAGGGTATCGAGACCCCTGAGGACCAGAATGATCTACGAAAGATGCAGCTTCGAGAGTTGGCTCGTTTGAACGGAACCCTCCGGGAAGATGATAACAGGTAGGCCGTCGGCTCAGAGTGGAGCGAGTGGAGACCTGAGGGCCTGTGGAAGTAGGGAGACTATCTTAGCACCTGAATTGACTTTTTTCCTTTCCAACAGGATCTTAAGACCCTGGCAGAGCTCAGAGACCCGCAGCATTACCAATACCACAGTGTGTACCAAATGTGGAGGGGCTGGCCACATTGCTTCCGATTGCAAATTCCAAAGGTGAGGAGTTGGGATGTCCTGGCAGTCCTGGGGGTGCAGTTAACCTTCGCACCCGCCCGTTTGGGGTGGCAAGTACAAGAGGAAGGACATACCTGTTAAGGACGGCCTGGAAGTTAGTTGCTCCAGTCCTTCCATCAAACTGGAAATCTAGGATTTGATGGAACTTTCTTTGTGGGGAAACTCCATGTTTCTGACTGGTGTGGCTGGCAGGGCCTGGGGCTCGCTGTGTCCTCTTTTCATGCCCCAAGGGGCTCTGCTGTGGCAGAGTAGATGCGGTAATCCCAAGTGCAGAGCTGGCCACAGAACTGAAGTTCTGCTGAGGCCGTTCCTAAGGATGTTTGCATTCCTCAAACATTGTCTGTGGTAATTTCTCAGGGTGGAGGGTTTTGTAATGAGTTTTTTTGTTTGTTTGTTTTTCCGTCCCCGCCCCACTCAGGCCTGGTGACCCCCAATCAGCTCAGGATAAAGCACGGATGGATAAAGAATATTTGTCCCTTATGGCTGAACTGGGTGAAGCGCCCGTCCCAGCATCTGTGGGCTCTACCTCTGGGCCTGCTACCACACCCCTGGCCAGTGCACCTCGGCCTGCTGCTCCCGCCAATAACCCACCTCCACCGGTGAGCTTCAGGGACTGGTTCTTGTGGTCTGGCCTCACTGTCCCCGTTCTCTTTGAGACTGGGGGCTATGGCCAGGTGTTTTGGAATAGCAGGTTGATGGACGTGGCTGGCAACATTGTTCTTCCGGGATGATGTCAGGATGTTTGGGGGGGCCTCCCGTTTTAGGAGGAGCCTGTCCTTGAGTTCTGATCCTGCTGCATAACCGAAAGAACAGTGTTGCCACCAGGGGGAGCAGCCAGGGACGGTGGCAGGAAATGCTCTCATGTAGTCTCTCATGTCTACCACCCAGAGCCGTCCACCCTGGATGAATTCCGGTCCTTCAGAGAGTCGGCCCTACCACGGCATGCATGGAGGTGGTCCTGGGGGGCCTGGAGGTGGCCCCCACAGCTTCCCACATCCGTTACCTAGCCTGACAGGTGGGCATGGTGGACATCCCATGCAGCATAACCCTAATGGACCCCCACCCCCTTGGATGCAACCTCCGCCGCCACCGATGAACCAGGGGCCCCATCCACCTGGGCACCATGGCCCGCCTCCAATGGGTAAGTAAGTGTCAGACCAGAAACCTTTGGGCTTTGGGATAAGTAGGGTTGCACCAGGTGACGGCACGCAGAGCGGCTCTCAGAGCGGCTGGGTGTATTGTGCTGGGTCTCCTGCTCAGTCTCTGGAGGGAGCGTGACGCCACACGGGTTCAAGGTGTGATGTGTGGCGGGTGGGCACAGGCCTGCCTCCATGGGCCAGGTTCCAGAACGGCTCTCGTATGCGCAGGGACCAATAAGCTGTTGGGGGTGGGGGGGGGGGCGATCGTCTTCTCTGACCAGTTCACATGTCCTGCTAAGTCCCTGCTCTCTCCTTCCATCAAGATCAGTACCTGGGAAGTACGCCTGTGGGCTCTGGGGTCTATCGCCTGCATCAAGGAAAAGGTAAATGGGGTCTTTCACTCGTACTCACTTTGGGGTGTCCCGGTCATGTCGGCCTGGGAGTGAAGGGGGGCGGGTACAATTTCAAGTCCTCTCCTCCGCAGAGGCCTCACCCTTGTTTCCATGTACCTGCAGGTATGATGCCGCCGCCGCCTATGGGCATGATGCCGCCGCCGCCGCCGCCTCCCAGTGGGCAGCCCCCGCCCCCTCCCTCTGGTCCTCTTCCCCCATGGCAACAGCAGCAGCAGCAGCCTCCACCACCCCCTCCGCCCAGCAGCAGTATGGCTTCCAGTACCCCCTTGCCATGGCAGCAAAGTGAGTGGAGTATTTTGGGCTTGTGGGGGTGGGTGGGATGGGGGGGTTGGGGCTGAGAGGAACAGGAGAACCTCACAGCCCACACAGGCAGGCACCTTGGGAAGAGACTCTGATCTCCGCCGGGGGTGGAAACACAGGGCCTGGCGGCCCCTGGGGGTCTGGGAAGGGAGAGCTGATGTTCGGTGTGGTTGTGTCTGGGACGAGGTGGGAGGGGCCTGGAGGGGAGCCTGCCATCGTAGGTAGGGGGCCAGAGGGCTCGCGAGGACTGAGTGAGCTGCTGGCTGGCCCGAGCGTTGGGCGCATGGCCAGGGCGGGTGGTGCATGCATGTTCTGGAGAGGGACGTGACTGGGCTTCTGAGAGACTGCAGGGATGGGACCTGGATGTGGGAAGAGAGTAGCTGTAACCTTGAGGTTGAATGTGCCGTTCGGTGGTGGCGGCGGATGGGCGGAGGGACGTCAGAGCCGGTGCTTGTGTCTGGTACCTTGCCTTCAGCCCTTCCAGGGGCATTGGTGACAAAGGGCTTACTCTGCTAAGCCCAGAGACCTCGAGGCTGACCCCAGGGTAGTCCTGCCCACCCCTCCACTCCCATCGCCAGGACAGCCCCGCCCGCCCGCCCCCCACCACCGTACCGCATGCCAAGCAAGGAGCAGGCGCCCCTCGCCCCCCCATCCCAAGGCAGCAGCCGCAGAGAGCCGCGGTGTGCCCCCCGCGCGTGTGACCTTGGGCTTCTTTACCACCCCAGATACGACGACTACCACCACGAGCGCTGGCACAGGGTCCATCCCGCCATGGCAACAGCAGCAGGCGGCTGCAGCAGCTTCTCCAGGAGCCCCTCAGATGCAAGGCAACCCCACTATGGTGCCCCTGCCCCCCGGGGTCCAGCCGCCTCTGCCGCCCGGGGCCCCTCCCCCTCCGCCGCCTCCACCGCCTGGTTCCGCCGGCATGATGTATGCCCCGCCCCCTCCTCCTCCGCCTCCCATGGACCCTTCTAACTTTGTCACCATGATGGGCATGGGGGTGGCGGGCATGCCGCCCTTCGGGATGCCTCCAGCTCCCCCACCGCCTCCACCACAGAACTAGACTCGGTTTTTTTTAAGAAAATATATATTATAGAGAGAGAGAATTGGTCTCGTTTAAACACACGCCGAACCTCACCATATGGAGCCAGACAATGGGACGCACGCGTGTGATAGTGTGCACGCGTGTGTGAGTGTGCACGCACCGGGCTGGGCCGAGCGACTGAGGACTCGCTTGGGAACGGGCAGGCGGTAGTAGGGGCGCCAGCTTGTGCTCTCCTGGCGCCCCGTAGCATCGAGTGTCTTCTTTGTCTTTCTCTCCTCACCCGACTCCCTTTGCCTCTCCCAAACCGGGCCGCCAGGATCCCTCCCCGCGGCGGCGATGGCCCGAGCCATGAGAGTGAGGACTTTCCGCGCCCACTGGTGACCCTCGCGGGCAGACAGCCTCCGCAGCGCCCCTGGTGGACGGGATGGTTCGGCAAAGCGGCCTGAGTTATTTTTGTGGACGGAATCGGAACACGCTGGCTCCATATCGTGACATTTTTATTAATTTTTTCTTTTTCCTTTGTTATTTCCTTATCTCTCTTCCTTCCTTCAGACTCCGTCCCAGGAGGCGCTCTCCCCGGTCTTCTGCTGCAGTTAGATTCCTCTTCCCTTTCTCCAGTCCTCGTGCTTTCCAAGGAGAGGGGAACAAATGGCTTGGCCTTTCTTGTCCGGCTCCTGGGGGGAGGGGGGTCTTCCTCTAGAGGGTTCTCGGATTTTCAAGGTGCCACGGCCGCTTCCTGGGGCTTCGCTGGCCTTTCAGCTGCGGTGTTGTCTTTGCCATCCTCCTAGAGTCGTGGCTTGACAGCTCCGGGCCTGGGGTTCCACATCCATCCTGGCGCCTGCCGGCAGCAGGTGGGGCCGCCCCAGACACCGGGCGTGGCTTGTCCGCCAGCCTGAGAGTCCCCGCCACACTCCCTGGGCGCTGAGCGGCCTCACGTCCCGTTTGTTCCTCTCCTTCCTGGAAGACCGCCTTCTCCATTTTATTTTCATCCCAAACGTCTGAACGTTTTGCGGTGTCTAAGGGTTTGCGCCCCTTGTTTTTCATTCTGCTCCTTCCTCCCTCCCCTTCATGGAGTGATTATGTTGACAATGATGTGTAACGCGCGTTCTCTTCACTGGTTTATCTGCAGAAATTTCTCTGGGCTTTTTTTTTTCCCCGTGTATGATTCAGCTGCGTGGACAGGGGGGTGTTCCATTGAATAAAAGAGCAGTGTGGTTTTCTGGGTCTGTTCCTTCTTTGCCCTCCCACCAGCAACACCAAAGTTACTTCACGTTCAGCACCTGGGCCCCGTCGTCCCTTTGTCCCCGGGGAGCCCGTGGGCCCTTCATTAAGGCGGCCTCCCGCGTGCTCGCCGCCCCGAGTGCCTCTGCGGTGGACGCGGAGTGGGCGTCCCTGCCGGCTCCCCCCTTGTTTACTGCTTGGTGGTTGAGAACCGGCTTCCCTCCCTGTCACCCCTCATCCCTGGTCCCTATGCTTTTGAAGGCCTGTGTCCAGGGCTTGGACCCCCACATCTGATGACTTGTGCCTGGAAGCTGCCACCTGGAGAAGGCTCTGGCCTAGGGGAGGCCTCAGCACTAAAGGTCAAGCCCACTAATCCTGCCTGTCGGGCACAGAGCAGCTAAAATTAAAACCGCCAAGTGGCTTTTTCTCTCTGCTGGTGACTCGGAACCTGCCAGCGCTGCAGGCTTTGGGGAGAGGTGAGAGCAAGAGAAGGCCCCCCCACCTGGTGCTGCGTAAGCAGTTCTTTCCCGGGGGTCCCGTCTGGGGCGGTGCACAGCACCCACTGTGGTGGCAGGAAAGCGAATGCCGGGTCCCTGGGACAAGGGCGGTCCTGGTGCCGCTGCTGCCGGACTGTGCCGCGCCCGGGAGAGTCTGTTCTGCCTGTAGGGACCCTGCAAGCTGTAGCTGCCCCCGGCACCTGCCGGTGGGGACAACATGGGCCTGGGCTGCCTTTCAGCTTCAAGCCGGGGCTGGCCGCTGCTATTATTTGGAGCAGAGCCTGTGTCTGGGCCCCCCGTCCAGCGTGCCTGTCCTCTGCTGTCGGCCCGCAGAGGGTAATGAAGCCTCAGAGGCAAGGCAGCCCTGTGGGTTTCCCTACCCTTCCGTTCCCTGCGGGGAGAGGTCCTTTCTCTTCGTCCTTGACTGATGAGTGGGGCCTGGGCCCGGGGCCTGGCTACCCACTCTGACCTTGGTTTCACCTCGTTGCTTCCCCCACAAGCTTGGTTTCCCTGGTGGGCTCATTGGGCGGTTAATTAGCTCTTTGAAGCTCCGGAAGAGGCAAAGTGGCGCTATGTGGGTTTTAGAAATAAAATCAATAAATGACTTAACCACAGCCCAGCTATCTCCTCCGTCTCTCCCCTGGGGCCAGCTCCATTCCTGTGCTCCCTCCTCTCTGCTCCCTGCCGTCAGCCTTTGTGAAGGGTGTGGAGGAGAGAAAGTGGCTAAGGAAGGCAGGGCCTGCCGTTCTCCAGGCACCTGGAGGCCCTGAAGTGAGAGGCGGCGGGAAGGTGTGCCCGAGCCGCAGCCCGCACCTGCCGCGCCGCCCACCTTGCCGCTGCTTCTGCCTGGCCGTCCTGACGGGCCTGGGCACCCTTGTAGCTGTTTGTGCTGCGGCAGCAGGTCTCCACCCCCTCGAGGCTCGCCGGGGGAAGGAATGCCAGTGGGAAAGGTCAGCATTAGGGCTTTGTTACTGAAACCCAGCCAAGTGCTCTGGAGAAACCCAAGATGGGTCCGGGGAGAAGGCAGGATTTCTGGTTAGACCTGGTCTGACGGTTCAGGCTGCAAAAGCGAGCTTTCAGGGGCCTCCCTGGTGGCCTAGGGGTTGAGCCCCAGCACTATCATCGCTGCAGCTTGAGTTCCATCCCTGGCCTGGGAGCTGACCCACATGGCACAGCAGACCCCTGTCTCGCCTGCGGCGCCCCTCAGCAGTGTATCTCGGTAGATTCGCCTGTTCTCCCCACTCTGGTGAATCCTCTTACCCCGGCACCTCTGGCCTACACCCCAGTTCCACGCAAAAAAAAAAAAAAAAAAGCTTTCAGTTCCTCACTGTTAGCTGGAGGGGCTGGAGCAGAAGACTCACAGGAAGAGAAGGTGGTCAGATGGCGCCTGTAGGGTTGCATCATGCTGGGCTGGGGCCTGCAGAATGAAGGGGGCCGCTGGATGGCCCACCCTGGAAACAGGTGAGCGGGGCTGGCACAACCCAAGTGGAAAAGTCGCCAGAAAGGTGGTTGGAGAAGCAAGTCCTGAGGGCACGTCTCCCAGCAGGTGCCTGCATGCGGTGCCTGCGTGTGGTGGGAGGGCCAGCGCTGGACGGATAAGCAGGGGCCGGGCGCTGGGAAAGGAGCGGGGTGAGAAGATGACGGAGGCCTGTCAGGGAGGCCCACAGCCGCAGGAAAACCACCGCGCAGGCAATTAGGCGTCAGTACAAAGGCCTGTGGGGCCAGAGCCCATGGCCACCTTGGGGTGTGAGCAGACGGCAGATGCTGCTTCCTCATCCAGGAGCCTCGTGCTGCTCGGCGCCGTCCTCCAGGACAAGCGTCCAGGCAGGTTAGGAGCTGGGAAACGAGACCAGAGAGCAGCAGAGCGGCTTTTAAATGAGGTGTATATATATATAAAAAAAAAAGCACCAAAAGAAGTTAGAAAATACAGGAAAGTTTAAGGCAGTGTCTGGTCCCACTGCATCTGTGGATGTGGCGCCCTTTCCGATCTTTCAAACGTGAGCCTTGGGGCGGGGCCGGAGCAGAGCTTGGGACTCCTGGCTCTAGGTTGGTTTGCCCCCCACCCCCACCACCCCCCACACCGAGCTGGAAATTCCAGAATGGGGCTCAGAAAGTCCTGGGAAAAAGCTTCCCTTTCCCAAACCCTGCTGAATAGCACCCTGCAGCTGTCCAGGCCTCTGACCTGCTTCCCTGGCCCTTAGACCAGAACACCCAGTTCTTCCCCCTCAGCTGGCCCACAGCCCCGAAGCCCAGGCAGGCTTTGAAACAGCACAAGGTCCTGGACTCCTTTTGCTCAAAGAACAAAGCAGGAACCAAAGAATGTCTCCACAGATTGGGAGGAAGCGGCTACATGAGGCAGGGATTTATACTCTCACTGGAGAATATAAATTTGATGACGGAATTCAAAGCTCAGAAGAGGAAAGCAAGCAGTGAACGGTCACACAGCCAATCAGCACTGGCGCCAGGACACGTGCAGCAAACTCGGGGGGGGGGGGGGGCAAGCAAAGCCCAAAAGGAAGGTACTGAAGCTGTCTGCCCATGCAAACAGTAAAGTCCCGGAGTTTGGGTGCGACAACTCCCATTTTGCAGGGGAGGTCACAGCTGTGAACCCCGGCTCACTGAGCCCCGGTGGGAGGAGGGAAGAGGCCATCAGTCACTCACCTGGCAGCAGCTGCACAGGAAACCTAATACCATTGGCTGACGTTAGGCACCCGTGGGGGCTGTGGGCCCCATAAGACTACAATTCCCAGGGGCCCCTGCTCCAGGCTGGCAGGCCCCTGGCCAAAGGTGGCCTGTAATCTGACCTTCCCTCTCAAAAGGTCATTTTGGAGCTGCTTGAGGGACAGCAACAGGGGCAGCTCAGCGTGGCTGAGTTTGGTGGGGGTGGGGTGTCTTTAGGCCACCTGCCCCATACCACCCCCTATAAAACAGGGTCCCGGTCCCCCTAAATCTCAGCCACCCAGAGTCCTCTGCTAGCGGCACCTCTTCTGTTCAGGGATCCTGGCCCCTGGTGCCACAACATGAGGCTGCTCCACCCAAGTGCAGCTAATGACCGCTCCCCCATCCCGCTGCCCCCCGGGGAACAGGGCTATCACAGAAGCCTGCCCAGAGCTCACACATCTCGGGGGTTGCAGTCTCTGGGCAAACATTTAAGACAGAGGCTCAGCTACTCTGACAGGCTGGCCTCCAGCTCTGCCCCTTGCCAGCCCCCCTGGCCTCTCCAAGACCTGATTGAGCGCAGGATCTGGCCCCACCCTTCTTCCTTCATCTAGAACCTAGGAGAAGGGCCTAGATCATGGCAACCTCAGCCAGCCACAGCCCATCGACTCCCCCAAGCCTCAGGCCTGTCAATCCAGCACTCTGCCCGCTGCGTCTGCAAAAGGCTGGGACGGGGCAGACACCCTGCGCGCCAGCCTGGAGGAAGTGGGTCAGCACGGGGTTGTGAACGAGCTGGGTTGGGCCTGGCCAGGCCCCGCTCTCCCAGCCCTTCTCTCCTCCCCTAGCCCCCAAAATAGCTCTCTTGAGCTGCCAAGACCTTCCCATGTGGGGAGGTGGGGCGTGCTGCCCAGAGCCTGGCTTTAAATCCCCAGGCGGCTGGGGTTCTCCACTCCCAGGCTGGAGGCACCTCCGAGGCCGCCTGTCCACCGCTGTCAGTCCGGCCCGCCCTCCGCAGCCATGTCCCAGCCCCTGTCAGACCAGGACAAGAGGAAGCAAATCAGCGTGCGTGGCCTGGCCGGCGTGGAGAATGTTTCCGAGCTGAAGAAGAACTTCAACCGGCACCTCCACTTCACACTCGTGAAAGACCGCAATGTGGCCACCCCGCGGGACTACTACTTCGCGCTGGCCCACACCGTGCGCGACCACCTCGTGGGCCGCTGGATCCGCACCCAGCAGTACTACTACGAGAAGGACCCCAAGGTGCCGCAAGGGGCACCCTGGGTGGGGAATGGGCTGGGGGCCCCACCAGGGGCTGGAATTTCTGCACCATATGGCAGCCCCTTCCAAAGTAATATGGGCTTTTCCAGGGTTTTCTGCAACAAGATAAAGGGTCATCCTAGATTCTTGGTGCTGGAGGGTTCAGGGATGCCAGGGGCAATGGCGGCTGGGGCAAGGGGTGGGAAGGGAATGGGACAGGGGTAGGTCAGGGGGCTCTGGCGGGCGGGCAGTAAGGTCCCAGTGCCAGTCAGAGTGGAGGGCTGCTGGTGGGCAGGAAGACCCCTGTGGCCAGGGGAGGCCCCTAAGTGGAAGGACTTGTTATTGACCGTGTGTTGTGGTGCATCTGTGCTGTGGGTGGGGTGTGGCTGGGGCAGCTGGGACTTGGAGATCAAGTGTCTGCTGGGGTCACTGGTAAATGTCAGCAACCTGACACCCCAGGGTGAGATGGGGGAGGGCTGGGGAGGGGATTTGGGAGACCGGGCACCATTCACATCTCAGGGCCTCTCCGTCCCCTTCTTGGGACTGAGACTTGAGGGTCCAGGCCGCACCCCGAGGGTGGGGGTGGCCGTCTCTAGCTGTGCTCATTATGTGACCTT